GGCAGGTAAAGGTGAGTTTACTTACCTGAACCTGACAGTGATAGTTGCCAACATTTAAAAAAAAATTCCAGGGACACTTCCCAGCACAGCTATCAATTACTACCTTGACAATTTACCACACACACTGCCGCAAAGCCCCACCCACTACCTCCAACCCACAAAATTAATCTCCGCCTACTTATAGTGCAGATTACAGGGTCTACTCAATAAAGAGAGAATTAGGGTATTGAGATGGGAATTTCAAACTTAAGGCCAAAGTAGACGAGTTGGAAAAATTCTCCCACTCAGCTGCACTAGTTTGGCCTAAAGTTTGAAATTCCCATCTCAATTCCCTGCAGTTCTCTTTATTGAGTAGATCTTTATAACACCAAGTTCCCACCAACAGTACCATGCATCCTTGGTATACAATAGATATATGCGCAGCACAGCATCTATATCAGGCAGATACATTTTATCACTTTAATGTGAGTTGGGTGTCAGTGGTGACACTGTCAGTACAAATATAGAAAGGAGCATACATTCAGTAGATGTGCTTCAGTCAGAGAGCTGTGTCTATACCATAAAACATACATTAGTTCCCAAAAATAATTATATTGGGGAGTGAATATAGTAAAAAAAAAAAAAAGCTGAAAATGTGAAATGAAAGATATAGTATGAGAATGTACAGAATGGAATTAAAGAGAGAAATGGGAGCAAAAGGAAAACAAATTCAACATGTTGAATGTCTCAGATTGGGGCAACACTCCACTGCTTCTCAATCTTCTAGTTCCTGGAGTCTGAGGGTATTATACAGAGAGCAGCACTATACAGGTAGCACTGACTGGCCAGGGATATTATACACACACAGACCTGTATTATACATGGAACATCACTATACAGGGAGCACTGACAGGCCAGGGATATTATACACACACAGACCTGTATTATACAGAGAGCAGCACTATACAGACAGCACTGACTGGCCAGGGATATTATACACACACAGACCTGCATTATACATGGAACATCACTATACAGGTAGCACTGACTGGCCAGGGATATTATACACACACAGACCTGTATTATACATGGAACATCACTATACAGGGAGCACTGACAGGCCAGGGATATTATACACACACAGACCTGTATTATACAGAGAGCAGCACTATACAGACAGCACTGACTGGCCAGGGATATTATACACACACAGACCTGCATTATACATGGAACATCACTATACAGGGAGCACTGACAGGCCAGGGATATTATATACACACACAGACCTGTATTACACAGAGAGCAGCACTATACAGGCAGCACTGACTAGCCAGGGATATTATACACAGACCTGTATTATACATGGAGCATCACTATACAGGGAGCACTGACAGGCCAGGGATATTATACACACAGACCTATATTAAACAGAGAGCAGAACTATACATGGAGCATTGACTGGCCAGGGATATTATACACACAGACCTGTATTATACATGGAGCAACACTATACAGGGAGCACTGACTGGCCAAGGATATTATACACACAGACCTGTATTAAACAGAGAGCAGCACTATACAGGGAGCACTGACTGGCCAGGGATATTATACACACACAGACCTGTATTAAACAGAGAGCAGCACTATACAGGCAGCACTGACTGGCCAGGGATATTATACACACACAGACCCGTATTATACATGGAGCATCACTATACAGGGAGCACTGACTGGCCAGGGATATTATACACACAGACCTGTATTAAACAGAGAGCAGCACTATACAGGGAGCACTGACTGGCCAAGGATATTATACACACAGACCTGTATTATACAGAGAGCAGAACTATACAGGGAGCACTGACTGTCCCAGTTTAATATACACACAGACCTGTATTATACAGGGAGCAGCACTATACAGGGAGCACTGACTGGCCAGGGATATTATACACACAGACCTGTATTATACAGGAAGCAGCACTATACAGGGAGCAATGACTGTCCCAGCTTTATATACACACAGACCGGTATTATACAGGGAGCAGCACTATCCAGGGAGCACTGACTGGCCAGGGATATTATACACACAGACCTGTATTTATACAGAGAGCAGCACTACACAGGGAGCACTGACTTGCCCAGGATATTATACACATACAGAGAGCAGCACTATACAAAGAACACTGACTGTCCCAGCTTAATATACACACAGACCTGTATTATACATAGAACAACACTATGCAAGGAACACTGGCTGTCCCAGCTTAATATACACACAGACCTGTATTACACAGAGAGCAGCACTATACAGGGAGCACTGACTGTCCCGGGATATTATACACACAGACCTGTATTATACAGAGAGCAGCACTATACAGGGAGCAGTGACTGTCCCAGGATGTTATACACATAGACCTGTATTATACAGAGATCAGCATTATACAGAGAGCACTGACTGGTCAGGGATATTATACAAACAGACCTGTATTATACAGAGAGCAGCACTATACAGGGAGCACTGACTGCCCCAGGATATTATACTCACAGACCTGTACTATACAGAGAGCAACACTATACAGGGAGCACTGACTGTACCAGGATATTATGCACACAGACCTGTATTATCGATAAATTATCGATAGAATTAAGTTTATATTTATTGGTACCTCCAACAAATGCAATACATACATACAATACATACACACAGACTGCTGAACAAATTCACACAGACTGCTGAATACACACACACAACGACTGCTAATTACACGCACACACAGAGTGCTGAATACACACACAGACTTATGAGTACACAACCACAGACTGCTCAGCACACACAGACAGACTGCTGAATGCACACAGGCTGATGAATACACACACATACAGAGTGAATACACACAGTACACTGAATACATACTCACAAACACAGACAGAGACTGCTGAATACACACACAGACTGCTGAATGCACACAGACTGCTAAATACACACACAGACTGCTGAATACACACACTGCTGAACACACACAGAAAGACTGCTGAATACACACAGGCTACTTTATATATCCACATACAGAGACTGCTGAATACACATACAGACTGCTGAATACAGTAACATACTGCTGAATACACGCACACACCAACTGCTGAGTATACACACACAGACTGCTAAGTACACACAGACAGACTGTTGAGTACGACAGACTGCACACAGACAGACTGCTGAATGCACACAAGCTGCTGAATACACACAGACAAACTGCTGAATGCACACAGGCTGCTAAATACACACATGCAGAGTGCATACACAAAGTACACTGAATACACACACATACAGACTGCTGAATGCACACTCACACAGACTGCTGAATACACACACTGCGGAACACACACAGAGAGACTGCTGAATACACACAGGCTACTTTATACACACACAAACACACACAGACTGCAGTGAGGGGTGCAGTGTATGTGTTTTTGTTTAGGGATGCTGTGTGTGTTTATGTGTGTGTGTGTAGGGGTGTTGTGTGTGAAAGAGTGCAGTGTGTGTGTGAGAGGGGTGCAATGTGTAAAAAGTGCTTTGTGTGTGCATGGGTGCTGTGTGTGTGTGAGTTGTGCTGTGCCCTGGTGGTGGTGAGTTGTCACAAACTCACTACAGAAAAGCTCACTGACACACACAAGCTCACACACACACACACAAGCTTTCTCACTAGCAGGCACATACGCACACACAAGGCTGAGTATATCAAGTCTACCTGGCACTGGAGGCTGTTGCTGGGAAGTCAGGTAGCCATTTTCTGCAGAATGGTCTCCTGCTTAATGTGGGGGTGAAGCCTGATGACAGGAGGCAGAGCTTGCATGCATGGGTGGAGCTTACAATGTGAGGGCGGAGCCTGTATCCGCGAGGCAGAGTAGGAGCCCGTTTGCCGGTGAAACTGCTGGGAAATCGGAAGGAAGACTGTCAGTGCTCCCTCCGGCCCCCCAGCATCTCCCAGCATCTCTGTCCTAAATTCCCTCGGGCTGTAACAAGCTGTTACAGTCCAAAGGAAAATAATAAAAGCACACGGCCCAGCAAGTTGACGGGACTGTAGCGGTACAGTGACTTGCCCAGGACAGACTCCAGCTAGCTGGGACTGTCCCGGCAAAAACGGGACAGTTGGCAACTATGCCAGACGGTCTTGAGCGCTGTGAGGTCATCTTCAGTGCAGATGTCACTGCTGTACTCTCATACATGCACAAAAGTACAGCACTGAGGTCTAAGTAGGATCCTGCGGGCTCCTCCATTAACAAAGCCAATTCCCTGCAGCCGTCACTGGTGACAGTGGTCAGGAGTGAGTATAAGAAAGTCAGTAGTTCCTACTTTGGCTTAGTATATCTCTTGATTGGGTTGAAATTTCAGTTCAATTCCAACACAGTCAAAATGACTCTATTTTATGAAACACTTATTTTTCAGGGAGGGCTGACAGTGCCGCTTTAAATAGTGAAACATTTGACCTTAAAAGCCAAGATATTTTATTTACCCCCTAACCCCCTCTTCTCCTTCCTACACTCATGCTTGTAATGTAACTTTAACCCTTTAAGGATACATGACGTGTGAAATGTCATGATTCCCTTTTATTCCAGAAGTTTGGTCCTTAAGGGGTTAAATCCCCCTGCAGAATTGTATTCCCAGTCCTGCCCTGATAATCACTGACTGCTATTACACAAAATGAGTTTTCAACATGACAAGTACAGTGACATTCTTCTGTCACTTTATCTCCACAGGCAAAACAAAAAACTACCATATCTTGAAGCCTCTGCTGCAAAGAGCTGAGACACACATTACAAACATTGTAACATTGTATCTTTACGGAGCCATTTTGGTGGAGCCCACTGCCTGCACCTGAGTGGATTCTGGTCTCCAAGCAAATGGCCGCTGCCTTGGATATCAATGCCCTGCACCAGAGACACTTGTTAGGTCACACATCTTTAGTGATTAGAACTCCACACTGGTCAGACACTACATTCTCAGCCATGCCTTGCTTATTATTATTTACAGTTCTGCTCCAGATAGAATCTCTGAGGTTTGGTGTCATAAAAATCCGGAGTACTTCAGGTGAGGAGTAATTAATGCAGTGTTCATGATTGCTTACTGTATCACACTATTGTCAAAAAAACATTAAACAAGTCAAAAAGGTGTAATACTATGTAACTACCTTCAAGGTAAAAAATAAATACATGTAAAAAAATTAATTACAGCAAAATTATGCAATCTAATTTAAGCCTTGTTTTTTAAAATGATAAACAAAGCATGAAGTGTGTAGGGGATTATCCACTAAACAGTGCATTGCAGTGACTCACAAAGCAAAATGCAAAATTAAGGCTAACATTTACCCAAGTTATATTTTTGCTATATTTGTAATTTGGCTGTTTTAACCTGGATTTTACAAAAGTAAATAAATAATATCACCACACAATTCACTGTTTTGTGAATAAACCTTATGGGGTTTGTTTTCTTACATACAGGGTCCTTGCACCATGACCACTTCAGAACATTGACGTGGGCATGGTGCATGATGTAATCTATCTATCTATCTGCCTGTCCATACCCATGGTGCGTATTGCTGCTAATATCTGTAATTATTAATAGTAATAATAATAACAAAGTATTTAACCAGGAAAGGTACATTCAGATAACTCTGGTTTTCAAGTACGTCCTGGGGATGTTACCTTAGCTCAACATCCAGGGGTTGTTACTATAGAATTGTTTCCAATTCTCAGAAGGCTTAACATTAAACATACTTGTTTTCCTGGCACTATAGTGCCCTGAGGGTGCCCCCACCCTCAGGGTACCCCTCCCGCCCGGCTCTGGAAGGGGGAAAGGGGTAAAAACTTACCTTTTTCCAGCGCTGGACGGGGAGCTCTCCTCCTCCGTTCCTCCCTGTCGGCTGAATGCGCAGGCGCGGCAAGAGCTGCGCGCGCATTCAGCCGGTCGCATAGGAAAGCGACCAATGAAAATCACAGACAGAAGCGCCTCTAGCTCTAGGTCCCCCTCCCTCCGGGCTCTAGGGGTGGAAGGGGTTAAACTTACCTCTTTCTCCAGCGCCGGGCGGGGAGTTCTCCGCCTCCTCTCCTCCTCTTCGGCTGAATGCTAATGCGCGGCAGGAGCCGCGCGCGCATTCAGCCAGTCCATAGGAAAGCATTCACAATGCTTTCCTATGGACGCTGGCATCTTCTCACTGTGAAAATCACAGTGAGAAGCGCAGAAGCCCTCTAGCGGCTGTCAATCAAACAGCCACTAGAGGCTGGATTAACCCATTTATAAACATAGCAGTTTCTCTGGAACTGCTATGTTTATAGAAAAAAGGGTTAAACCTAGCTGGACCTGGCACCCAGACCACCTCATTAAAGGACCACTCTAGGCACCCAGACCACTTCAGCTTAATGAAGTGGTCTGGGTGCCAGGTCCAGCTAGGGTTAACCCATTTTTTTTATAAACATAGCAGTTTCAGAGAAACTGCTATGTTTATAAATGGGTTAATCCTTCCCACAAAGCGTCTAGTGGCTGTCTCATTGACAGCCACTAGAGGCGCTTGCATGATTCTCACTGTGAAAATCACAGTGAGAGCACGCAAGCGTCCATAGGAAAGCATTATGAATGCTTTCCTATATGACCGGCTGAAAGCGCCAAGCTTTTTGCCGTGCGGCATTCAGCCAGCGGAGGAGAAGGAGGATCGGAGGGAGGAGAGCCCCGCCCAACGCTGGAAAAAGGTAAGTTTTAACCCCTTTTCCCCTTTCCAGAGCCGGGCGGGAGGGGGACCCTGAGGGTGGGGGCACCCTCAGGGCACTATAGTGCCAGGAAAACGAGTATGTTTTCCTGGCACTATAGTGGTCTTTTAAGCTGAAGTGGTCTGGGTGCCTTTAGTGGTCCTTTAAAGAACATGACATTTTATTGTTTGTGTGCCAATCCCTATTTGTGTTTTGTGTAAAAAAATAAAATAAAATAAAAAATCTTTTAAGTTGATATAATTCTGGATAAATGGACTCGAGGACCACCTGAGAGGAACCCGGAGAAGCTGTTTTATAAAGGATAGGCTTATCCCATTAGAGAATGTTAAGTAACTGACAGGGTAAACATTAATTGCAGATAATTCTTTATTGGTATGTGGACAGGCCAAAGTGTACCATATTACAGTAAAGCCATAATGTTTTATCCATATGCAATGTACTGTTTATCTATATTGGTCCACTGTTATTTAGTTATATTGCCTAGCAATGTGCTGTTTATACACTAACACCTTCCGCTGTTAGAATATCAAGAGAGTTCCAAGTACATACAGTTCTTATTCTGGAGGTAAACTTGCGCAATACTGCTACAAAACAACTTTACCTTTTGATGTGTAAATATACCATACAGTAGAGAAAGTGACTACCTAGCAGCCTATGATATGGAACAGAATTTCCAGATTTTACTATTATGTAATGTTACTATGATGTAAAGTCATGATTTTATTAAAGACACAGAGACAGATATTTACTAATCTCTTTCTTTAATCCCTCAGCAGCAAAGAGAAAATAATGTCCAATAGAAGGAAAAAAATACACACTCCTAAAGGGTGCACTCCTCCTAACATTTTGATGTATAAAATCGAGGAAAGCGTAAAGGAATTGTGTAGTGTACCCATACACCGTTCACGGCTCACTGCTCGCCTCTACGGATTGCTGCTGCTATTCCCATATCTAAAAAAAAAAATGAGTTTAGACTCAGGGTTCTCTGAACACCATGTACTTTGCAATGATGTAAAGTGGTTATGGTGCTTAGACTGTCTCTTTAAAGTTGGGAGAATACCATTCACATGATGCATCCAATAATGGGGGAGTGTAATGAGTTTGACAGACATCCCTGCAATCCAACCAACCAACATTATCAGGGCACTGTGGAAGCAGTGTTGTACATTTAATGGCATACAGTTGGTACTTACCAGTTTACAAGCAAAACACATATGGGATACAGCTGTGGAATCTAAAAAGAAAACAGACAAAACATAGTGTAATGCAATTTTAACAAATAATGTACAAAAATGCACTCACAAGATGTAGACGTAGTATGCGCTCAAAGGGTGCCTCCCCTGATGTAATTGTATAACCATCTGTAATTTACTTTAATTTTATGGTCTCTGAGGAAGTTCCAAGTGTGGGACGAAACGCGAGACCACAACTACTGCTGTTTTACCAATTGTATTTATAATAAAGCAGCTATTTTATACTACCATCGGAGTCCTGATTTCCTGCTATCGTGCAGACAGCGGAGAGGGATCCAAAGCCCCCCCAATTACAATGGGGGAGGCACCCTCTGAGCGCATAATACGTCTACATCTTGTGAGTGCATTTTTGGACAGTGCACATTATTTGTTAAAATTGTATTACACTATGTTCTTTTTAGATTCCACAACCGTATCCCATATGTGTTTTGCTTATATTCTGGTCTAAAGATCACTACCTGGAAAGTGATCCTTGGGAGGCTGTCCGCTTGATTTACCTGATAAGTATACTGCATACTTATTTCACACTATTCACACATGATTGTGGTGGTAGTTTTGTTTTCCATAGCTAACAGTTTGTATGGAATTTATTTAGTATTCTACGGATGTTTACGCTACTGAATGTGTTTGGCCCCCAAAATCTATAACCCAAAATCTACGTTGCAGAGTAGAACTACAGGGCCACTGCGCCCCGACCACTTTATTGAGATGAACTGACCTGGGTGCCTTCAGTGGTCCTTTAATTTTATGGAAGCAATGCCAGACGAACATTCAGCACAACAAAATGGATGTCTTACTGGATTGTGCTGCCATCTGCTGTATGTTAATGATATTACACTGTGATATCATGCAATGATGTTGAACCTTTAGACTTTCATATGAAATGTAGTTCACAAACATATGCAATGATTCCTGATCTTTGTCCAAGATGATAAAATCAAATTGGGTTTGAATATTATCCCGTGATGCAATTCTCAGTTTGTCTTGTTTATTAAGCAGTTATTTTGTTTACTACCAGTTCTGCCTTTATGACTGTTGGAAAGTCAGTTGTTTGATAGTCAATTTGTATAGTACCATATGCTGAGAATCGATTATGAGATATTTGTTTTGATGTCGGTTTTTTATTTTATTATTTCTAATCTGTACAATTTCCAGCATTTCAACTTGCAAAATTGACTATTAACTGAAGTGAGAATTCAAAGTGAATTTTAAATTTAAGGTGGAAATAGCCAGACTGAAAAATATATTCTGTGTCTTTAGTCATCCAATCATAATTGTTAACCATTCTGATTAGTACCACTCCAATTTCTGTCCCCCACTTTAATCTTCCACACCCATCTCTCAGACAATTGTATCTCCCTCTTTGTCTCTCACCACTTATGTCTTCCTCTATTTGTGCCTATTATGTCTGTACACTCCTACTCCCATTCACTGGGCACTCTCTTTTCTCTGTTTGTCCGTTTTTATTCTGTCTAGCCCCCAGTCCTCCCATTCTCTCTGTCCACCCCCTTAAAGCGGACCTGTCACCATCTGGGGCCTTTGCAAAGACCCCTGATGGTGTCATTGATGCCAAGGGTCCAGTAGCCAGGGGTGGTAGGCAAAGGTGAGTTCTACTTACCTGAAGCTGTCCCTTTGCGAGTGCCACCATCCTCTTCCGTCTTCTTTTGCTGCTTATAGCGCTTCAGTGCAGCATATGTGCAATAGTACAGCATTTAGGAGTATGGAAGATCTCCTCCATAGACATAGCCAATTCCCTGCAGCCATCATTGGTGACAGCTGAGGACTGACTCTTCTTGGCGACGGGGTCCCTACTTTGTCTTATGCTTTTGGTTAGAAATAGAAGGAAAAAGGAGAAAGTAGGAAAAAGTAAGAGAAGAGGAAATTGGTAAGTACGGCGCGACGGTGCCGCTTTAATTTGTTTGTCTACCCACACATTTTCAGTCTGTCTCTCTAATTCTCTGTTTGTCCACCCCCCTACCAGTCCACCTCCCAAAACCCCTATTCTGTCTGTTTACCCCACTATTAACCTCCTGTTTACCCCTCCATTTTCATGCTTTCTACCCCGCATTTTCAGTGTGTCCGTCCCCAACCAAGCGCACTGAATGAGAGGTGAATGGAGAGAGATATTCCCACCACCTATCACAACATTCATTGCTGGTATGAATTGGTATGACTAAGGAAGTTTGTAACCTCTGCCTTAACCGTACCTCCAGTGGAGGGCAGGCATTACAACCCATTCAATGAGCTGAATTGGTTGTAGTACCTAGAGTGTCCCTGTAAATGACATGTCAATCCTTCATTCCGCTTCTCCTACTAATTAGGTAAGCTTCCAGGACTGATTGCTACAATGTAGGCAGCTACTGAGTACCACCTTATTTTGAGAACACCAGGGTTGTGTGAACTGTCAAGGTTTAAAAATGAGTTTCAATTGTTTTGTCAAATAGCCGAGCTGAAAACAGTGCTGACATTTTCCAGTTTGATTGTTGTTGCCGACTTCGAATTCCAGACAATTCCCAATATAGTGAATAACCCTATATTCTTTGTTTTTTTTCAGCTATACGGCAGTATGTGTAAAAGGACATAGACATTGAGCAATCATTAGGGACATACCCCAGCCTTCCTTTTATTTTAGAGGTGCACTGCGCACACCTTGGCACTCAACTGGATTAAAGACAAGGCTGGAGAATTATATAATTTGAAATCATCTTAATAAAGCAGAACGGCAATTACTGATATACTGTGCTGCTGGCAGTATCAGAGAAACAGACTATGCATATATTTTGTTTGAAGGAAAAAAATGTATATAAAATTCTCTGCAAAATTATGGGCTACGAGAAGCACATTGCCGATAACACACATTAAAGAGAAAGGTTACTTAGCAACAGAAAAGGAAGCAGATTTCTTTTCATAAATGGGAAAAATGCATTTGAGAAAGCCACGTGTAACATTGGTTCATCCATTGCGCTTAGCTGCAGCCTGCAGGGCACAGCAAGGGTGTCTGGGAGTAAAGTGATAAAGAGGTAATGCTGCAATGCAAGGAAACTCTCAAGGGTCAGACTCACTGAACAGTAAACTGTGTTGAATAAACAACTGACACGCAATTCATAATAAAGATTCTTGATTTGAAATTTAGTTTTTCCAGCTTGGCTATTTTGGCTCAAATCCTGGAATTTGAAAATAGACAATGCAAGCAAACACATAGTGTGTTTGGGAAATGAATATCAAATGTAACCAAATTGTATTTAATATTAAAACGGATAACTGTAAACAAGTATGACCTAGAACTGTGCTGGGGGCTTTGAAGAGAAAGAGGATAAGGTAAGTGTATCTGTTTTATCAGAGCCCTGCTGTGCAAGTGGACATGGCACCATAGAGGGTCTTTTAAAAAAACAAGAAACAAACGTCAAAACCTCCAACAGCATTTGTTAAAAAAATAAAAGTGTAACATTTCATCAGATAAATCTGAGACATATATTGTATATAGATTTGTGTTATTTTGTAACAAGCTAAATGACGCAGTCTGAATTGATAAAAACTGTTTTATTTTTTCAGATGTTTCAAAATTAAATTGGCAGCGATACATAAAATGTCAGCACAAGATGCTGTCAATATCATTGCTGGCATGCGTGAAATTATAAAGTAAAACTAATGAACAGAAGCAGTTCTGAGCTGGGCAGTTGTAGAAGAGAAGTAGAGAATCGTGTGGATCCCAATGACACATCAGGTATGTCTTCTGTGAGTGTCCGTTCGGCTAAGGCTTTATGTACTGGTAAAGATATCACAAACTGCACATTATACCTGGCGATTACCAGTGTTCAATGAGTTAAAGTTATAGCAAAGTGCCCAAAAATTAAAAAAAAAAAATATATTTTTTTTTAATCCTTCCATTGGTCCTTTAATTGGAACTGCGTTTTGCATCTGAGAAATAAATAATAGCAAAAACAATACAGGGTTATTTACAAAAGTGAGAATTCAAAATGAATTCCACATTTAAGGCCAGAGTAGCCAAATTGAAAATATGGCTGGTTTAGAGAATTTTTCTAGTTCAGCTATTTTGACCTTAAAGGAACGCCACAACTGGCCCTGTTTTCATAGGAATCCGCAGTTCAAGAAAATCTTGGGATGTAAACAGGAGCCCGATTATCTGGGCTTCATCCTAGGTGATCAGGCAAAATGTGTCACATTCGAGCAGAAACGTGAGGTATGATTGGGATCATTGTCTTGTTGAAAGGTCCAATGGTGCCTAAGTTTCAGCTTCCTCACAGACGGCATGCCGTTTTCTCCTAGGATTTTCTGATACTTAAATGATTCCATCGTGCCTTCCACACGCTGCAGGTTTCCAGTGCCAGACGATGCAAAGCAGCCGCAGAGCATCACGAGCCGCCACCACCATTCTTAACTGTAGACAGTGTTCTTTTCATTCTTCTTCCTCTAGACATACCGCTGATCCATTGGGTTGTGATTGCTTCACAGAACTTCTGTGGCTTATTTATATAATTTAGAGCATATTTAAGCCGACTTTTCTTGTGCGTTCGTGTCAGTAGTGGAGTTCTGTCATGGAAACCTTCTGCCTTTAGTACGCGCTCTGGTTGCAAGTGATTCTATTTAGGGGGTTAAACAATTTTGAGACTGGAAAAATCATTATAAGTTGAATGTAGGGAAACCACCTGAAGCGTTTGTTGTGCTGAGCTATTCCAATTGCGTTTGTTTGATTTGTTTATTGCAAACAGTTGAAAGTCTGTATATTTTTGACAATAAATCTGCTTTTCAGCGGGGGTTGAATAATTTTGATTACAACTGTAATATTGGTTATTATTATACACATACTCATTGCTTGTAATAGGAGCTGCAATTAGTTTACTGCTGAATCAAGTCCAGCGCTTTATGTCATTGTCATGAAACGCGTAGGACAGAACTTGTTTTCTCAGTCAGCTAGTTGCAGCTGCCATGGAATGCATGCACTCTTTGTATCCATCGGAATACAGTGGGAGTATTGCAGAATAATACACACAACACACTCCATGTTTGATGTTCTGTATTCCGGTACAGTAGGACAGTGAGCCGTTTACACAAAATGGGCTCTTTGTGCAAAGTTTCAGGTTCAGGTAGTTTTTCTTCCTCTGGTTTTCTCTGAAAGGCTTTATCTGTTACATGAAGTTATATTTTGAGCAGTGCAGAAGGAAGTGCTCTCTGTTTCACTGTCTGTCTCATCACTGATAATGCTTTCATTTTGAGCTTCTGGCTAGGTCTGTGCCTGCTTCATTCTCTAACAGGCAGTCGGGCTGTTTTTGGTGAGTGTCGTCCAGTAGAGATATTGAGCTTGTGTGTTTGATAAAGGTTCATGGTAACTCTCCCTTTCCAGTGGGATTCTCCATCATTTAGTTCTGATAGCTGATGCTTCCTTTGGGTAGGAGGGCTGGAACTCATGTTTTGGTGTGAGTGAATGCTTTGTAGTTAAGTCTTTCAGTGCGTGCGAATGCTTTAAGGTCTATTGTTTTAATATGGCAGTATTCATTCATGCAGTCCTATTTCTATTTTAAAAGCAGTGCTTTCCTAATCACAGAACCTTTATTTAACTATTTACAGCAATGTATATATATCATATATCATGTTATTTTCTGATACCAGTATGACTCTCCTATACAGTGCACTGTTTACCTGATCACTGCAATGTACACTCAAACACTCATGGTTTTCTGATCCCAGCAATGCTTTCCTACACAGTGCACTGTTTACCTAATCACTGCAATCTACACTCATACACACATGGTATTTCCTAATAACACTTTTTGTCGGTGCACTTGTACAATTCACTGTATATTCATTAATCATACTCTTTAACTTAAAGAGTTACTCCAGCCACCATGATCACTTCTCCTTTTAGAATTTGTGCAAGCAGTCAGTATATGCAGCATTTCAGCTTGAAACCTGTGTATTTGTACTGGGATGTACTTGCGCCCCGTGTACACACATGATTTAACCAGCCCGCAATTCTGTTCTGGATTGTCTTATGTGGTTTCTGTGCAAATAATACATAATTAGCTCCTTCACTTGCAGGCAGTGCTCTGAGAGAGCCTGCAATGTGATCCCTGTGGGACTGTGTGTATTCTGCTCGTTCAATCTCTACTTTGAATATTGTCCTACCTTTGTTCAGCTCTCACCCACCACTTTTTGGCATTTCCTTCAGTTTAGCCCTTCATACCTCCCACTGTCCAGCCCTCTGTCCCTGCTTCTATTTCAGGTCATGGTGTTTGCTGCACGTGCGTCTGAGGAACAACAATGATTCTCTGTGAAGTATTTAATTGGACTTCAAACTGAAAATTGATGAAAAAGTATACACCTCAGGGAGCACTTGGGCCCGGCTTTTTCATAGTTGCTTTTTTATTTATTTATTTAATTTTTAAAGGAAAGGGGATCAATAAGAGTGCGTAGCTGATTAATCCATGTACAGCAAAATTAATATGCTTGGAGTAATTGAATTCAATACTTTACTACAATAAGCATTTGGATGCGCGAGAGGCACTCACCACGAATGCCCATCAGTTAAAATTTTTCCTCTATGAGGAGTATCGGATTGGCCATCGGTTTGAAAGCCGGGTGATGTTGCCGGAGGAGGAGCTGGCGGCAGCTCTGAGGAAGTAAGTAAAAGGTAAATTAAAAAAACGTATTTGTTCAGGTCTTTGCTGCAACTCAGACATCAGGAGTACAGGTTTGTATAGTGTTCCTTTACGGGTGCTGTATTTGTTTCTTCTTTTTAAGCAAGAATTCCTCGAGGTACATTTTCTAGTTGAGATGGTGTCAGGATTATATTGATGAATAGTATCACACCCTAGAACTAAGGGTAATGTCTTACCGGACCTTAGAATGGCCAGACTTAACTTTCCCAAGAATAGTCAGAAAACTAGCCGAGGTCAGGTACACAGAACGAGATACATCGATAAGGAATAGCCAATAGTCAAGGGTACCAGAAATCAGGGAAGCCAAAGTCAAAAAACAGATCAGGAACACACTCTCGGGTAACCATCTAAGGGAAACCACGACAGGCCAATGAGCTAAGGAATAAGTGAGTTTATATAACCCTCTTGCAAATCCAATTGGCTGTACCTAGCCCTTGACCCCAAAACATGTGTGTGTGTCTTTTGCGTGATGTCACCTGCACGCCAACGTCGTCTTTACCGTGGTCGGACGTGGGGCTATATAATTGCGTGGGTCTGCAGCGGCCGGTTTGCACCGACATGCCGCACAAGCCAGGCAACTTGGCAGAAGACCGCCACCGGCACTCCCCTCGATCTTCAGAAGGTAATTATCTATGTTTTTGCCACATGGATACGAATGATACGTGACAGATGGGCGGCTGGTAAATGGAACTAGCATGGGATTTGTAATTTACCAGTAGCAGGATGGAGTTTTACCTTAAATTTACCTCTACTCCAGAAACCACTTTTTAGTTTCTGAATCAACTGAGCAATTCATGCATGATCATACCGGTTCTTTGATGATTTTACATGGTGTACAAGTCTAATTAGCCCTATAATCTTAAAGTATTTCTCCTGGGAATTCAGCTGAGCATGCTGAGGAAGTATAATGGAGATTTAGAAGCTTGTAAAACGCGGCATGTATTTTTTTCAGATTGACAATGGGGGTTGTGAAAGAACTTCCTGTAATCTATAAACATAACTGTGTTCCTCGTTTATAGTGTTGTTTGTTTTAGAGAATAATAAGTATATGTTTGTTTTATTCTAAGCGTTTTTAGTTGTTACAGTGGCAGAGTATTTGGGTTCCCTATCCAACTTATTAAACTATGCTGTTTTCAAATGGGCTTCACTGATCTAGTCACAGGGGTAGGCAACCTTGGGCACTCCTGATGTTTTGGACTACATCTCCCATAATGCTCTTACATCCATAATGCTTGCAAAGCATCAAGGGAGATGTAGTCCACAACATCTGGGGTGCCCAAGGTTGCCTATCCCTGGTAGTGAGTTTAAAATAGATCAACTGATCGCGGCGTAACAATATCGAATACACGATAGGTACTACATATATATATATTACATATATTATATGTATATTACTTATATTAGATGTATAGACTCTATCAACTCTGTGTCAGCATGTCAGGTATAGGACCTACATTTCCCTGGTCCTGCAAGTTAAGTAGTGTTCTTCGGAGTAGCATTTGTCAACCATGCAGATTTGTTATTTGCATCGTTTAGTTATTCCTCCATGAGAGTTATAGGGTACAAGATATCGTAACAAATTACAGTACATTATGTACATCATAAAATATAACATATTGTAAAAGAAAATATAACATAGTGTAAAATAAAAGTTGATACAGCACGTACAGAGGACATTACTACTGCGTGGGTGGTGTAGTTCAAATCCAGAATACTCTTTGCCTGCGTGCCCCCCTCTACTTTTGCCACTTGTCCATTCATTTATGTATCTTGGCTTGGATACCAATGTGCTGATGCTGCCTCCCCCCTCCTCCCTGCCCCCAGTTTGCCCAGAGGTTATTATCGTGTGAGTGCTTCATCCCCTTTTTGCCTCCCAGGCGCCGTGGATGCTTTCATGTATTCCCTATTACTTTGCGGTACCTTTATATTTTCCACGGTTCCCAGATCTTGTCATATACATGTATTTTGTTGTTTAGAGACTATCTCATTTACTCCATTACCCTAAAATTTTCCACCAAAGACAACCAAGCCGTCTTTGATGGTTCATTAACCTTTTTCCAATTTGCCACGACTTCTATTTTTGCCGTCGTGGGCATAAAGTATAGCAGTGAGTTTTTGTATTTGTGTTGAGATGTGGTAGACTCGGGTACATGCAAGAGCATCGTCGGGACATCTAAGGCCTAGGACAGGGGTAGGCAACCTTCGGCACTCCAGATGTTGTGGACTACATCTCCCACAATGCTCTTACAGCCATGATGCTGGCAAAGCATCATGGGAGGTGTAGTCCAAAACATCTGCAGTGCCAAAGGTTGCCTATCCTTGGCCTAGGATAAACCCAGTACATTCTTAATCGTGTCCTTCACCTCCCTCCAGTATTTTTGTACTATGGAGCATTCCCACCAGATATGTTGAAGACCACCCTTTTCTTTGTGACAACGCCTGCATATCGGGGAGATAGAGCCATCCATGTTACGTAAACTTTGTGGTGTGGTATACCACCTAGTGAGTAATTTAAGTTCGCCTCCTGTAATGGTAAATTTATATGTGAGTGAAAGGTTCTCTTAAACACCAGAAGCCACATCTGGGCAGGCAAGCGTTCAGTTAAGTGTTTGTTCCATACTTTATACCTGAATTTGTCTTATCATCTAATCATTTCATGGTCGATCGAGTAGGAACGTTTCAATATGTGTGTACAATGTTATATAAATATATGTTAGCCTTGGTTTATTGTACTGCTTTTTATCAAACTGTACAGATCAAAGTTCTCCTGTTCTTGGATAGCAGGGGGGATGGGGAGAAGGAAAAGGGAGCGAATACAAAGAAGCACACAGGAATATGAAGAGTGATATGCAGAGTCCGTCACACAAGAAACTAAGCCGGCATTGAACAACGATCTTGATCACATTGACCAGATCAAAGGTGAGTGAATGCACTAGCTAGATTTGCTTTGGAATATTCTTGCAAAGCTGCATTTTCTCTGCAATGCTTTACAGAGTGCTGATCTTTACCCACTTGTCTCACAGGATCTGTTTCATTTAAAAGCATATCTCAAAGATCCTTCCAAAACGTCTCAATCTAGAAAAAGTTCTTCAGCCTGCCGGACCTGTTTTTCTCTCGCCGTGTTCTTAGTGAGTGAGTAAATTAATGCATTCCAGCCTATTTCTCTCTGTGAAATGTCCATGATTTGTTCCTAGTGAGGCTTCTGTTTTGTTTGTTTGTTCGGTTGGTTGTTCAATTGTGGAATGTCATGTATGAGACAGTCACGTTTTAGTTTCTTGTAAATGTGGAAAAGCACAAAATTTACCACCACCACTCCAGAGTAGATAGTACTTTTGCAATTACACCACTCATATTTCTTGTATATATGGGCCTGTGTGATAGTGTATATGGATACATAATGCGAAAGGACAATAACCTTTTGGAACAGAGTTTCAGGGACAAGAGAAAATCATGAGTCAAGAAATTTGCACAGAATAAATCAAGGCTGCGCACGCGTCCTGTGTGTCCTTAAACAATCTTTCACCTAGTTGAACTCGATCCACCTATTAAACTAATAAGAACTTGGCCTGTATGTGGTAAACTGATCTGAGAAGACATTTGGTAAATAAGATTCTCATGGAGACATGATAGAAAAGGTTTCGCCATGTAGCTGAAGACAAATGTTTTTTAATAGTAATTGTTTCTAATTCTAAAATCCCAACTTTAGAGAAATGGGTTTAGTTGGTTTTCCAACCATTATTTTGCATGCAGGAAAAAAAAAAAAGTCCATCGAGTTCATAATTTTTTATTTTTTTTGATCCAAAAGAAGTTAAAACAAATTCCACAAATGCCACAAAGAAAAATCCTTTTTGAATCCATAATGACTTCACTTTGTATCAACAACCCTCATACATGTTAATTATAGCAATTAATATTTTGTTTTTCCAAAAAAAATATTCATACTTAAAGGACCACTCTAGGCACCCAGACCACTTCAGCTTAATGAAGTGGTCTGGGTTCCAGGTCCAGCTAGGGTTAACCCATTTTTTCATAAACATAGCAGTTTCAGAGAAACTGCTATGTTTATGAATGGGTTAAGCCTTCCCCTATTTCCTCTAGTGGCTGTCTCATTGACAGCCGCTAGAGGCGCTTGCGTGCTTCTCACTGTGATTTTCACAGTGAGAGCACGCCAGCGTCCATAGGAAAGCATTATGAATGCTTTCCTATGTGACCGGCTGAATGCGCGCGCAGCTCTTGCCGCGCGTGCGCATTCAGCCGACGGGGAGGAGAAGAGGAGGATCGGAGGAGGAGAGCTCTCCGCCCAGCGCTGGAAAAAGGTAAGTTTTTACCCCTTTTCCCTTTCCAGAGCCGGGCGGGAGGGGGACCCTGAGGGTGGGGGCACCCTCAGGGCACTATAGTGCCAGGAAAACGAGTATGTTTTCCTGGCACTATAGTGGTCCTTTAAAGAATTTGATAAGACAACCACTTTAGTTAGAGAATTCCACATCTTTATTGTTCTTACTGTAAAGAACCCTTTCCTCTGCTGTAAGTTAAAACTCCTTTCTTCTAGTCACTATGGGTGACCTCTTGTCTGTTGTATTCCTGCTAAAGAACAGGTTAGCACATTGTGGTTTGTACTGACCCTGTAAATGTTTGTATTGTATAGTGCTATCCTATCTCCACTAAGGCATCTTTTCTCTGAAGAAAACAAATTAAATTTTTCTAGCCTTTCGTCATAACTTATGCTTTCGATCTTATTCATTTTGTTCATTCTGTATTGAATCTCGTGTATTACTTGCCTGCCCAGTCCTTCTATTAATCTATTTTCCTGGGTGTAGAAGTTTTATCGTATTTGGACTGTATTATCTCACATAGTTTGTGTCCCTTTGTCTTGTGCCTACCCTAACACACATCTTTAACTGCTCTCTCTCTTCTGGCACTGTTCCTGCTGACCTTAAACATGCCACTGTAATACCTATCCTGAAAAAAACATCTCTTGACCCATCCTCCCCTTCTAACTATCGTCCCATATCCCTGCTCCCTTTCTCATCAAAGCTTTTGGAAAGACTTGTCTTTACCCGTGTGTCCCGCTTCCTTAATTCCAACTCTCTCCTTGACCCTCTTCAGTCTGGCTTCCGCCCTCTCCACTCTACTGAGACTGCTCTTATCAAAGTGACTAATGACCTAATCTCCGCTAAATCCAAAGGTCACTACTCCATATTAATTCTCCTTGACCTCTCTGCTGCCTTTGACACCGTTGATCATGCTCTCCTCCTTCAAACTCTTCAATCGCTCGGTCTCTGTGACTCTGTCCTCTCTTGGTTTTCCTCCTATCTCTCCCAACGCTCATTCAGTGTCTCCTTTTCCAAGGATACCTCCTCCCCTCGTCCTGTCTCTGTTGGAGTTCCCCAAGGGTCTGTCCTTGGTCCCCTTCTATTTTCTCTTTATACTGCCTCTCTTGGTAAACGTATTGCCTCTTTTGGATTCCACTACCACCTGTACGCTGATGACACTCAGATATACCTCTCCCCTGCCGTCCTGCAATGTGTCACTGCTTGCCTTTCTTCCATCTCTGACTGGATGTCCTCACGCTTTCTGAAACTTAACCTCTCTAAAACTGAACTCCTTGTTTTTCCTCCTCCTAATACTGATCCTCCTCTCTCGCTCTCCCTTCAAGTCAGTGATATCCACATAAGTCCATCCCTGCAAGCACGCTGTCTTGGCGTCATACTTGACTCTGGTCTCACCTTTGAGTCTCACATCCAGTTTGTTGCCAAGTCCTGTAGGTTCCAACTCAAAAACATAGCCCGCATTCGCCCCTTTCTTACGCAAGATGCTACCAAGGAGCTTGTCCATGCTCTAGTAATTTCCCGCATGGATTACTGTAACCCTCTCCTGATTGGTCTCCCCAAAAGCCGTATTGCCCCGCTACAGTCTGTAATGAATGCTGCAGCTAGACTGATTTTCCTCTCTAGTCGGTCCTCTCACACCTCACCCCTCTGCCAGTCCTTACATTGGCTCCCTGTATGCTATAGGAGTCAATTCAAAGTGCTAACCCATACATTTAAAGCACTGAACAATTCTAGCCCCTCTTATATCTCTTCACTAATCCATAGATATGCCCCTCCTCGTACCCTCCGCTCTGTCCGTGACCACCTCCTGACCGCTGCTCGTACCCGTACGGCCAACTCGCGCTTGCAGGACCTTTCGCGGACGGCTCCTCTCCTATGGAATAGCTTGCCTACTGCCATCAGACTCTCCCCTAGTCCTCAATCATTTAAGAAGGGCCTTAAAACCCATCTCTTCAGGAAAGCGTATAATCTGCAAACACCGGCACATGACTTTCTTTTTTTTTTTTTTTTTTTTGGTATGCAGGTAGGTACAACAGTGCCCATATCGCCACAACAGCATCAACAGGCTCAATTATCATAGTTATAACAGTTGCGTGGCATGTTAAGTTTGCATACATTTTTTTTTTTTTTTTAAATAAAATAAGTAATGGTAGAGTAAACAAGCTGTTATCAATATAGCTCTAGGCTCAACAACAAATTTTGTTTCTTTCTAGACATTCATGACATTCCTAGGTACTTACAGGGTTAATAATATGTTGAGTGGGTTAACAGTTATTTTTCAAGCTATGACAACAGCATTCTCATATTAGGGTTATGTAGTCGCTATGAAACAGGTTGGCAAGTTTAGTTAGAACATATCTAGTCTATTAATGACACTTATACTGTAGGTACCCATATCGAAGTAAGCTTGTAGTGAGTAACTTGTACGAGGTTCTGATACATGTGAACTAGTTAAAACTTAATAAAGATTAATCATTACGTTAGCTCCGGTTAGGTCACTGAGGGGAACTAAATAGATGAGTAAATGCAATTTGCTGAAATTCGATCAAGCATAAAATTAACTAATGTATATTAATATTGCCTCTTTTGGTACCGGCAAGCTGGGTATGGCTGTAAGTCCTGAGGGGGGACATGGGTACCTCGCTCGAGGGCACACGGCACGGTCAGCCAATGCCTCGGCTCGGCAGAACCATACCGTCCCTGGAGGATCCCAATTTCTTCTGGGTGCGTCTCTGTGGCAGATCAAGCTGTGGTTTTCGTCTGGCTGCTCGTTTGGAGTCTTTGCAGTGTCTGGAAGGTGGAGTGCCCCTTCGGCCCTGGAGCTGTGCGAGGGCTGGTACTGTCTGACCACGAGCCTGGAGTCCTGTAGGGTCCAGGGACTCCCCTGTTGGGGTGGTGCATCGGGCCTTCTGTGGGTCAGGTGTGTGTCGTCGCGTTTTCTTTGCGGCCCTCCGCTTGTGTGGCCTGTACCTGTGGGTCTGGACCCATAATGCCCTCAGCCCAGGCGGGCGTCTCGTGCGAGGTGCAAGTGTGAGGTACAGTGTTATGCCTTTCAGAGGTTTCCCAGGCCTCACTGTGCTGCAGGCTTGATCTGTAAGTGGTGTTTGCTTAGACGCCGCTGGTTGCGTGCGGGCCTGGAGCCGAGCCCAGAATCTATCAAAAATAGCATTGAGTGAGTCTCTTGTATTGAGATCGGGGCTAGTCACTTCAGGCTGCAGCATTCGCATGCCGCGTGTATCTGAGCCCGCTGAGACCGCCGAGACCGCCATCTTGGAGAGCTTCTCCTCCGTTCTGTCTGTGATCACTGTCGACCCCCTTGACAGGTACACGGCGGGGACCGGGATATCCCCCACCGGTCCACAGGGTGGGGGTGGGGGGGAAGGTTAGTACTTGCTTACGGTTTGGAGCAGCTTGCGGGAAGCGGCCGTCCTCCCACCCTACCATCTCCTGTAGGCCGGGTGTCAAGTTTGGTATCCGCGGATATGCGCCGGCTTCCCCAGTCTGTAGGGCTTTTTTAGGAAGGAGTCCCAGCACTGTGGTCCGAGTTATTACGCTTTTAGTGTCCGTGCAGCAGGAGCTCGTGCAAAGCATGTCTTGCTTGCTTGCTGGTCAGGCTCCGCGCCCCCGGCACATGACTTTCAATGCCCGCTTCAAGATCATTTATAACCTGATTAAAGTGAAGTGGATCCAGAACAGACTCCTGAAGCACATACCACTTTTGCCCAATTTAAAAATTTACAATTACTCTTTGCACTCTATGTTTATGCCAGTATTCTATGCAAGAACAACATTTGGCATCTAGAGTAACCTTTTGTGTGGAACTGTATCACATGCCTTAGCAAAATCCGAATAGATCATCTGTACATTTTTGACAATAAACCTGATTTTCAATGGGGATTAAATAATAATGATTGCAACTGTACCTTGGTTTCCATCGCATGTCTGTTTAATGCAGTGTTCACATGCATGTGTTTGCATCCACAAAGTTTATAGCGGAGTCCTAGCATGGAATGCATGCAGCCATGTGTTTGGCATTCTGGGATGGACCTATAAACACTGTGTGACATGTGCAGGTGCACTCACATCTCTGACCAGCTTAGCTATAGTTTATCCCTCCATGTAAATGATTTATGGCCAGGTTCAGGTGCAGTAGTTTTCCCTTGTGCATCTGCAGTAAAATTGCTGTTCAAATATCAGAGATATGTATTTTATCTATTAAGTAGTGTAATGAATAGGTGAAATGTTTACTTGTCACCATATTATTTTTTGTATAATAGGTGAATTTGATTTTGGTATAATAGGAATAAATGTTATATTCTGTTCTTATTTTTAGAGACTCCCTTCAACTCTTTGCTGAATTCCATGGAGTACAAGTCCAACTGCCCACCTTCCCGGGTGGTTATAATCGGAGCTGGTTTTGCTGGACTTGCTGCAGCTACCACCTTAGTAAAGCATGGATTTAAGGACCTAGTCATTCTTGAAGCTTTAGAACGAGCTGGTGGCCGGGTCTGGACACATAAACCATTTGGGACTGCTGCCTTAGAGTTGGGTGCGACATGGATCCATGGCCAAAAGGATAACCCACTTTACAGCATGGCCAAACAGCATGGACTTCTGGCAGAAGAAGGCTTTAATATGGTCAGCTGCCAACCAGTTACAGTTACCCCTGAGGATTACTTCTTCACTGAGCATGGGAAAACTCTCCCAACCGAACAAGTAGAACAAGTAACTGGATTTTTTGGTCGATTGATGTCTAAGATTAATGAACAAGATATTAATCTGGACTGTGGATCCTGGTCTGTTGGGGAGTACTTGGATAAGGAATTCACAAAGACCAACTTTTCAGACATAGAAGTGTCTAAGGGAGTCTATGAGTGGTGTAAGCGTGCTGAATGTGTTGATGAGGCTTGTAACTCAATGTATGAGTTCTCTTTGAGCCAGCTTAGCCTCTACACTGCACTGGAAGGTCCATTTTTTAACTGTCTTGGTAGCGGAGGTTACCAAGCATTGCTTAATATATTGCTGGAACAGCTACCTCCCAATTCTCTCCGGTGTCAAAAACCAGTTCAGTGCATTCATTGGGAAGGGTTGCCTGTAGACTCGAGCAATGTTTCTGTCTATCCGGTAAAAGTACATTGTGAAGACGGTGAGGAATTTCCAGCAACTCATGTAATTGTTACAGTGTCTCTTGGCTGCTTGAAACATCAGGCATCCAGCTTCTTTGATCCACCACTACCACGAGGTAAGATGGAAGCAATTTCTCGACTGGGGTTCGGTACAGTGGCCAAAATATTTCTAGAATTCTCTGAGCCATTTTGGCCTGAGAACTGTGCAGGAATACAGCTGGTGTGGGATTGTGGCCCTGAGAGTCCTGAGGGATATGCTTATTGCAAGAGCGGAGAATTCTGGCGGTCAGAGTGGTATAAGAAGATCGGAGGGTTTGATTGTGTTCCAATGCATCGTAGCACTCTCTGCGGCTGGATCACTGGACTTGCTGCAGAACACATGGAAACTCTGCCTGAGCGTGAAGTGGGAGACGTATGTGTCAGGTGAGAGTGGAAGAACCTTTTCATTTAAGGGAAAAGGCGTAGATACAATGCTGTGAGACTGAATTAAAAAAAGTAGTTGGGCATTGCAGTTCACATCTCATTATAATTAATAAGACTATGAAAGCCTACTATATATATATATATATATATATATATATAGTAAACAAGAGCACTCAATGGTTTTGAAAGTAAAAAGAAATGTGTATTTACGGTCGCATATACAGATCAACGTTTTGGCCGACAAACCGGCCTTTATCAAGATGCTGAACAACCTACAATGTGCGTTATATGTAAGAAATACTTAATCAGAAATTAAGCTTACCATAAACTGGTGAAACATCAAACCCCAGTGCCACATGCCGTCTGCCGAAACGATGAACGGACCTCCCCTACATGCGTGATGACGTGTTCACCTACCAACGTGTTAAGCCGTATAGCGTTACTATGGTGACAAAGCCTGTCAACACTGAAGTGCAAAGTGGAAAAGTGCAGAGAGATTAAAGCCATATGCACGGAGGATAACACAGAACATAAAAATTTAAAGATTTAGGCAAAAAGAATACATGTAGAGTATATGCATAAGCCTGAATATGTAATATATAAGAGAGTAGAAATATAAGTAAAGAACGTGTGATGAATAGAATCATCTCATAACTGGTAAGAGTGAAAAAGTCTGTAAATGAAAATAATGTGAAGAAGTGAAAAAATAAAAGTAGAAAAAAGAATATCTCATTATAATTAATAAGACTATGAAAGCCTACAATATATATTATAAAACCCACATAATCTGTGTGTCATAAGAACAGGCTCATTAACGTAATCACGGAATTCGACCAATTACTATTCTTAGTAATATACACCTGATTTTTAAAAGGAGCTAATTCTTATCTTAGTAATGCAGGTATTGCCCCACAAGCTCCTGAGTTCGTCTGGGGTAAAAAGGTTCACCAAATAGCTGAGATAATTATACTCATTGGACAAGCTCTAAATAGCATTGATAGTACATTTAATGACACTAAATAGTAGTGGTGCTGTGTCAAGTACACACTAAAGACATATTGTTAAAAGCACCTATGCAACTTTTAACCATTTTATAATTTAAAAAAAAAAATTTTATTTCAGTTTTTCTTTATTTCGTGAAGACAAAGTTTTGGGGTGCAGAAGAGAAAATGGAAGCATTCAGTTGTTACATATAGGGGTTTTATAAAATCATGTGCATATGCTTATACCTTTATCGCTACTTTAGTTCTGGTACATTTCCTGTTGTAGCTTAACATTGGTTCTGCTGGATGATCTTGGTTTAGATCCAGTCAGATGGGGCTGTTGTCTCTATCTAGAACCTTATAGGAGGTTGGGGAACAACTGAGGGTTGTCAACTTGTCGGAGGGATAGGGAGTTGTAGGGGGAGGCGGGAAGAGGTGAGGGTCTAACGGGGTCCTGCCTGGTACGGTGGTTATTCCTTGGTTCTTTATGCTCTGTCGTGTATTCAGTGGTTCTGCGTACTGCATTATTGTCTAGACCTCTAAGTGTCTAATCTAGGAGTGCTTAGGTGGCCTTTTCCTCTGGGGGTCTTTTCCAGAACTCTGTCCAGGGCTCCCATCTCTGGAGATATTTATATCGTTTCCTTATTGATGTCCAGTGGATGTCCTCTAATTCTCTGGTTCGTTCTACCCTTTGTACCCACTGCTCTTTGGATGGTGTGCTGGTATTCCGCCAGTTTAGCGGGATAAGAGCATTTGCTTCCCCCAGTAGGAGGTGTAGCAACTGTTGCTTGTGAGATTCCGCAAATGTGCGGGGCCAGCCAGAACCTGGGAAGGGGTTAGTCGAGTCGGTGGTTTCAGTATTTTAGTTATTTCAGAGAGTATGAGGAGCCAGAAACCTTGTATGTCTCGGCAGCTCCACCAAATATGTTCTACATTCCCTAGACCGTTTGAACATCTCCAGCATATGTTACTGATTGAGGGCCAGATTGAGTGTAGCCGGGTTGGAGTCCTGTACCACTTGGTGACTCTTTTATAGAAGGTCTCCCTGTGTGCTACACTGGTTGGGGTTTTGATTCCCATTTCCATGATCCCTGACCAGTCTTTGTCAGAGATATGTATTCGGAGGTCTTTCATCCAGTTCTGTTGGAATGACAGTGGTTTATGTTCCTCAATTGATCCCTGGAGGATGCGGTAAATTTTAGACAAGGGGCGTCTAGGGTCGCCCCCTGGGCCACAAAGGTGCTCAAAGGGTGTGTCTGCTCTCTGTTTGCAGAGGGGAATGACGGTTCTTTTTAAGAAGGTCTTAAGTTGTGTTCTGCCTATCACCTCAATGAGCGTGTCATGCCTGTGTGGTCTATAAATGGCCCTGGCAGTGGGGGGGGTCTCCCACGATCATTTCGGTTATGTCTGGGGTGGGTGCTCCCATGAGGCGAGTAAGGAGTGGTCCCCCACCACCCCCCTGAAAGTCAGGATTGTCTGCTATAGGGAAGAATCTCAACAGTCCCGGTGACAGTCCCCATTGGTCTTTATATCTTCTCCATGTTGTGAGGACGTTGTGTATGAGTGGGTACCGTGTCGAAGTGAGCTTTGGGAGTTGGCATGTTTGCCACGGCAGAGTGTGTAGGGGGACTGTTTTATAATTTATTACATGTTCAAATTTGCACAGATTTGTTAAAAATGTTTTGCAACATGCGGCATTTTAAACCTAAACTCTAAAATATTTCATATTTGTTGCTTACAGTACCTGGTACATATTTAGGTACATTCATTTTTTTTGTCCTGCCCAACTGTCGCATTTCTCCAATAATACAGTTCTTCATGTCATCAAAAAAGTTTAACAAATGTTTCTGGGAAATGTAATTGCTGTGTAGAGATTTATGAGACTAAGGCCTCGATTTACAGCCGTCTCCCCATATTCTTCAACTAAAAAGAAGGAAAAAAGCTGTTTAAATGTAAAAATAAAGTTCCATACAATCTCACAGTCACCCTTTCCTACTGATATAAAGAGAACAAGCTCTTCCAATGTTTACATTTGCAGATGCATTGTGCAGCACAGACCCTAAGAGTCAGTTGAAAAAAGGGGAATTGGGGACACATCCGGAACATACATTTTTAGTAGTGGTGCTGCAGTAACAATCAAAATATATCCAAAATACAGATTTAGAAACAGGGCACACATGAAAATACAGTTTTATATTTTACAAGGCTACTTAAAATCACCTATCCTAGCAAACAAATATGGGGTTTCAGTTACACCATATGGCAAAATCGTGTTAAGCCCACCACTACGTCACCGTACTCCAATTTTGGTGGATCTTACTCTTTTTTTCAACATGGGAGACAAATTCAATAGTGCTAAATTAACTAAAGTGTGTTTGATTTGTTGTAAGAGCATTGTGTGTGTGTGTGTGTGTGTGTATATATATATATATATATATATATATATATATCAAACTTAAAGGAGCACTATAGGTTCAGAAACACAAACATGTATTCCTTACCCTATAGGGTTAAAACCACCATCTAGCCCCCCCTGTCCCCCTCATGCCTCCCTAAATATAGTAAAATCTTACTTGAATTCAAGTCTGCAGCTGCTGCTTTGTCCCTGTTTTCTTAAGACCTGCCCACTACCTGCTGACATCAGCAGAAGTGGTAGCCTGATCCAGTCACATAGGATTGGCTGACACTGACAAAGAGGCAGATCAGGAGCAGAACCAGCATGATTCAAACACAGCCCTGGCCAATCAGCATCTCCTCATAGAGATGAATTGAATCAATGTATCTCTATGAGGAAAGTTCAGTGTCTGCATGCAGAGGGAGGAGACACTGAATGTTTGGATGCATTTTAGGCAGCCATGACCCAGGAAGGATCTCTAACAGCCAACTGAGGAGTGGCCAGTGAAGTTATCACTAGGCTGTAATGTAAACACTGCATTTTCTCTGAAAAGACAGTGTTTACAGCAAAAAGCCTGAAGGGAATGATTCTACTCACCAGAACAAATTCAATAAGCTGTAGTTGTTCTGCTGACTATAGTGTCCCTTTAATGTGATAAAAAAAATCAATAAATAAAAAGTACAGTGTCAAAATGAAATAGTGAAAGTGCTGTTATGTATTTATTCACAATGTGTATATCTGCTCTATATCAAAAATAAATTATTACTAAAATGACATTTCTATCCAAAGCCACCTCAAATTTAGACTTTCCTGCGGTCACCTCCAAGGGGATGCAGGGGACGGGTGGGATAGAGCAGGGTGCTCAACCCAAAATAATTCTGGTCTGGACTCCAAACTTGCATAGAAAAAATGGGAAATGGAGTTAAAATTTACACTGTATTTTTGTGTGTGCTTTTCTTTTACCTAAGAGTCAGTTGTGCTTAGTGTTTAGAGAAGCAATATTACTTATCTGAGCTAAGCAGACAATCTATGCTTGGGCTGTGGAGTTTCCCATTAATTTGACTGTCCCTTATGCTTTCACACAATCATTACTTTGTCTTCTTTAAAATCAAATACCTAAATCTAAGTCTAAGTGCCACCCAGTTTCTAACTTCAGTCTCTTACACTTGATGTCATAAAAGTACGGTTAGGTATAAAGCAGTAAGGTGCTGTATTTCACCCTCTCATCAGTTATGCCGCACAGTTTTGAAAAATATATAGAATAATTGACTACAGGATTGCATGCAAATTTTAGCAGTAGATGGAAAATTATTATATGTGTGTAAAAGGGGCGGCCAGATGCCACACGGTGGCATTAGCTCTACAGTGAGAGTCAGTCAGCTCCATCCATCCCGTGTCTGCAGGGCACTTTAGCCGAGCACTATAATAAGCCATATGTTTCTCGTGGAAGCACCATTCTTAGATTTTACTTTTGAGCCATTTAGATATTTCCGGCTCTTACTTATCTTCAGATTGCTGAACAAGGGGTCTCATCTTGTCCGTGCCATCACGGAGGATTCTATTAATAGCCGGCCCCTTTTCGATCATCATGTTGGAAATATCTCTTTGTACATCTGCTAGTAAATGATGCATGGAATGTTACACTTTTAGCACAAACTGAATTATTCACCGTGTCTTATTTTTATAGTTATTTTAAATAGACTCCATCCCTATTAATGCTGTTAATGTGTTTGCATCTGTGCTCTCCTCCTTTCCCATCCATTCCTAATCTGTCCTCCCCCCACTCCTCCTTCTCGCTTACCCACGATTTTGGTATCCTTTCAGTTTGTTGAAGCGTTTCACTGGCTGGCCTGTGACCGAGCTGCGGGGGGTTCTGCGTTCCACATGGCACAGTAACCCCTACATTCGAGGCTCCTACACCAACGTGCCAGTGGGAGTGGATGCGATAAAGGAGCAGACAGCATTACAAGAGCCTCTTCCATCAACCCATCAGAAGAAAAATATCAGGGTATTTACAGTATGGCTGTGGCACTATAACTGTGTGGGAAGCATCTGCTAAAATATTTACGCCTCTTATCAACATATGGTTATTTTATTTATTTGGATTGCTTTTATTTTTTCTATTTTTCTTTAATTAATTAATTTTGTTTTGTCTGGATGGTGCACAAAATAATTTCGCAATAAATTGCCTGGGCTACACAAATTATTTTAATTTACTAATTTACACAACCTCTAGAATCCTAAACTTTATTACAGAATAACTCTGCAATACACCACACCACACTACACTTCTAAAAACACTATTACGGCTTCTGTTCTGATTACCTTGATTTCCTTCCCATATCTCATACATGACAGTCTGACATTTACCTGCATGTCCCATAAGATCTCTTCTTCTTTAAAATCCTGCTAACCATTATCTACATGATCTCTGCACATTCTAGTAATCCTAATCCTGCCTGTTCCCTGCACATTCCATTAATCCTGATCCAACTTGATCCCCGCACGTTCTGTTTCTCCTGATCCTATCTAAACTTACCTAGTATCTGTTTATCCTGATCATACCTGATCCCTGCACATTCTAATAATCCTGATCCTACCTAAACTGCACATTCTACTAGTCTCGGTTCTACTTGTTCCCTGCACATTCTAAATATCCTGATCCCACCTGATCCATGAACATTCTATTATTCCTGACCCTAACTGATCCCTGCACATTCTGTTTTATCCTGATCATATCTAAAACCTACCAAGTCCCTGCACATTCTACATATCCTGATCCCACCTGATCACTGCACATTCTGTTAATCCTAATCCCACCTGTCCCCTGCACATTCTGTTTTATCATGTTCATATTTAAACCTACCTAGTCCCTGCAAAATGTACGTATCCTGATCCCACCTGATCACTGCACATTCTATTACTCCTAATCCCATTTGATCCCTGCAAATTCTATTAATCCTGACCCTAACTGATCCCTGCACATTCTTTTTTATCATGTTCATATCTAAACCACCTAGTCTTTACACATTCTGTGAATTCTGATGCTACTTAAACTCTCTTCACTTTCTCTAACTCCAAATCCTTTGTGAGCCATGCACATTCTACAGACCCTTTTTTTAAAGGTCAACCTAACTAATTTTACATTATTTTTCTGTATGAAGCCTCTGCAGGTGCTGTTTGCTGGTGAAGCCACCAACACCAATTTTTATACAACAACTCATGGAGCCTACCTAAGTGGAGTTAGGGAAGCAGAAAGAATCTTGAAGCTGTATGAGACCAAGGCAAGCCCACGTCTGTAAATCTTCCAGTTACCACTTGACCGACAACACACTAGGAATACGAAACCTACAACATAAGGACTTTCTATGCCACCTGATCTATAGTACATGAATGAACTTGGAATACAAAGCTACATCTACAGAAACTCTGTGCTCTACCAAGTCAACAATTAAAAGATCAGCTTGCAATACGAAGGCCATGTGTTTTTTATTTTATATAATTATCGGTTGCCTCCCACTATTCACTATTGAATGAGAAAAATCCTTCACTGGATCTGATACTGTGAATGTATTGCTATATGTTTTATGCAGTTGTGACAAAATTAACTCCTTTATACATTTAATGAAAAGTGTCCAGCACTATTTCTTTATTCTTTTCAAGATAACATGTATGCACCAGTCACCTTGTCACACAACTTAGTATAATTACAAACAATATATGCACAGAATTGTAGCATTAGCTTTGGTTTATGAAACCTTTAGGGTAACAAATGAGTTTACAAGCCATATTGAAATATTTAGGCAAATGGCTCATTCATAGTTTTCTATGTAAAATATCAAGGAATGCATGGATGGTAGAAGTAACATAGTTGGGATTAACAGTCTTCCATTTTTTTTTCTTTAAAAAAAATATCCAGCACTGGGACAGATTTCTCACTGCAACTCAATCCGACATCACCAAGCTTGATGACTTATGTCCAACTAGATGCTTCTCATAGAAATATTGAAGACGCGTGTCGCACGTGACGCAAACACCATGAAATGCCAAAGCATTGGTTCCAGTGGTTCTCATAGTGAAGCATTGGGCACTCATCCAGCATTCATCGTCCGTATACCGTGCATGCTGTCACCATGCATAAAAGCCACTAGTGACTGTCTGAATTACAGCCACTCAAGGTGTGGGGATTTCGAAAAGAAAGAAAGAAAGTGCGATTTTTCAGAAACCATCTTCATTAAGATGCAGTTACTTAGACTGTCCCTTTAATATAGCAATCTTGATAAGTCCGTCAATTTTAGTCTTTCATGTGTTTATTAAAAGCACTTCATTCAAATGAAGGGGGGGGGAGGATCACAATAAAGGTTATTTAATTCATTCAGTTAATTCATTTTCTAATTAAACAAGTTATTGTTAAAGGACCACTATAGTGCCAGGAAAACATACTCGTTTTCCTGGCACTATAGTGCCCTGAGGGTGCCCCCACCCTCAGGGTCCCCCTCCCGCCCGGCTCTGGAAAGGGGTTAAACTTACCTTTTTCCAGCGCTGGAGAGCTCTCCTCCTCCGTTTCGCCCCCCGTGATCGCACGCGCAAGCGCACGCATTCAGCGGTCACATAGGAAAACATTCATAATGCTTTCCTATGGACGCTGGCGTGCTCTCACTGTGAAAATCACAGTGAGAAGCACGCAAGCGCCTCTAGTGGCTGTCAATGAGACAGCCACTAGAGGATTAGGGGGAAGGCTTAACCCATTAATAAACATAGCAGTTTCTCTGAAACTGCTATGTTTATTAAAAAATGGGTTAACCATAGCTGGACCAGGCACCCAGACCACTTCATTAAGCTGAAGTGGTCTGGGTGCCTAGAGTGGTCCTTTAATAATTTTGTAGATCCTCCTTCTATGTTTATATTGTATTGAAATACCAAATACACTTAGGTATATAAACTGACATACACTGTTAGAACCCCGGGAATTATAAGGAAAAAGAAAGTTTAAAAAAAAAAACAACAGGTATCTAGCTATATTTAAAGACCTCTATTAAATTTGACATTACAAACTCCCTCGGCAGTGAATTACTGATTCTTTTTTTTTATATATATATATATATATAATAAAGAACCCTTTCCAAATCTGAAGTTGAATTCTCTTTCTCTCAGTAAATGATCCCTTGCTCTGTGCACAGTCCTGTTAATGAACAGGTCATGAGAAGGTCTAGGTTTGGTGATTCAATCCTTCAGTGTTCTATGGAGTTTTAGTTCCCCATGTAACCTCTCTATTTTTTAATTTTTACCTATAAAATTGAGAATTAAATTCCATACTGATTATATAACCTTTCATATATTATGCCCAATTACAGCAATTACACTGTTTCCCATTTAATTTATACTATTCATTATGTGTTTTATCCATGTCACAATAATAAAATAAATGTCTCTGATGCTTGCCTGGCTTCTGATTTCAGATGGATGGCATCTCTAACTTGTACGTATGGGTTTGTAAGAAGACAGAAGCAATTCTGTGTGTCATTTCATGTCCTTTAGACAAGATTCATTACAATCCTGAAACACTGAAGCCAGTTATGAAATTATTTAGAATCTGTATCTGAAAAAGATTTTATGTTGATTAAAAACAAACAAAAAAAACCTCTTCATCCAAACCAAACATTGTGCTGTGTGTATTGTCTTTTAGAAGAGTCACCGTTATTGTTTATTGAACACAAACTAGGCACCTGTATGCAATGTTTCAGTAAGAATTACAAAATATGGGGATCTTAGGACATGTCAAATGCCAGTTTTAATTATGTCTGTTTTCTCTCGTGGATATTGTTTTAAATCAGAGTTTACCAAGGAAGGTAGTTAAGAAAGGGACAGCATCCCTTAGTTCAGCATGAAAACTTTAGTTGATTTTCCCCCCTCAAAATGATACAATAATGCAACTTAATAAAGGGATCTATTTAGTAAACATTGAATTGTTGTGAACTGAAAAGGGCATTTCAATATTCACGTTAGAACAGCTGAGATGTAAAAGGTCCAGACTATTTTAGTCTGAAATTTGCAATCCGTTCATTGTGTAGTGACCAAACCTCCGTAAGGTTTTTGGTTCTCATCCACTGTTTTTTTTTTGTTGAATCAGGGGGTCCTTAATGGCTGCAAAAGCAGTTTGACGGGAATGTAACAGGTTAGGCAATTGCAGAAAATGTAATTCTCTACAAGCATCAATAAAAAAAAATTAAATAAAATTATCCTGCATTAACAAATCATTACGTACCCTATAGATTTCAGTTCAGCAGAGTGTGTGTGTGTTTATATCGGTAACTTACATGACAGTTTTATTTTTTTATTTATAAAGCACCAATGATTTTCTTGGTGTGTTCCTGCATGCAGAAACAGTTATTGCAAAGGGTGGCAATGTCAAGATGTTCGATAAAGAACCTCATTTCCATGACAGCTGTAGTGGTTATGGTGCCAGCAGTGCCCAGGCCCCCTTATTATAAGTAGTCAAATCGTTTAAGAGCATTAACCTGTGGCCCATCGGGATCCTCTCTGCATACAGTAGAGCTGAGATCTCCTGCTTAGGAGCTCTGTTAGTCTTCCTGTACGAAGCCAGTAGTTGATTTCGAAGCTCCTCCTGAAATTGATTTGCTGTTGGGTACATTAATACATCCATGGTCAGTCACTAAACTACAGATTGTAGCAAATAAAAATCTAAGTTGCTAAATTGGCAATTAAATAGCCGTGTTGTGATATATAGCTGTGCTGTAAAAAAATTGGATTTTGGGACACACCCGGATCACGTATTTCTCAGAAGTGCTGCTGCCATGGAGACCAATTTATATACAAAATACAGATTAAGGAACAGTGCACACAAAAAGAGTTTTCAATTTTACAAGGCTTCTCAAAATCAGCTATCTTTGCAAACAAATATGGGGATTCAGTTTTTTCAGATGAACTATTTGTGCTAAAATTGTGCTATGCAGTTTTTAATTTGCTACAATTTGGAGTTTTTTGAATAGACTTCATCAACTAACCCTCTCTGTCCACCATTCTGTGATATTGCATTGGAATGAATGGGCTGATTTACATTTTTTAGTTAACCCCTTAAGGACACAACTTCTGGAATAAAAGGTAATCATGACGGAATATTTCCATCATGTGTCCTTAAGGGGTTAAAATGATATGGCTCTTATAAATGTGAGTGCACTGCCATTTACTTTCTGCTTGCAATGTATAAATATATACTCCATAACATATCATTTTCTATATTGTAATTTAGGAATAAATATGAACTTATGAGCTGTTGGAATCCTTGGTTAAAAGCAAATTTCATCAAGACTTGCTTGACTTACTAACTGTATGTCTCGCTAAGTCACTGAGTCAATTTAGCAGAATTTGATATCATGTGAAACTGTACTCTTATTAGTTATACGTCTGAACATTTCATTTCTGCAGCAGAAAGAGACAAATACGTTACAGGATTATTGTTTATAGAAGAAAAGACTTGACTCATGCCCTGTGCAATATCCATTATTTCAGATGTCATATTTTAAATATTGTAATGGCCATTAGCTACTGTATTGGACAGAGTTTTGGTAGTAATTTATACATGCGGTATAAACAATGTATTCCGAGGGGAGGCATTGAAAAGTCACTCCAACCAAAAAACTGTGATTTTATAAAACACCAGTTTTGAGTAGTAACCCTTTCTGGGCTGCTCTGCTCCATCTGCACCCCACCCCAAAAGTTAAAAATACATTTAAAAAAGAAAATTGTTGGGAATTAAAAGTGAATTTCAAATTTAAGGTAAAAAGGTTCTGAATTGGAAGCATTGCTGACCTAGCTAATTTTTCCAACTCAGCTATTTGTTAGGTTGTAAATGTGAAATTATCTTTAAATTCACTTAGAATTTCCTACAGTTCTCACTTGAGTAAATAGTCCTGTAAACTTGACTTTATTTCCTTCGCCAAGGCCAAGTTCTCCCTCAGCCCTATCCTACTTGGCTTGTGTCATTGTCAGGGATGTCAGGGAGGACAGACTGAGGCAAGAACAGGGGCAGCAAAGGGGGAGGGGTGATGTGCCAACATTTGGTTTCTGGTGCCAGCAGGCTGTGCATGCCTGCATCACACGCTGATTTTTCACAGAATTTACATTAGCCAGACCGGGATTGTGTATGACCAATTCCTACTTAATAAATAACCCTATGAGTTGGAAATATATACTACTCATCCAGGTTGGAGATTTTGTTCCAAAGCGACTCATATGGCCTAATTGGGTAGAGGTTAACACAGTAAAGGAATTTAAGCATGTGTGGGATAGACATAAGGCTATCCTAACTATAAGATAAGACTAGGGACTAATGAAAGTATTTAGAAAATTGGGCAGGCTAGATGGGCCGAATGGTTCTTATCTGGCGTCACATTCTATGTTTCTATGACAGATCGGTCGATTGATCGATCGATAGATAGACAGACAGATCGATAGACAGACAGACAGACAGGGATAGGCATAAGGCTATCCTAACTATAAGATAAGGCCAGGGACTAATGAAAGTATTTAGAAAATTGGGCAGACTAGATGGGCCGAATGGTTCTTATCTTCCATCCCATTCTATGTTTCTAATTTTCTATGTCTGTTAACTCACTGAGGGTTATTTTATTTTGTGTGTGTAACAATGCAGTTAAGTGGCATCAATTTCTTATATATCTACTTCTAAAAGAAAAACATTATTGAACAGGAAATAAAGTGATAAAGATAATAAGACATAGATGGCAGACCAAGAGTGATATGTGGGGGATTAATTGTTGGAAAACAATGACAGGAGACACAGCAGATCAAGGAATATTGGAAGAAAACAAAAGGTTAGAACAAAGGGAGGCTACAGTGAAGGAACATGAGACTAATACAGAGTGAGAGATGAAATAAGCCATTGGCTATGTTCAACCCCTGCCCCCACCACTATCTTCTTTCATGTTACACAAGCTGGTTTATTATATATATATAACAGAGTTAGTTACTAAAGTGAGGATTCAAAGTGAATTTCAACTGCAAGTTCAAAATAGCCAGACTAGAACTATGAAGTGTTAGTCGTTGAGAATTCAAGGTGGATATTAAATGTTAGGACAAATTACGCAAACAGAAAGCATGGGTGATTTGAAGAATTTTCCTAATATTGCTGTTTTTTCTGTTAAATTTGAAATTCACTTTGATTTCACTTTGAATTGCTAGCAGATCACGTATCAGTACCCAATTCTGTCTGTTTGTGCAGTGATTTTGGGACTATGTGAACATTTTAATTGGGCTTTTTTTATATACATGTATATTCTATCAAATATTAGAAAATGAGCTCTGGGATATATAGCAAATCTGTATTATTTAATTCCCTCTGCTGGAAAGAGCTTGCCTCCGGCTTTTCAATCTTAAAATATAAATAGATTTATTTACTAAGAAGTGAATTGTAGGGGATTGAAATCTGGATTGCAGAATTAATTCTAAAACAAGTGAGCAGCAATTATAGCTATGTTGACATGAATCTTGCCAATCAGTTTCTATTCCATTACAATTCAGTCTTTATTGATCACCGTCATATCTTTTCATTAAAGAGATTAAATAGAAAACTGGAACTTTTAGGCCCAAACGGCTTTTTCTCACCAACTTATCTGCTACAAGCTACAATTTTCAATTCCTTGGTAAATTCCTGGCAGTGGCACCTCAACATTTAGTGACAAACCCAGGTTATTGTCTCTTTTTCCATCTCTATGCATATTACCCAGCTGGGTTTACCCTATAAATTATATTTTCCTTAGCATTCTTCATGTCTGTTGATAGACAGGCAGAGTCTGTAAAGTGCTGACCTGCAAAATGTCAAATTCATAAACTGCAAGACAGAAACCAATTAATCAAAGCAGTTCACATTGAAAAGCTTGATTATTTGATTAGCCTTCGGTCGCATTAAATACTACATGCACAGGGGATCACTTTTCACGCTCTGCCCATTAGAACGAATACATTATATGTGTCCAAGGAAGCACAAATCTGGGTGATCATTCTAAAATGGAACGATCACCATAGAAACCATGGAATGCCCCTTTTGTTAGTTCCACCTTTCGAACTGTACCCCAGATTTTCTGTTTACAGAATCCCTTGCTGATTTAAAACACAATATATGCTATTGCTGGGATAAACACATTATAGTTAGTGAAGGCTCTGTTGCCATTAATTGTATTTTTTAAAAAAAATCTTACGCACACAGTAACTGTGTGAATGAATGTACTAGGTATCATTCCCTGTTTTATCGTATTTACTTTATGCGCCTGTGCAGTTATGAATTCAAATATTTATTATTTCCAAAAAATAAATATATATTGACACACATCTAATTACTTTTTATTTTTTTATTGTTTTGCTAATTTTGTCATTGATTATCTTTATATTTAATGCCCCCCACCACCCACCCCTCCCCCTATCTAGCAATCTGTTACTGCTATTTTTAAATAACATACTTGAGATATAGAATGCACTTTATCTAATTAGGAGCCAGCCATCCCCTCCTAACTCTCCAATTCTGTCCATTTTATAAATATACATATGTGGGCGTAGTGTGATTACTGTGATTCAGTGTTTCTTGAGGTTTTGCATACATGTTACTGAGAGATAGGAGAATATCAGTGGAGGTTAACCCTCTAGTATCTGCTGTTCCCTGGGTGTAGGTATTTTTGTTTGTTTGTTTGGGATGTGAAGGGTTACAGTGTATATCATATGATGAGCTGCAATGTATCAGCCTTATCTCTTACAATGAGCCAAGAAATGGTACAGGCCAACACTGTTATTTTTCCTGAGCTTGTTTCCATCCCCCTTCCCTGTCACTGGATGGTTTGCTCCGCCTGCTGCTGCTAGTCTAGGAGCTGTCCAGCACCATCAGGAAGGGAGAGGGGCAGAGGAGGAAGAGGAGGGGGGCATGTAGGGGCCACATATAGAAGGACAGCTATAAAGAGCACAGCAAGGAAAAACATGGAGGGGACACACTAGGACTGCCAGATAGCAAGAATACTGATAAGGATGAAAAGGGCTGGGGGGAACTGAGAGAGTAGGGGGAGAGACAAAGGGTGGGGGCCATCAGGGGTCTTAGAGGGGCTGGGGGACACTCTCTGAGAAAGGGGCTGCTGGCAAAAAGGCTAAGCAAAGTGCAAAATCAGGCAGCAGACAGTGGGAGGGAAGGCTGAGTGTGAGAGGGGGGAAAGGGGTTGGGTGGGTACAGAGGGGGAGGGCTTTGCTCACAAAGACCCCCAACTGCAGAGAGAGAAGGAAGGAGAGGGCAGACAGAGAGAGGGGACAAAGGCACCCAGAGAGAGTTACACAGGGAGGGAGACAAAGGAGGTGTGAGTGTGAGTGGGTGGGGGATCCATGAGTGAGACCCATGCACAATACAGCTGAGAGACTGCAAAGTAACAGGAGAGACAGGGGGATGGGTGACAGAGGGGGGAGCCCTGCACATTCTCATGGCATGTTATAGAGTGCAGGTAAATAAGAGACAGCTTTGGCAAGCATTGGGAGAGACCCCCAGGAGAGTGCTGGAGGGTAGCATCAGGAATGACAAAGAGACTATATGATACCTTAGGGGAAAGAAAGAGACAGACTGAGAGCAACCATTGTCACTGCCCAAGGAAGAGACATCCTGGAAGGCAGAGAAGCCATAAGGTGACAGCTGATAACATGTTGTGGATTTCAGGATATCTCCCAGGGATGTAACTCATCCTACCCAGGTACACCACCTTTCTCATTGTACCCCACTATTACTCATTCCACCTGTCCTCCCTGATAAGCCTTCTCTTGCATGGCACAGCAGGGGGCTAGTTTGAATCCAGCTTAGTGGGCCTTCAGTTAGGATATCAAGGGGTTAAAAGACCCACCATTATTAGATGTTGTGTTTTAGCATCAGTTCTGTTTGTTTGGGTTAAATGGTGAATTCACTGCTTGGAAAACAGAGACAATGCGATCATCTGGTTTGTTTTTTCCCAGTCTGTGTTTGTTTTTCTGACAGTTTGGGAATCAGAGATGCTTTGTGATCCACTAGAGCTCCATAACATGCCCATTCAGTATTAGGGTACCCATTCTCCATCAGACTGGGTATGGAGGTCTGATCCTACAATATTCCTTTACCACCTGTGAGTGTTTACAATGTGTGTTAGGCAGACAGATGCCATGAATACAGTGTAAGAGAATAAACTCACATGATCAGATCAGAATTATTATGCTATTGCTTATCAATACTGCAGAATAAGTTGGCATTCCAGTACTAAGAATATTGATACAATAGGGAGTTGTATGGGTGATCTCTGTATTGTTCCCTGGCTCTTGCTCAAGGTGATGTACACACCATGTATGAGTGGTGGGGGTTGTCAAACTTGTCCCTTCCTCTCATAAATATGGTCCCTGCAGTCTAGAGGCTGACTGAGAATGATGGGAGTTATTACTGAACTCTGGTGCAGAGTGTACATGGAATGCAGGGGGAGCATGGATTCAGTTGCAAGCAACCACTTCCCTGGAATTCATGGTAATTCCAATTCTGAGCATACTGGGAGTTGCAGTCCAAAGCAACTATAAGAGAGCTGTTTAGATATGTTGAAAGAAAACTGTGTTAAACCTAGAATGGGAGATATTGTAACTCTCTGTGGGATACAGAATTTATATTATTCATGTTTCCCAAATATATTTCCATATATCAACAAATTTTAATTGAAATTTAAAATGAATTAAAATGTATAAGCATTGTGTTGTGTGTCATGGGAGTGAAGATATGGAAGCATATCCTTCCAAATGACCAGGGTCTCAGAGGGAATTCTGGCATAGCTACCAGCTGTCCTAATATTCCAGCGATTTGGAAAATTATTTTAAAACTGTTTGTTCAAGCCCGAGCCCCAAGAGTTTTATTTGGAACTCAAAACTCGCTGTAACCAAACACACTGTTAAGGTTATTCTCGAATTACAGGCTTATTTACCAATAACAGGCTTTTTCATGAATTGACCAGGATTATTCACAAAAGTCAGAATTTCACATTTTAGGTCAAAGTAGCCAAATTGGATGCATACTTGACTTAGTCAAGATGTCTTCTATTTTGCCCTTAAATTTGAAATGTATTTGAATTCACTTTGAATTCTCACATTAGTGAATAATCCTGTGAATTAGAAATCAAGTTGTGAAATTTTGGCAAAAATTGCTCATTGGAAAAACTTTTGACAGAGGGTTATTTTATTTTAATTTTAATTCACTACAACTTGTTATTTCTTAAATAAACCATCATGTCAATATGTTTAATCACAACACATTTACCGCAAAGTTTAATGGTTATTTTTTTTTTTTTATCATCTGAATTAATTGTTGATAAATAGCCACAAATCCCACACACGTAGATCAGTCCTGCAAGAGTTACTCTCAGCTGAACTCTGCAATTGAAAGACTGGCTTAGCCAGTGGCAATCTGGGCCTGGAATTCTCATTTTATTTCTGTAATATTAACAGTATAATCATTTCACATTTTCTATACTCCCGTACAAACAGGGGAAGATTGCTCATACTGTTTTGGAAAGTGAATTGGTAATGGTTCATGCGCAAGATTAATTAAGGACAGAGATCATTTGCATTAACTCTGTCTATACTAGGGTGAATTCTCTGGAGGGCTAGCCTCAGCTGTCTTGATGAGACGGTTTTGCTTCTATTGGAGGGAATTACAGCTTTACACAATAATCCACTGGTTTGGCTCTAGCAAGAAAGAGATGAACATAACAGAGGATGTGAGAGGCAGGGGGTTAAAAGACAAGGACAGGAGTGAAGATTTTTAATATTAAAGGGTTAAAGACAAATGTTCTGATTCTAATAGAATGTGACGTGCACATTATACCACAGTGCTTAAAGAAAATGCAAATATATTATTTTATTATGTATGTATAGTGTTTATTATTATTATTATTATTGATGTTATTAAATAGCAAGGTGTTTATATGGATGAGTAACTAAGATTAAAAAAAAACATATGTATGGATGCTCAGGGTAGTATAGAAAATAAAATTAGTTACATTCTGAAAAATGTATTTGCTCATAGTCTTCTACGGAATTATCAAGGGCGATAAAATGTTTTGGAGGTTTGCAGAATAATGCAGCCTTTATACAGCAAAATTGAAGATGGTGTCTGAAATATTAGCATAAAAACACAAATACACAAATGGTCACAGTAGGCATAAATAAAACTACAATCAAACAACCTGCTTTTAGGCAGGGATTTTAGGAATGTAGCTTCCTAAAAATGCCAGCACAATGGGAATACATATTTGTTTGAGAATAGTACCCATATCTGTACTATATAGGACTTTGCAATCTTCTATCAGAAAGGGTTAGTCCCAAAGTCACACTATACATTGAATGATTTGTGTATCTTAAATCTTATAGTGTAGATAGTGAATTTTAATTTAAGGTCAGATTAGCCGAACTTGAAAATTCTCTAAGTTAGCTATGCTGTCAGTTCTGCTACTATGGTCTTCAATGTGAATTTCACATTGAATTTTCACTTTACTAAATAATCGTGAATGTGTTAGATCAGGGGTTAGGCAGCCTTCGGCACTCCCGATGTTGTGGACTGTGTAGATACATGTAACTGAGCTCTCCGTGTGTCTTTTTAAACATAGGCTGTATTGGTAATAAACATCTCTGCATGGAACAAACACGTCAAGACGGCTGTTGAAAGCAAGGAGCGTGGAAGAAACAGGCAAGGCCGGGGGGAACATGACATCCACTATGCAAACGCTGCACTTCCAGCTGCTACCCCCTGATCCGGGGCAGGACTGGCCTCCCCCATGTGAACAAGAAATAGAGAGGAGGTACGAGGTGGTTCCCTCGGTGGTTTGCGCCATGTGCTGTCTCTTTGGCATCATCTATTGTTTTTTTGGTAAGCATTTAAAAAAACCAAAATTCACAAACAAGAAACATGAGAGTGACCCTTTAAATGCCATGATGCAACTACAAGTCATCTGATTGGCTAAGTGATCGTAAATGAAAAAAACTAAATTGTTAAAACCGAAGCAAACACAATACTGTGTGTGCTATTACAGGGAAGAACAAAAATATAAAATAAATATTAACTTATTGTATTAGTAGTTATAAAGTGCAAGGCCTACATTGCTGCGAGTGACTGTTTTATACATCACTCCTTCACCTCCAACTTGCTACACATTGACAACTGCCTCGTAAAGTATAAACCAAAATCTCAAATATAGGAATAATTCTCAATAATTACACTCCCACCAACCAACGTGATAATCTCTGTCACTTGGAAACACATCGATCGTGACTGCTCAGTTCCTGACAGTCATCGGGTTTGGTTGCCTTATCATCCAGAGTCTTTGTACTGACTGGTGGGAGTTTCGTTAACAACTACTAAAATCCCTAATATTTTCCAGCTAAGTAGTTTGTTTAGCATTTCCATAGATCTATACGTCTGGATATATTTCTATAGACTGCCCAAGAAAGCTGTGCTTTCTCCTTACTGTAGCCTCAATTTAATTTGCTTGAAGCAGAAATTGTTCCAATCATTTGAAATATCTTTTGATAGAGTGATTTAGCTACAAAACTTGCAGTAGACTTTAATGGTGACTTCTGTAAATCCTTAGGAAAGTATTATTTATTAACTATGCGGGAATTGAATGCTCTCCAGAAAATCTGGTGTAACTTCACTGTTTCAGGAAGACAAGAGAGCCATGTTAAAATAGTTGGTTATCCCATTTTATTAATAGACTCCATGGTCATTATAGATCATTTTGCCTGTGCAAAGTAGCATCGTTTCATGTATGCTTTCTAACTGGGGCCGGGATTATTATAAAAAGCTGTCCCCCACCCCCTTTTTTCTTTGGTACTTACGCTCCATTCCCCTTCACCGAATATATAATGTATCACAACATACATTTCTCTGTATTGTTTCTGTGCATTCTGTTGAATTGTGTATGAAATATACAGAGAGAAAGCAGCGACGTGTAAAGTCAATGATCAGAATGAAACAGTTACTTTAATAAAATACAGTATAAAAGATACAAACATGGAGCAATGGGAGATAGAATATAATAGAACAAGGATGGAGGGAGAGAAAACGACGAGAGTGCCACCACTATCATTATATAATTCAATAAAATCAGGTACAAATGAGCCAGAGTGAAATAACACAAATCTCCTTCATCTAGGCGAATGCCCAATGAAGCAGATTGGACATTAGCCAATAAAAGACGAGATAGATCAGGCACAAATTGGCTCACTGTATTCTGCTTTCCTCACAATAAGTGACAATGTTTTTCCTGAGGATATTTATCAAATCTGGCACATTTTAGCAGTTCCAGATATCAGTCGTTGGTGAATACATTGCTGCACTAAAAGGGCAAAGAAGCTAACAATTATAAATAACCTGAAACCGCAAGAATGTCGCAGTTTGATAGCGAGACCTCAGGCGGGGGATTTTCTAGAACTCATACAAAGGTGAGGGACAGACAGGAACCCACAAACAATAGAACGGGGGCAGCTCATTATAGTAAATGCCAAACACCTGCTACTAAAATAATGACATTTACCCCATGCTTTATTACACTGTTAGAGTTATAGTAATACACATCTAGATTTATTGGAATATGCAACTGAGCTTTATTAGATAATCTAGATTTATTATATTCTGGATCCCTGTTATATCACACGGCTGGGTTTATTATATTCTGGATCCCCGTTATATCACACATCTGGGTTTATTATATTCTGGATCTTTGTTATATCACACAGCTGGATTTATTATATTCTGAATCCCTGTTATATAATACATCTGGGTTTATTATATTCTGGATCCCCGTTATATAATACATCTGGGTTTATTATATTCTGGATCCTTGTTATATCACACAGCTGGGTTTATTATATTCTGGATCTTTGTTATATCACACAGCTGGATTTATTATATTCTGAATCCCTGTTATATAATACATCTGGGTTTATTATATTCTGGATCCCCGTTATATAATACATCTGGGTTTAATATATTCTGGATCCTTGTTATATCACACAGCTGGGTTTATTATATTCTGGATCCCTGTTATATCACACAGCTGGGTTTATTATATTCTGGATCCCCGTTATCCCAGCTGTTATATATTCTGGATCCCTGTTACATCTGGGTTTATTATATTCTGGATCCCTGTTATATAATACATCTGGGTTTATTATATTCTGGATCCCCGTTGTTATATCACACAGCTGGGTTTATTATATTCTGGATCCCCGTTATATAATAATTCTGGGTTTATTATATTCTGGATCCTTGTTATATCACACAGCTGGGTTTATTATATTTTGGATCCCTGTTATATCACACAGCTTGGTTTATTATATTCTGGATCTCTGTTATATCACACATCTGCATTTATTATATTCTGGATCCCTGTTATATCACACAGCTGGCTTTATTATATTCTGGATCTCTGTTATATCACACATCTGCATTTATTATATTCTGGATCCCTGTTATATCACACAGCTGGGCTTATTATATTCTGGATCCTTGTTATATCACACATCTGCATTTATTATATTCTGGATCCATGTTATATCACACAGCTGGGTGTATTATATTCTGGATCCATTTTATATCACACAGCTGGATTTATTATATTCTGGATCCCTGTTGTATGACACAGCTGGGTTTGTTATATTCTGGATCCCTGTTATATCACACAGCTGGGTTTATTATATTCTGGATCCCTTTTATATAACACACCTGTATTTACTATATTCTGGATCCCGGTTATATCATACATCTGGGTTTATTATATTCTGGATCCCTGTTATATCACACTGCTGGGTTTATTATATTCTGGATCCCTTTTATATCACACATCTGGGTTTATTATATTCTGGATCACTGTTATATCACACAGTTGGGTTTATTATATACTGAAACCCTGTTATATCACACACCTGCATTTATTATATTCTGGATTACGGTTATATCATACATCTGGGTTTATTATATTCTGTATCCCTGTTATATAACACAGCTGGGTTTATTATATTCTGGATCCCCGTTATATAACACAGCTGGGTTTATTATATTCTGGATCCCTGTTATATCACACATCTGCATTTATTATATTCTGGATGCCTGTTATATCACACATCTGGGTTTATTATATTCTGTATCCCTGTTATATCACACATCTGGGTTTATTATATTCTGGATCCCTGTTATATCACACAGTTGGGTTTATTATATACTGGAACCCTGTTATATCACACACCTGCATTTATTATATTCTGGATTACGGTTATATCATACATCTGGGTTTATTATATTCTGTATCCCTGTTATATAACACAGCTGGGTTTATTATATTCTGGATCCCTGTTATATAACACAGCTGGGTTTATTATATTCTGCAACCCCGTTAGATCACTCAGCTGGGTTTATTATATTCTGAATCCCCGTTATATAACACAGCTGGGTTTATTATATTCTGGATCCCTGTTATATCACACATCTGCATTTATTATATTCTGGATCCCTGTTGTATCACACAGCTGGGTTTATTATATTATACATCCCTGTTATATCACACAGCTGGGTGTATTATATTCTGTATCCATGTTATATCACACAGCTGGATTTATTATATTCTGGATCCCTGTTATATCACACAGCTGGGTTTATTATTTTCTGGATCCCTGTTATATAATACATCTGGGTTTATTATAATCCTGGATCCCTGTTATATCACACACCTGGGTGTATTATATTCTGGATCCATGTTATATCACACAGCTGGATTTATTATATTCTGGATCCCTGTTATATCACACAGCTGGGCTTATTATATTCTGGATCCCTGTTATATTACACATCTGGGTTTATTATATTCTGTATCCCTGTTATATCACATAGCTGGCTTTATTATATTCTGGATCCCGGTTATATCACACATCTGGGTTTATTATATTCTGTATCCCTGTTATATCACACATCTGGGTTTATTATATTCTGGAACCCTGTTATATCACACACCTGCATTTATTATATTCTGGATTCCGGTTATATCATACATATGGGTTTATTATATTCTGGATCCCGGTTATATCATACATCTGGGTTTATTATATTCTGGATCCCTGTTATATCACACAGCTGGGTTTATTATATTCTGGATCCCTGTTATATCACACAATTGGTTTTATTATATACTGGAACCCTGCTATATCACACACCTGCATTTATTATATTCTGGATTCCGGTTATATGATACATCTGGGTTTATTATATTCTGGATCCCCGTTATCTAATACAGCTGGGTTTATTATATTCTGGAACCCCGTTAGATCACTCAGCTGGGTTTATTAAAGCCTGGATCCCTGTTATATCACACAGCTGGGTTTATTATAGCCTGGATCCCTGTTATATCATACATCTGGGTTTATTATAATTCTGGATCCCTGTTATATCACACACCTGGGTGTATTATATTCTGGATCCATGTTATATCACACAGCTGGATTTATTATATTCTGGATCCCTGTTATATCACACAGCTGGGTTTATTATATTTTGGATCCCTGTTATATCACACAGCTGGGTGTATTATATTCTGGATCCATGTTATATCACACATCGGGGTTTATTATAGTTCTGGATCTCTGTTATATCACACAGCTGGGCTTATTATATTCTGGATCCCTGTTATATTACACAGCTGGGTTTATTATATTCTGGATCCCTTTTATATAACACACCTGTATTTACTATATTCTGGATCCCAGTTATATCATACATCTGGGTTTATTATATTCTGGATCCCTGTTATATCACACATCTGGGTTTATTATATTCTGGATCCCTGTTATATCACACAGTTGGGTTTATTATATACTGGAACCCTGTTATATCACACAACTGCATTTATTATTCTGGATTACGGTTATATCATACATCTGCATTTATTATATTTTGGATCCCTGTTATATCACACAGCTGGGTGTATTATATTCTGGATCCATGTTATATCACACAGCTGGGTTTATTATATTCTGCAACCCCGTTAGATCACTCAGCTGGGCTTATTATATTCTGGATCCCTGTTATATTACACAGCTGGCTTTATTATATTCTGGATCCCGGTTATATCACACAGCTGGGTTTATTATATTCTGTATCCCTGTTATATCACACATCTGGGTTTATTATATTCTGGAACCCTGTTATATCACACACCTGCATTTATTATATTCTGGATTCCGGTTATATCATACATCTGGGTTTATTATATTCTGGATCCCTGTTATATCACACAGTTGGTTTTATTATATACTGGAACCCTGCTATATCACACACCTGCATTTATTATATTCTGGATTCTGGTTATATGATACATCTGGGTTTATTATATTCTGGATCCCGGTTATATCATACACCTAGGTTTATTATATTCTGGATCCCCGTTATATAACACAGCTGGGTGTATTATATTCTGGATCCCTGTTATATCACACAGCTGGGCTTATTATATTCTGGATCCCTGTTATATTACACATCTGGGTTTATTATATTCTGGATCCCTGTTATATCACACAGCTAGCTTTATTATATTCTGGATCCCGGTTATATCACACATCTGGGTTTATTATATTCTGTATCCCTGTTATATCACACATCTGGGTTTATTATATTCTGGAACCATGTTATATCACACACCTGCATTTATTATATTCTGGATTCCGGTTATATCATACATCTGGGTTTATTATATTCTGGATCCCTGTTATATCACACATCTGGGTTTATTAAATTCTGGATCCCTGTTATATCACACAGCTGGGTTTATTATATACTGGATCCCTGTTATATCACACAGCTGGGTGTATTATATTCTGGATCCATGTTATATCTCACATCGGGGTTTATTATAGTTCTGGATCTCTGTTATATCACACAGCTGGGCTTATTATATTCTGGATCCCTGTTATATTACACAGCTGGGTTTATTATATTCTGGATCCCTTTTATATAACACACCTGTATTTACTATATTCTGGATCCCGGTTATATCATACATCTTGGTTTATTATATTCTGGATCCCTGTTATATCACACATCTGGGTTTATTATATTCTGGATCCCTGTTATATCACACATCTGGGTTTATTATATTCTGGATCCCTGTTATATCACACAGTTTGGTTTATTATATACTGGAACCCTGTTATATCACACACCTGCATTTATTATATTCTGGATTACGGTTATATCATACATCTGGGTTTATTATATTCTGTATCCCTGTTATATAACACAGCTGGGTTTATTATATTCTGGGTCCCTGTTATATAACACAGCTGGGTTTATTATATTCTGCAACCCCGTTAGATCACTCAGCTTGGTTTATTATATTCTGAATCCCCGTTATATAACACAGCTGGGTTTATTATATTCTGGATCCCTGTTATATCACACATCTGCATTTATTATATTCTGGATCCCTGTTGTATCACACAGCTGGGTTTATTATATTATGCATCCCTGTTATATCACACAGCTGGGTGTATTATATTCTGGATCCATGTTATATCACACAGCTGGATTTATTATATTCTGGATCCCTGTTATATCACACAGCTGGGTTTATTATTTTCTGGGTCCCTGTTATATAATACATCTGGGTTTATTATAATTCTGGATCCCTGTTATATCACACTCCTGGGTGTATTATATTCTGGATCCATGTTATATCACACAGCTGGATTTATTATATTCTGGATCCCTGTTATATCACACAGCTGGGCTTATTATATTCTGGATCCCTGTTATATTACACATCTGGGTTTATTATATTCTGTATCCCTGTTATATCACATAGCTGGCTTTATTATATTCTGGATCCCGGTTATATCACACATCTGGGTTTATTATATTCTGTATCCCTGTTATATCACACATCTGGGTTTATTATATTCTGGAACCCTGTTATATCACACACCTGCATTTATTATATTCTGGATTCCGGTTATATCATACATATGGGTTTATTATATTCTGGATCCCGGTTATATCATACATCTGGGTTTATTATATTCTGGATCCCTGTTATATCACACAGCTGGGTTTATTATATTCTGGATCCCTGTTATATCACACAATTGGTTTTATTATATACTGGAACCCTGCTATATCACACACCTGCATTTATTATATTCTGGATTCCGGTTATATGATACATCTGGGTTTATTATATTCTGGATCCCCGTTAGATCACTCAGCTGGGTTTATTAAAGCCTGGATCCCTGTTATATCACACAGCTGGGTTTATTATAGCCTGGATCCCTGTTATATCATACATCTGGGTTTATTATAATTCTGGATCCCTGTTATATCACACACCTGGGTGTATTATATTCTGGATCCATGTTATATCACACAGCTGGATTTATTATATTCTGGATCCCTGTTATATCACACAGCTGGGTTTATTATATTTTGGATCCCTGTTATATCACACAGCTGGGTGTATTATATTCTGGATCCATGTTATATCACACATCGGGGATTATTATAGTTTTGGATCTCTGTTATATCACACAGCTGGGCTTATTATATTCTGGATCCCTGTTATATTACACAGCTGGGTTTATTATATTCTGGATCCCTTTTATATAACACACCTGTATTTACTATATTCTGGATCCCGGTTATATCATACAACTGGGTTTATTATATTCTGGATCCCTGTTATATCACACATCTGGGTTTATTATATTCTGGATCCCTGTTATATCACACAGTTGGGTTTATTATATACTGGAACCCTGTTATATCACACAACTGCATTTATTATTCTGGATTACGGTTATATCATACATCTGCATTTATTATATTTTGGATCCCTGTTATATCACACAGCTGGGTGTATTATATTCTGGATCCATGTTATATCACACAGCTGGGCTTATTATATTCTGGATCCCTGTTATATCACACACCTGCATTTATTATATTCTGGATTCCGATTATATCATACATCTGGGTTTATTATATTCTGGATCCCTGTTATATCACACAGTTGGTTTTATTATATACTGGAACCCTGCTATATCACACACCTGCATTTATTATATTCTGGATTCCGGTTATATGATACATCTGGGTTTATTATATTCTGGATCCCGGTTATATCATACACCTAGGTTTATTATATTCTGGATCCCCGTTATATAATACAGCTGGGTTTATTATATTCTGGAACCCCGTTAGATCACTCAGCTGGGTTTATTATAGCCTGGATCCCTGTTATATCACACAGCTGGGTTTATTATAGCCTGGATCCCTGTTATATCATACATCTGGGTTTATAATATTCTGGATCCCCGTTAAATCACACAGCTGGGTTTATTATATTCTGCAACCCCTTTAGATCACTCAGCTGGGTTTATTATATTCTAGATCCCTGTTATATTACACATCTGGGTTTATTATAGTCTGGAACCATGGTATATCATACACCTGTATTTATTATATTCTGCAACCATGTTAAATCACATATGTGTATTAATTATATTCTGGATCCCTGTTATATCATACATCTGGGTTTATTATATTCTGGAACCATGTTAAATCACATATGTGTATTTATTATATTCTGGATCCCTGTTATATTGTACATCTGTTTTTTTTGTCTAGTGCTGTACAATGTACAATAAGTTGGGAACAATGCCTTAATGGTGGTCTAACCTACTGAGCCTTTGCTCAAAGGAGCTTACAATCTAAACTGAAATGTCCACTGCAGCTTTATGTCAGCAGATATACATTTCTTGGTAACGTAATTTGCTCCGACGATCCATTAGAAGGTTTTACTTGTATGATTTCACTTAGTTTCTGGTTGTTTTTTTTTATTCTTTCAACACCCTAGATAACAAAATAGTCATGCTTGACCATGCCTATCTCTGTTTTGACCCAGTTAAACTGTATTATGCTTTGACGTTCTTTCCTTGTCTTTTATGTTTCAGGTTACCGCTGCTTCAAGGCCGTTATGTTTCTGACAGGTCTAATGTTTGGTTCTGTGGTCATCTTCATGTTGTGCTATAAAGAACGTGTCTTGGACACGCAGTTGAGCGTGGAAGCCAGTGTCGGCATTGGTTTGGGCATTGGAGTCCTCTGTGGGCTGGTCACCATGCTGGTGAGAAGCGTAGGACTCTTCATGGTGGGCCTGCTGTTGGGATTGCTGCTTGCGATAGCCACCTTGATTGTCATGGAGCAGTTCTACCATCCACGCACAGTCTGGGTTCCCGTGGCTCTCCTGCTTGGAATTGGAATGCTGTTTGCTGTCTTGACCCTACAGTGGCAGCGTTTCTTCACTACGCTTTCCACCGCAGTCTTTGGCAGCGCCATTATGACAGTGACGGTTGATTATTTCATTGAATTGTTTTTACTGGTGCAGTATGTGTATCAGCGCATGAAGGTGGCTCCTCCACAGAACGTCTGCTGGTACAGCTGGGTCATTCTTGGTATTTGGCCAGTCCTCAGCTTACTAGGAGTTCTTGTGCAATGGAAAGTCACTGCAGAAGGCTACTCTCACACAGAGGGTAAGTACGGACATTGAAAAAATGTTTTTGGATGGAGATGTGGCATGACTGAGGTGATCTCAAGTAATATCTAGGAGAAGATTGTAATATGATTTAAAGGGACACTATCAAAAAATTCTGTCATTTTGTTTATCTGTCTGTCTGTCTATTTGTCTGTCTGTATAGGCATAAGGCTATCCTAACTATAAGATAAGGCCAGGGACTAATAAAAGTATTTAGAAAATTGGGCAGATTAGATGGGGCGAATGGTTCTTATCTGCCGTCACATTCTATGTTTCTATATTTTTATATATGTATAAATCTTTCTGTCATACTAATCTATGTAAAGAAAAGAAACACGAAGTCCAAACTTTATATAACAAAAAATAAGGAAAATATTATTTCTTGACTCCAAAATAGGTATGTTTTTGCAGTGTGAGTGCATCTATGAATGCACGGATGCTTTATTTACGCAAGATTGTGTCTGTGAATGCAGGGGTGTAATTATTTACGGTTTGAATGCGTCTATAAACGCAGGGGTGTATTTATTTTCAGTGTGAGTGTGTATATAAATGCACGGTTGTTTGATTTGCAGTGTGTCTCGGCTCCCCGTTCTTCTGCCGGCGTGGCCGCACATAAACTAAGTGGCCATGCCGACAGAGATATTGTATACTTACTGCTGCCTGACCTCCTTTCCGCTGCGGTTCCAGTTTTAATAGGACACTCACCTTCGCCCATATCAAAAATGGCACCAACACATGTTCGACATCATGTCATAGACGCACGTTTTGGGGTCAGAGGCCAGAGACAACCAATTACAGCCTTATGAGGGTTATTTAAACCCAAATTAACTTTTGGTCAGTGCCCTGTCATGGTTTCCACTAGCTGGTTATCCGAGAGTGTGTTCCTGATCGTGTTTTTCTGTTTTTTTACTTTGGCTTTGTTTTGACTTCCCTGGTTGCTGGTACCCTTGACTTTTGGCTTTTCCTTATCGCTGTGTCTCGTTCTGTGTCCCTGACCTCTAGGGTGTGATACTATTCTGCGTGCCGGATCAATATAATCCTGAAACAGTGTGAGTGTGTCAATGAATGCATTAATGTTTTGTTCGCAGTGTGAGTTTGTTTCTGAATGCAAAGATATATTTAATATTTTAGTGTGAGTGTACCTCAGAATGTAGCAATATATTTGTGGAGTATACGTGTTTTTATTATTTCAGAGGTGTATATGGACTCAAAGATTTCATTTGTGTGGAGCGTCATTGTGTTGAATGGAGGGGTATATTTTTGTTGAGTGTCAGTATGTGAATGTAGAGTATATTCATGTAGGATGTCACTGGGTGACTGCAGGGGTGTATCTCTGTGAAATGTCATTGTATGAATGTAAAGGTATGTTTTTGCTGATCGTAATTCTGTGAACGTACGCGTGTATTGTAAATGTGATTATGTGAATGTAGGGGTGCAATTGTGTGTAGTTTTAGTGTGTGACTACAAGGATGTTTTTCTGTTATATATTTGTGTGGAGTGTCAGTATGTGACTACAGGATTGTGTTTGTATAAAGTGTCAGTATGTAAATACATGGGTATGTTTTTATGGAGTGTCAGCACGTAAATACAGGAGTGTGTGTCTGTGCGTGTGGAGTGTCAGTATGTGAATACAGGGAAGTGGAGTGTCAGTGTGTGAAATTAATACAGGGGTGTGTAAGTGTGTAGTGTTAGTATGTGAATACATAGGTGTGTTTGTGTGTAGTGTCAGTATGTGAATACAGGGTGTGTTTGTGTGGAGTATCAGTGTGTGAATACAGAGGTGTGTGTGTGCGTGTGTGGAGTATCAGTATGTGAATACAGGGGGGTGTTTGTGTTGAATTTCAGTGTGTGAAATGAATATAGGGGTGTGTTTGTGTGTAGTGTCAGTATGTGAATACATGGGTGTGTTTGTGTGTAGTGTCAGTATGTGAATACAGAGGTGTGTGTGTGTGTGTGTGTGTGGAGTATCAGTATGTGAATACAGGGGGGTGTTTGTGTGGAATTCCAGTGTGTGAAATGAATATAGGGGTGTGCTTGTGTGTAGTGTCACATGTGAATACAGGGGTGTGTTTGTATAGAGTATCAGTATGTGAATATAGGGGTGTGTCTGTATGAAGTGTCAGTATGTAACTACAGGGGTATGTTTTTATAGAGTGTCAGTATGTGAATACAGAGGTATGTGTGTTTGTTGAGTGTCACTATGTGAATATAGGGGTATGTTTGTGTGGTGTGTCAGTGTATGAATACTGAAGTATATTTGTGTGGAGAGCTAGTGTGTGAATATAGGCAAATGTCTGTATAGAGTGTTAGTATGTAAATACAGGGGTCTGTTTCTATGTAGTGTCAGTATGTGAATACAGGGGTGTGTTTGTGTGGTGCATCAGTGTGTGAATACAGGGGTGTGTGTATGGAGTGTCAAGATATGAATAAATGTGTGTGTGTGTGTGTGTGTTTGGTGTCAGTATGTGAATACAAGGTGTGTTTGTGTGTGTAGTGTCAGTATGTGAATACAGTGTGTGTTTGTGTGGAGTGTCAGTATGTAAATACAGGGGTGTGTTTGTGTGGAGTGTCAGTGTGTGAATACAGAGGTGTGTGTGTGTGTGTGTGTGTGTGTGTGTGTGGAGTATCAGTATGTGAATACAGGGGGGTGTTTGTGTGGAATTCCAGTGTGTGAAATGAATATAGGGGTGTTTTGTGTGTAGTGTCACATGTGAATACAGGGGTGTGTTTGTATAGAGTATCAGTATATGAATATAGGGGTGTGTCTTTATGAAGTGTCAATATGTAACTACAGGGGTATGTTTTTAGTATGTGTCAGTATGTGAATACAGAGGTGTGTGTGTGTTTGTTGAGTGTCACTATGTGAATATAGGGGTATGTTTGTGTGGTGTGTCAGTGTGTGAATACTGAAGTATATTTGTGTGGAGAGCGAGTGTGTGAATGCAGGCGTATGTCTGTATAGAGTGTTAGTATGTAAATACAGGGGTCTGTTTCTATGTAGTGTCAGTATGTGAATACAGGGGTGTGTTTGTGTGGTGCATCAGTGTGTGAATACAGGGGTGTGTGTGTGTATGGAGTGTCAGGATATGAATAAATGTGTATGTGTGTGTGTGTGTGTTTAGTGTCAGTATGTGAATACAAGGTGTGTTTGTGTGTGTAGTGTCAGTATGTGAATACAGTGTGTGTTTGTGTGGAGTGTCAGTATGTAAATACAGGGGTGTGTTTGTGTGGAGTGTCAGTATATGAATACAGGGGTGTGTTTGTGTGGTGCATCAGTGTGTGAATATAGGGGTGTGTGTGTATGGAGTGTCTGGATATGAATAAATGTGTGTGTGTGTGTGTGTGTGTGTGTAGTGTCAGTATGTGAATACAGGGTGTGTTTGTGTGGAGTGTCAGTATATGAATACAGGGATGTGCTTGTGTCTAGTGTCAGTATGTGAATACAGGGTGTGTTTGTGTGGAGTGTCAGTATATGAATACAGGGATGTGCTTGTGTCTAGTGTCAGTGTGTGAATACAGGGGAGTGTTTGTGTGGAATGTGTAAATGGAGGCGTCTGTGGCCCCTTCTAACTTGCTTACAGAAGGGGCTCCATTCTGTTGTCTGTTGACATGCAGAAAGCATACATGAGCTTGTTCTAAGCACTGCTGCCTCTCGGCTCACTCTACAGCGACGTCACACATCTCTACAGTATGAGCTGCCAAGCTTGCTGAAGCATAGTGCCCTGTGTTGTACCTAATGCCGCAGGCAGAGAATCTGCTCTGTGACCTTCCCAAGCCCCTGCCAGCTTCACAACACTGTGCGAGGGGTCAAGTAGACATTATGAGCCATATTTTCGATTATTAAAAATATCAATTGAGTTTGATAGCACATCCTATCTGTCCTGATATCACGTCTGTCCTATGTCCATAGTAAGAACCATAAACACATGGAATATTTCTGAAATCTTATTTCAAGTCACAGTTGTTCTCTGTTCAGTCCTGTTAATGAACAGGTCACCAGGGCATTGTGTTTGTTATCGCGCCCCCTGTACAATGCCTTTTTCTTTTCTAGCGTGATATTATTATTATTAATTATTATTATTATTTATTGGTAAGATAAAGACACGACATGGAGCTCCTTACCCCTACCGTACTGCTAAAAACATTCATAATGTCATTCTACTGTTGAAAATTCCATAGGCAGCGACCTGCAATCCCCCGCCCTAAATATAGTTTTATTAGAGGTAGACATGGTGTGGCTCTTACAGAGATAATATAGGCTCATACATGCACTAATAAAAATAATTTAATGCTTCATTGATTTTCTTTATAAAATGCTTCCTCTTCCACTGGCGGTAAAAGAGGATAATGAGGGGGAGGGACTGGCATCATCTCAGCAGAGATCATGAACCCAGTTACTGCGGAGTCCCGAACTCTGAAAAACTCCAAAAAAAGAATAAAGTGAATGAAAGAATATTTATTATTCCAGCCATTACTGTATTAAATAGTGCATAAAATGTGCACAGAAAATACTACTTACACAAAGTAGCATATTAAAAAAACACACTGAGCCATATTTAATAAGGCAAACATTCTGGTCCAGAGTGTTAAGGCTCAATCACCATGGAAACCAATAGAATTAGGAAAGATACGTTGTTTATTGATTCTTGGTTGTAGCCTCTGTTAACATGTCCTTTTCTTTAGCGCTAAGTAAATATGAGAAAAAAAAATTTTTTGTTGTCTTCTAATAGAGAGCTTAGAGGATATTTCTACACAGTATATAGATAGATGGATATTTCTATAAAGTGTATAGATAGATGGGTGTTTCTATAAGGAATAAGATAGATATTTCTATACAGTATACAGATAGATGGATATTTCTACACAGTGTATAGATAGATGGATGTTTCTATACAGTATATAGATAGATGGATATTTCAATACAGTATAAGATAAATATTTCTATACAGTTTATAGATAGATGGATATTTCTACACAGTATATAGATAGATGGATGTTTCTATACAGTATATAGATAAATGGATGTTTCTATACAGTGTATAGATAGATGGATATTTCAATACAGCATATAGATAGATGGATGTTTCTATACAGTATATAGATAAATGGATGTTTCTATTCAGTATATAGATAGATGGATGTTTCTATATAGTATACAGATAGATGGATATTTCTATAAAGTGTATAGATAGATGGGTGTTTCTATACAGTATATAGATAGATGATGTTTCTATACAGTATAAGATAGATATTTCTATACAGTATACAGATAGATAGATATTTCTATACAGTTTTCTATATAAATAGATGGATATTTCTACACAGTGTATAGATAGATGGATGTTTCTATACAGTATAAGATAAATATTTCTATACAGTATATAGATAGATGGATGTTTCTATACAGTGTATAGATAGATGGATATTTCTTTACAGTATATAGATAAATGGATGTTTCTATACAGTATATAGATAGATGGATGTTTCTATACAGTATATAGATACATGGGTGTTTCTATACAGTATATAGATAGATGGATATTTCTATACAGTATATAGATAGATGGATATTTCTATACAGTATATAGATAGATGGGTGTTTCTATACAGTATATAGATAGATGGATATTTCTATACAGTATATAGATAAATGGATGTTTCTATACAGCATATAGATAGATGGCTGTTTCTATACAGTATATAGATAAATGGATGTTTCTATACAGCATATAGATAGATGGATGTTTCTATACAGTATATAGATAAATGGATGTTTCTATACAGCATATAGATAGATGGGTGTTTCTATACAGTATATAGATAGATGGATATTTCTATACAGTGTATAGATAGATGGGTGTTTCTATACAGTATATAGATAAATGGATATTTCTATACAGTATATAGATAGATGGGTGTTTCTATACAGTATATAGATAGATGGATGTTTCTATACAGTATAAGATAGATATTTCTATACAGTATATAGATAGATGGGTATTTCTATACAGTGTATAGATAGATGGATATTTCTATACAGTATATAGATAGATGGGTGTTTCTATACAGTATATAGATAGATGGATATTTCAGTATAAATATAGGGAGTGAACTGTACATGGCTTGTTTTGAGAGAGAGCGCGCATGTGTCATAAGTTTCTTAGTAACCAGGTTGTTAAGCGTGTTTAGTGGGTGCATTGATGACACTATTACCCACCAGTAATGTGCTTGTGCTGTGTCATTGGTTTTCATAACAATTTTAGAAATTGTCATTTTTAAATGTAATTAATAATGCATAAATAAGGAGTTAGTACTCCTAATGGAGTACCAACTGGATACATTGGGGATAATTCATGAAAATACATTCTATGGAAGCTGCTCAGTCACCATGGAAACAATTGGAACATCCTTATTGATTGCTCCAACGTTCGCATTGTGCCCCAATAAATAGCCCCCCATGTTACTGTTTACATCATGACAAGTGCTGATAGTGTTTGGGAAACACTTTCAAACTGAAAATGTAGCAATTTGTTGTATGAATACCCTTCAATAGCAATATCAAACGCATTTTATCGTTTAAACCTTTGCATTATACATCCCTTCGAAGTTGAAATTGTTAACGCGAAGACTCAGAGCTGGTTATAGAGGAAAAACCTAAAGACTTAGATGGGGTTAATGCGATTCGTAGAACTTGTGAATTCTAAACACATTTTATGAAGTTGCAGGGTTTTTATAACAGAATACAATAAACACTGACTTATAAAGAATAAAAGGTCATGTTTTAAATAGTCTGCGGACAGCTTTCTGTTCCAAGGTATGGCCATTCAGAGTAACATTGCCGTGAGTTAAATGCCAATAGCTGGGATACGGAGTGTGTTCAGTACATAGGCTTAATTTAATCGTTTTAGATAAGCTTTTTAAAATGACCTAATATTTCTGGATACATTTTTAAAATAATTTCTATTTTCAAAATATTAAAATGTCAAACATAGATCATAGATAAAAATCATATCAGTTTATGAAAAAAAGAAATTAGAAAATCCAAATATTAAAATGTGTATAACTTAAAATCATTTTAAAAATTTATCAAAAATATTCAATTATTTGTAAAGCTGGCCCAAAAATAGTAAATCGAGGCCATAGTTGGCTGGAGATTAATGTTTATTTTAGAGATTACAACTGAGATTCATATTAAGATTAAGATGTGTGATGTCCTTAGAGTTGATCAGATTAAAGTTGCAAATGATTGACACAATCGCATAATTTTAGGAAGCTGATTTATATTTGGTTTAATGAATCACAAACGTCTAACCAAATCCAGATTCCTTTGCAATATCAGTTTTAAACATTAATCTACAGAATCCTTGTGTCTTCTAAAGACACAAGGTCTCATTAGGCATTCTCTGTTATTTCTCAGAATTAGACCCAGGTGCCCTTAGGCTACTTATTAAACATTAATATGAAAGTTATTGTAGTGGTATGGGGCCCATGTATGTAAACGTGATTGAGGCTGCATTTCAAACATACCCACATTGACTTTGAAAGGCATTATTTTTATTATTGAGCAATAGTTATATAGAGTACCTATCCAGAATTTCTTATTAAGTTACCCGTTAATCCAAATCCCCCGTATTATGACTGTGGGGACAGGATTCCCCTTGAAGGATAAGACCTTCATATACACAAAGGTCTGTATACGGCTGTCCGGAAGCATGTAAAATGAGTCTGTGGCCTGATTACAGGCGGAATAGGATGATTAGTTCCTATCCGCTCTGACAGCCTGTCTGTCTATTGATCTGTCTAGCGATCTGTATTAAAAATGCAATATAAATGTTCTTAGAAAAATCTAATTCCCATTTTGGAGTAAAAAAGGATAATTTAAAGTTTTAATGATTAATTGGAAATCTCTTCAGTATTAGGGGTATGCTTTATTTACCTTTTTAAAATTAACCACACCATGGAAGTTTGATAATGTGACACTAAGGGCATACCTCCCAAGTGTCCCTATTTAAGAGGACAGTCCTTATTTTTGGGTCCAAATACCTCTTTTATATCCTAATGTCCATCTTTTCGAGGAGCTCCATATTGTTGGTGTGTCTGACACAGAGCTCCACAGCAATAATACTCCCAGTAATGTGTCTGAGTGTATAACAGAGCTCCACAGCAATAATACTCCCAGTAATGTGTCTGAGTGTATAACAGAGCTCCACAGCAATAATACTCCCAGTAATGTGTCTGAGTGTATAACAGAGCTCCACAGCAATAATACTCCCAGTAATGTGTCTGAGTGTATAACAGAGCTCCACAGCAATAATACTCCCAGTAATGTGTCTGAGTGTATAACAGAGCTCCACAGCAATAATACTCCCAGTAATGTGTCTGAGTGTATAACAGAGCTCCACAGCAATAATACTCCCAGTAATGTGTCTGAGTGTATAACAGAGCTCCACAGCAATAATACTCCCAGTAATGTGTCTGAGTGTATAACAGAGCTCCACAGCAATAATACTCCCAGTAATGTGTCTGAGTGTATAACAGAGCTCCACAGCAATAATACTCCCAGTAATGTGTCTGAGAGTATCACAGAGCTCCACAGCAATAATACTCCCAGTAATGTGTTTGAGTGTATCACAGAGCTCCACAGCAATAATACTCCCAGTAATGTGTCTGAGTGTATAACAGAGCTCCACAGTAATAATACTCCCAGTTATGTGTCTGAGTGTATAACAGAGCTCCACAGCAATAATACTCCCAGTAATGTGTCTGAGTGTATAACAGAGCTCCACAGCAGAGATACTCCCAGTAATGTGTCTGAGTGTATAACAGAGCTCCACAGCAATAATACTCCCAGTAATGTGTCTTTAACCCCTTAAGGACACATGACATGTGTGACATGTCATGATTCCCTTTTATTCCAGAAGTTTGGTCCTTAAGGGGTTAAACTACAATAAACGTGTCTAGAAATCAGTCTGTGTAAATAAGATAGACTGTTCCTGTTCTAAATTACATTTTAGTTTCACAATTGTTATTAGTAAGTCACATAAAATTCCCTGCCTGGAGAGATACATTCTGATGTAAATACACACATATATATATATATATATATATATATATATATACAACATACAAAATACACAATCCAGTGCACTCGCTTATTCACTAAACAATGATTTCAAATCTCACAGATTGTAATAGTTTTATTTAGAACACATCACCTAGGCAAAAAATCATGGGGGTTTAGTTACATTCTATGATTATATATATATATATATAGTATGTTAATGCTTCTCCCGCACACGCTCCTCCCCCGTTCCTCTATTATTTCTATGGTCTGTGTTTTTGTTTTTTTCTCTTACTTTCTCTTTGTTTGTATAATACATCATAGCACGAATAATTATGGCATGTTCCATCTCTCCAGACTCCAGTACAGCGATTTGGCTTATCTATTGCTGCTGTCGGTGTGACACGCTGTTTTTGTTGTGATACCTTACAAACGATGATAAAATCTTTAATAAACTTTAAATAGAATTTTAAAAGGCATTTGAATGCATATTTAATCGTTATTGGATGTGCTTAGAAATTAGATTCTGCAAATAAAATACAAAATACAGATATTGTAATGGTTGAATCATTAATAGAAATTATATTCATGATGTCTGTTTTAGATATTGGAGCATTCTTTCAATGCAGCATTGCCTCTACTCTCCCCATCCTTTGCACTGTGCCAGGATTTTCAAACATTTAATATATAAATACAAAGAGGAGTTAAACTCGTTGCTGACACCCCTTGCATTCAGCAAGTAAAACTTAAACGCTATTCTGTTTGAGAAAGTAATAACTGGGCGATCATTGTTCTTTTTTTAAAAGGTCTTTTCATGTCAAAAAAACAATATCATTATCCCATTTACTGTTCCTTTAAATTGACTCACGCTAAGTACGCAGACATCTATTGTCGTAGACGTAGAGGGATACAATTGAACACAATTTAAATGCCAGTATTATTTCTCTTAAAAATTAAATTCATGAAAAATTTTGTTTCCATAGAAGCCGTCCTCCCCCCCTTTCCCCTTAATACAATGTTACACAAAAGGGTTTAGGAAGGTTGGCAATGCGCTAAATGAAATAGTGGGCATTTAAAGGGTAAGTGTCACTCCTCTGGAAATTGCACCATTGATTCAAAACAATTGAAAGTCAAGTTTAATTTGAGTTTGCCTTTTCTGTGTGTGATGCACAATATAATTTTACTTTTGTATTAAAGATTTAGCAAATGACATCATAATCCAGTTCAGTCAAGGCACAGCCAGGGCACAAATTGCAAATGAGGAGGAAAAATAGAATCATTGTTTAATTTCTCCCCTTCCCTGTCTGCTCTCTCTGTGCTGACTGCCAGGTGCTAAGGACAGAGCTTCTAACAATGATTGACAGGGAGCTAAGACGGAGGCGCCCTTATTTCTAAGTCTTGCTCCTTAAATAAATGGACAAGTACAAACATTTGTTAAAACTCCTGGAAAGTGACTGTTCCCCTTTAAGCAATGTTTTTGCTAGACATTGTGCAGGCCAATTTTATGGTAATACTAAATTGTATTCCTAACACTATAGTGCCCTCAGCTCACCCCCACCCCCTGACGGGGCAGATAAAAAACACTTTTACACTTACCCAATTTCTGGGCCCATATCCTCAGCTCTGGGTTGCCCTCTCCCTCCACTGACCTCACATAATGGGGGGAACAAATGTGCATGCGCAGTGAACGTCGCACACACATTAGTCCTTCCCCATAGGAAAGCATTCCCTCAATACTTTCCTATGGGGGTTTTCTAGACATCTGGTAGGCAGCTACTGGAGGCAGCCTTAACACTCCTAAGTAAACATTGCAATTTCCCCCAAAATTTGCGGGGTTAAGGAAACAGGGACACTGCCTATAGTGTTCCTTTAATAGAACCTGGACATTATGGTTGTCCTTGAGTTCAAGTTTATGATTCTTCATGATACTTCTTAAAAAATTCCATTAACGTTATCTTCTCCTTTCCAGTTATCATAAGCCGACAGCAGCGCCGGGTCCAACTAATGAAAATAAAGCAACGGGAGGAACGGAAGGAGAAAAAGAAGAAAAACAAGAGGCCACACCACCATCATGCCCACCCGCAACATAAAGCTCCTCACCCACCTGAGCCAGCCTTCCGCAGGAAACCTACTCCAATCAGGCGCTTTGATGGGGACGTGATTTCCCCGGTAAGTGGCTGTGGCAGGCCAAGCTGGAGTGATAGGAAATTCAGACCTTATTAGGCCCTCGTTCCTGGATATTGCAAATGGCTGAAGCTGTAATGATTTGTATTAATATTATTTATGGCTTGCTTGGATGCAGCATTGTAGTCATCGATAGTGGAAGGAGAACCTTGAGGGTGGATTTACAAACAGGTTTCCCCAGACGTCTAAGATTGAAAAATGAATTCTATAATATTTTATTTTCACCCGGTCAGATTAGACTTTTTACCTAAATGCAGAGTATCGTGGGAGGGAAGCCATATGCACCGTGTGTGCCTGGATTCACTGATGGGCAACACGTGGTATATAAACTCCCGAATCTGCTGTTTGAATCCTCTAATTAACCATTAATGCTGCAGAGTATACTTTGTGCATTCTGCAGGGAAGTACTTTTCATTGGGTACATTGGGTACATTTATTAACATGAAGATGGTTTTTATGTCTTGGGAAACATGGTGGGTATGGCAATCCTATGGAGGATCTAATCAATGAGAAAACAAGTAAAAGAGGGACATGTCATGTGAGCTTCCTCCTAAACCTAATGAACCTACATCTCCTGAATGATTTGCTGGCCCCTTGTAAAGTCTTGCCAGCATATGGCTAATGCTAGATAGAAGCCAATGACATCACTGACGTACTAGCCTATGACTATGTTCTACATTGGCTCGCACTTCTTATTTCTGCAGAAACATGTGTTATTCTGTTTTTTTTTTGTTTTACTCTCTGTCTTTCTGCAGAGTTACATCCAGAGTTTCCGGGACCAGCAGACAGGATCCTCGAGAAGTCGCATGACCGGAGCGCACACTGTAGTGGATTTGGACTATGACTGCGGTTCCCGGGTCCCTCTGACTTCAGGAGCAGCATCTGCCGTACGGGTATAGCACACCGAGAAAAAGAGCGGGGAGGATAAAATATATCCGAGGGGTGTTACTGGGCTCAGATATGGAGTTAAAAATTGCAAACACTGTGACACTGCACATACTGAGGAGCTGCTACAGGGCACGGCGGATCGTGTTGCCCTTGAACTGCGCAAACGCTGAGGACAACCCAAGATAGTCTGTAAACCAGCCTCCTGCGCAGTATAAGCCACAAACACTGCTTCCTGCTGTACATGCACTCAACATTGACACCATACAACCTGAACTCCCACCTACCTCCCCATGAAACACCATACACAATGCAGATCCCACCTACCTCCCCGCTCTTAAACGGAGACCTCTGACTGCTTCCCTATATGCACTTCTTACCAGCCCCCCCCCCCTTTGAGTCGATGAAGAAGGGGCTAGCCAGACACCAATCCTGGGTGCCTGTACCAACCAGTTTCTTTTTCTCGTGTTCTCCTTCTGTCCTGAGTGTGATTCAGTGTCATCTGGTGTCCATATTTCATAACAGGCAGTACTGTCTATTAGTGAAAATCCACAAACCCCAATGTGTATATATTCCTAAAGAGAAAGAAAAACGTATTTAACCCGTGAAAAACATATCTCTGCTGGATTCAGAAGAAATATAAAAGGTTTTAGTGGAGATTCCAATTTAACATGTGCATTCAGGAAAAAAAGCCACAAGATTTGGTTGGGGGGGAAAAAAACTTTTCTGGAACTTTTCAATGGATCTTTTTTAAATTATTGTTATGTGGGTGGGTGGGCGGGTTAGAAGGTAGTGTGAGTTGCTATGCAAGTTGAGGTGAGTTTCATAGATTGCATGATGGAACACCATTGTTTTTAAGGTCCCACATCTTCTACTTTCCTAGGATCTCTCTGCTACTCTATTTTTACATCAGCCCTTTAATTACGCCTATTGTTGGTTGGATTTACAGTCTCCCATATTCACAGGAATGATAACTGCTAACCTAACATTCTCTTACCTAACTAACCATCTGATGTAGACGTGTCATTCCAACCATATACCCATGATGTGTTGACTACAAACACTAGTCTACCGGCAGTTTAACTTATTTATTATCCATATGCAGCAGTCACCTCTGTTTTCCTGTGAACTCTACCAAAAGGGCATATTGGCCAGTACATTCCTCTCCGAAATGTCTAGGCTTTTTCTAGCATTGCATTTCAAGCTCTGCTGTGCCTGCTGTTTCCTATGCTCCGCTGTTGAGAGGTGTGTGTTACCTTTAATTTCGAACCATGCATGTTTTATGGTCGATGTAAGACATAGAAGAGAGATACTGGATGCTATTGTGAGTGGGGGATCTATATGTTTTATGCTGTTGTTCTCAATGAACAGAACAAGGCATGGTAGCCCACTAATAGCCATTTTTTTTTCTTAAACCAGTCCTGAAGAACTCCTATCCATATAACATGTAGAGATTGCTTGATGCTATTCCTGGAGGAATTTACATGAATCTTTTACCATGGGCTGTTCTTGAGGACTGTTTCAGAAGCAATGTGCTTGGCATTGTTAAAATTCACAACGATGGGTCCTTGTGTGATGTGATCGAAGGTTGTGTGCTTTCTTGGGGCAACATGTTTTAAATATTTTTTATCTGTGCCAAACCCCTGATTCCAATGTAAATATGAACTAATTTCTCATTGTTAAAGTAATTTATTGCAAATCTTCACTGGACACTTTGTGGTTTATTTTTGTTGTTGTGTGAAATTATCATTACTAAAAATCTGCAGCATTTTGCAGCATACTGGTTTATAAGGGTGAAACGTTACCTTAGCACACGTGATTCACTAGCATGGTATACGTGATTTTGTTCTTTTTAGATGGTTTCATATGACTCTTCTACATAAAGATGAATGAGAACATAGGAAATATTCGCTAATTAAATAACCTCCCATAAAAAGTTAACAATCAGTACTAAAGCTGCTACTGTTACAGTCTCAAGTCTAAAACTTTCTTTGTAGAACAAATTGAATATATATAGTGATACATTGAAAAAGTCCTTCCAATACACCTTGTATTTGTGTAAAATGTCAGTGTTCCATGTGCGAGGTATCCTTCCTGTACGGGTTGATCTTCAAGATTACGGGTCTTTGCATGTGACCAAAGATTTCTTGGGGTGATATTTTTATTTGTCCCAAATCCTATGTAATTTATAAATTGAGATAATTCCTATTAATGAATAGAAATTTTAACTACCCCATTCAAATGGAAAGACTTAATATATATTAAGGTATTTTTATAGTTAATACAAATTGTTATATTATGTTTATTATAGGTAATACGAATGTCACAAGATGCCAAACCACCCGTCGAGAATGTTTGGATTGTGGGTTTAACTGACCGAATACTTGTTCATTGAGGTTTGGCTTGAATATAGCCTTCATCAGGCTTATGTACAATTCACCCAAACTGACAACTTTTAAATGTATCTGTGCTAGAAGCAGTTTACAAAAATACAGTGAAGGAACACCTGTATAAATTAGGGGGGAACTAGTAGCCGTAAGAGTTTCATGGTAGGCACCTAATCATAGTAAAAAATTGTTAATGTGTCACTTACATTACTACATTTCTGATGTCTTTTATGTCATTATATCGGACAAATCTGTGCACACTTTTTAGGTGAACGTGTTAAAAAACCAGAGAGGATTATAGAAAAGTGTGATTTGTTAGGAAGGCATGGTGAATCAAAGATCCACTAAAGTCACCCAGAGCACTTCATCTTTAAGCATTGGTCCTGTGGTTTTAACCCTTCAGTGTAAAACATGTTGTTTAGTAAGACCAGCAATGTTTACCTTGAAGGGTTAAACACACCGCTAGTGACACTACAGGCGCTTCCGCAGCAACGACCGAGTGAAACTATCACATGATTTCAACGTCATCAAATGAGGATTGGATGGGACAAACACCTGCAATGCGATGCCTCCACAATAGCAAAATGGAAATGAGAAAAAAGTAAAGTTTTATTTTCTCTTTACAAAATTTTATTGCAAACTTGGGTGGACCACTAATCTAAAAAGGGACAGGGGCACAGTAGATTAAGGAACGTAGGTTTGCATTCTTAACATCATAGTGTTCCTTTAAGTACAAGCTATTTATTATTATTATTGGTATTTATATAGCGCCAACTAATTCTGCAGCGCTTTACAATATTATGAAGGGGGGGGGCAAATTTACAATAAATGAAACAATTACACAGTGACACAGGAACAATAGGTAGATGAGGGCCCTGCTCAAACGAGCTTACAGTCTAAAGGGCTTGGGGTACAAATACACAACAGGGCAGCAAGGGTGACAGCCACCAAACAAGGTGGAAAAGTAGCAATTCTGGAGGTGAGAGTGGAGTATGGCTCTTTAGGAGAGCGAGAGACAGACTTGGGTAAGTATAGATAAGTTACTCTGGGAGTCCATAAGCATTTCTGAACAGATGTGTTTTGAGGGACTTCTTAAACAATTGAAGACTAGGGGATGGGGTTATGCAAGCTGTGCCAAAAGAAGGGAGCCGCCCGCGAGAAGTCCGGCAAGCACGAGTTAGCAGTAAGGGTGCGAGCAGCGGACAGGAGAAGGTCACCGGCAGAGCGGAGAGACTGAGAAGAGGCATATCTATGAATCAGGGAAGAAATGTAAGAGGGGATAGAGTTGGTTAGAGCTTTATAGGTAAGGGTTAGTTTTTTGAATTGACTCCTATAGGATACAGGAAGCCAGCGACAGAGGGGTGAGGTATGGGATGGACGTCAGGTGAGAAAGATCAGCCTGGCGGCAGCGTTCATTACCGATTGTAGCAGAGCAGTTCGGCTTTTGGGGAGACCAACTAGGAGAGAATTACAGTAATCTATGCAAGAGATTACCAGAGCATGAACTAGCAACTTGGCAGCATCATGCGTGAGAAAGGGGCAGATGCAGGCGATATTTTAAAGGTGGAATCGACAGGTTTTAGCAACATACTGGATATGTGGCGCAAAGGTGAGGCCAGGATCAAAGATAACACCAAGACAATGAGCTTGCAAGGATGGACTGATGCAAGTACCATCGACTTGCAGGGAGAGCGAAGGAGGAGGATCATCATTATGAGGGGGAAAATAAGAAGCTCAGTTTTAGAGAGATTGAGTTTCAGAAAGTGGGAGGACATCCAATCAGGAATTGAAGAAAGGCAAGCAGTGACACGTTGCAGGACCGCGGGGGAGAGATCAGGGGAGGGGAGCCATATGGTACAGATGGTAGCGGAATCCAAAGGAGTTAATGAGTTTGCCAAGAGAGGCAGTATAAAGAGAGAACAGATATTTGAACTGAAAAGACAATTGATTTGAACATTTTTCCAATTCAGCTTTTTTGCACTTAAACTAAAAATTCACTTGAAATATCTCACTGTTCCGACTTAAGGGAATAACCCTGTCAAATTCTATTGCATTTTCATCTCAACACATAAGCAGGATATACAACCATAAGCCTGTTACCCCAAATTGGAATTTTTCCACCTTACATTCATATTGTCTAAAAACAGCTATGAAATCCATCTCTAAACCTCTATAAATTAGAAATATAAAAATGCATGAACAAATAAACAACAAACAAAGGCCAAAGTGCGAAGTAAGTTTAATTTCAAAGGCAGAGGAACATTGTGTACACGGCTGACGTCAGCAGGGAAAGTTCAGGGTGTGAAGCCTTGGGGAGCGTGTGTGTGTGTGTGGGGGGGAGCTGGGTATGTGAATGTTGAAGGTCAGTTCGGGGCACGTTCTTTTTGACAAGATGTTCTTATTAATGTAAATATTCACAGACAGACAGCGCTTCGGGATCTGATCTCACCAACCTGCCACAAATTTACAAACATTTCAATCTCATTTCTCGGTAACTCTCTTATCAGTTCAGGTTGTTTTTTTTGTTTTATCTGCTACAGATTGTTCAAGCTCTGCTTCTGTCCTTTCAATCCCATTAGCTCTTATTTCCTTTTACTAGTGCAATTCCCCTTTTTTGTAACATTGCAATCTCTCCCTGTCTCTAATGCAGAAATCACCAGAGCCTTATAACGTACAAATAAAATGGAGAGAGACGGGTATAAATATTTATAAATAGGTATATACAGACACGTCACTTGGCTCTGGTGCCTTCTGTGTTTCTTATATCTCTTTTCTAATCTTTTTAGCAATTTTCACGTCACTTTCATTTTTCCTTTGTATGTCCTCATCTTCCTCTGGGCACATTCCCAACTTATTTAGATTGTTTCCTTCCTTTTCTGTATCTCTGCCTTTCATCGTGTCTCTTCCCATACATTTTATTTGTTTACAGAGCACATAAGACATTAGAATGAATGTATATTTTATTGTGCTCCAATCTGCAAGGTTTATAACCTATATATGGTGTCTTCTAAATAGCTTTGCCTTCTAGAGCACCATGCGAAATCTCACCAGTACGAGCACAGCTCTACCAAAATGCACTGTAAAAATTTGGAGAGGGGAATTATGTGCAAGCAATAAGTGTGAGAAATCTATAAGGGCTATAAGTAATGTCTAAAAGGCAGGAAGAGATGTCTCGCCGTAGATGCAGCTTGTGATGTTCTTATTCTGCAGAAAAAAATCAAGATCAATAGTCAAAACGCAGATTGTAACAATAAAATATAAATCGTAATCAATTCTATAGATTAATCTATCCCCTTAATTTGTGTTTTTTTATTTTTTGCAGGAACATTTATCTCCTAATTCTCTGTGTGTCGAGGGTTTTTGCTTTAATGTTTAACATTACCATTTCATGCAGGGTTCTTGCTGTATAATATTTACGGATTATTTAATATCATAGGCTTTGCTTCCTGTCTGCATTATTGTTTATATGCTCCTACCGACCTTACAGTTAGCAGTGTTAAAAAATGACACGGTGAGTTTTAAGAAAAAGTGGGCTTGAGACATGTAATCTAATTAACATGTTAGTGGGGACTAAGACGTCTTTAAAAAAACAAACAAGCCAATGACCTTACGTTAAATGGCTAAAATAGCAGAATCTATGCTAAACATGATCAATCATCAATCAATAGATCAATTCCAGCAAAACAAAGCTCTACTGACTTTCACCTGCTACTAATGTAAAAAAGTTCCTGCAAAATATGTAATTCAATGTATGCTTACCCGCAATATTATTTCCTGCAATAATTCCGTTTTTTTAACTCAATGATTTTCTTTTTTTGTTATTCAGCTGGGTTTTCCAAAATGCTTATTCCCAGCTGTCACAACTCATTATTATTTGCCAAATGTAATGGCAGTTCTGCAATAGATGTGGATCTACCTTTGTAAGATACCTGTTACAATGTAAGATATGTACCTTGCACAATGAGCCTGGCTTCAGATCGCGTTTTACCCGCAGTAAATCTCACTGTCCCGGTCATTTCTGGATATGTGTCTTTCAGGGTGAGTTTATATCGAGTTCCTCGATTTTCTATGATAACATCGGGACCACTGTATAGTAAAGTGCCATTTAAACTCCACTGAGGGGGTCTGGTCAGCGGAACAGAAACTTCACACTCAAAACATGCATCAGCGGGCGCTTTGACCTTCACGTCCGTCAGACTTCGAAAGATCTGGATGGCTAGACCTGGAATAATGAGATCCAGGCACCATTAGAGCACAGAAAAAATACAGAGATGTCAAAAGGACGGTAGGGAAAATTATCCAAAGAAAGGGTTTAGCTTATCAAAGAATACAAAAAAAAAAAAAAAAGAGTGTACGAGAATGAAGACCACAATGAGGAGAAGAGTTAATTTTTAGGAAACATTACAGAAAATAAAGAAACTAGGTATTGAAGATGGAAGTGTGTTATTTAAACTGAAAAGGTTATCCCCCTCCATGCCCCGGTTCTCCGCTAGGTTCATCCTCCCTGCCCTTCCACCACCTTCAACATGGTGGTAGTGTCGTCAGGCAAGGAGTATCGAGCTATAGGGAGAACTTGGAGTCGGTTATGGAATATGGTCACGTGGCTATGCGAGGTTGCATCTTATTAGTACATTGCACTAATAATTGTTTCCCTGTGTTGTTTATTCTATTGGCCCATAGATATGCACATGAGACTTGCAGAATATTGTTGCCTTGTGATGTATTCCTTAAAAAATTACTTTTGTTCTTACCTTCCACAAGAAGTCGTGCACTGCTCTGCCCTGCTTTGGTTCTCATGGTGTACATGTCTTCATCGTCACAGTTCACATCATTGATAATTAATTTGCGAAATGCATCCTCAGTGCTTATCTGGTACTTTGAAGATGGGACAATCTCTATGTTTCCCTTCAGCCAAGTCACCTGCGCCCTGGGAGGGTTCACCTTGCACTCCAGTGTCACTCGATGTCCCTCACGGGCAGTCTTATCTCTCAATGACTTCACAATTCTAACAGGAAGCTCTATTATAACAGCCAAAACAGAAAAAATATAGAATATGAAGAACATCCTTAAGTATATATAGTAAGACTTACTGAACAGTGATGAGCAGGATGTTCTAACAGTTATTCAGAATCAAAGGATGAATTGTCCAAAGTGAATTCCAAATATTTAGCCAAAATAACCAAACTGAAAATGTAGAACTTTTCCAATTTTACTATCTAGGACTACATTTTTAAAATCACCGTGAATTCCTGACAATTCACACTTTAGTGAAAAATAATCTGTCAGTAAATAAAGTTAGGGCTTCAAATCTGCTCATCCTCGCCGTTCACAGAAAACTTGGCTGTGGGAGGAAAAGTGGTTCTGCGTATGTGCCTGTGTGCACATACATTAGGAGTGAGTATGAACACACTGCCGGTGCAGTCCCTGTTATGAACATATGTGGGCAGCCAAGCATGGACGCTTGTTAGAAAGGGTTAGGGTCAGAAAAGGTATATATTATCCTAAACAATCATGGTTAGGAATCCATATTTTCATTTGATGACATAAAAAGAGTTGGCTGTAATTTTAAAGAAACGTACATATGATTTCAAATATAAGAATAAATTTATAACTACATACAATGGAGTATATCTTCTGGAATACAAGTAATTATGTGAATGACGACAAATATTGAACAGGACCTCCTACCTGACACGCGGAGATGAGCTTTCGATTCCACTCTCCTGGCCCTGAAGACTATGTCGCCCGAGTCTTCACACTGAACCCCACATATCAAAAGGAAATGCCTCCTTCCTAGAATAAAAATGTTAGCATGTCACTTATCCAGAGCAATAACCCATCCACACGCTCCACGCATGCATCAAGGAGCAGAATAAAAGATCTGTAGACGAGAGGTGGCAGTCTACAAAAGTACGAAAGTAGAGAAAGATTAAAATCCCACGGGTCCAAGGCAGGTTCCCAGTTCTGGGCCCCCCTTCATTCTTCACGTAGGGATGGCTAACAAGGCCAAGCAAATTCCTGATTCCTGTCTAATCACTTTTGGTTAATCCTGCTCTGTATGAAAGTGATCCTTTGCTGTTGTGACCATACATACAATTGTCCCTATTTAGGAGGGCAGTCTCTACTTTGAGTTCTAATGCCTCTGTCCCTCTTTTCTATCCCATTGCCCCTCTTTTATGGGGGTTTTATTTTTATTGTGCATCTGACTACAGCAGATCTTCAGCGCGGCATGATGCAAAGTACCGTCCATAAAATACAATACAATGAATTCACATAACATTTACATTAATAACCTCACCCATTGTCATACCTCCAGCCTCACCTCTAAAATGAAAGTGTTAAAAAATTTGAAGGTGTATGACAATATATCTTAAGATTCTTTTCCAGCCAACTGACATATTGAGAAAATGGCAAGCTGGCTGGCTAGGGATTATGGTCAAAGTTTAGCCATCACAAGTTTATACTACATTGTTTCATGAATAATTGATGCAAAATAAAATCCTTTACTGAAAATGCAATGTAGTGTCTCAGGCACAAATAAGAAGATGGGACTAAAGTTACAAAAAGTAAAAAATAACACAGTGAAACAACTCTCTTGTGTCTGTTACCTTCCTGGCGAATTTTGGTGGTGGACGTAACTTTGATTGTCTCGCCATTTTTGAACCATTCCCCTTTTGCCTGAGGGCATGAAACTTCACAAATAAATACAGCATTTTCATTCTCCTCAATATCCACGTCCTGCAAATCTCTCAACATCTGTGGCTCTTGCTCTTCAGGAGACAAAGAGAGAGACATTTAGAACAAGACATCGGAACGCGTGGGATTCCAGCTGAGAAACAATGTATGAACTACACTTACAAAGAGACGTGAGCAAGCCCCAACATGTTACATCAATAAAACAAATCAACACAATAATGTTTTTTCAGCAAACAGAGAAATGTGTAAAAATGACAAGGACACTGAAAAATAGAAGTTAAAAAAAGAGGTGGAAACACAGTTAACTTAAAGTTTAATATTTACAGTTGTTTTTTAAGATTCCTTTTGTCAGTTCTTCGCAGATCCAACTTTTATAAGTAAACAAAAAAACTGTTAACGTTTTATGGAGAAAAATATTATCATTGTATCATTAGGAACGCAGGCGTGCATCCCCCCACCTCCTCTGGTGGTACTGTATTCTACCTCTGGCTACTATTGATCAGAGTTATATTGCAGAAATCACAAGTAAACACCGCAACTCACCACCAACAGATGCAGAGGACTGTTTGCCCGCCGTAGCCATAATAGGCTAAAGGTATGCGCTGAGGTAACATTGATAGTTACATAGTTACATAGTTACATAGCTGAAAAGAGACTTGCGTCCATCAAGTTCAGCCTACCTCACATTTGTTTTTTGCTGTTGATCCAAAAGAAGGCAAAAAAACCCAGTTTGAAGCACAATTTTGCAACAAGCTAGGAAAAAAATTCCTTCTTGACCCCAGAATGGCAGTCAGATTTATCCTTGGATCAAGCAGTTATTACCCTACATTGAAAGATTATATCCTTGAATATTCTGTTCTTGCAAGTATGCATCTAGTAGCCGTTTGAACATATGTATGGACTCTGATAAAACCACTTCCTCAGGCAGAGAATTCCACATTCTGATTGTTCTTACAGTAAAAAATCCTTTCCTTTGCCTTAGACGAAATCTTCTTTCTTCCAGTCTAAACTCATGGCCTCGTGTCCTATGTAAAGTCCGGTTTGTGAATAGATTTCCACACAATGGTTTGTATTGGCCACGAATATATTTGTATAATGTTATCATATCCCCTCTCAGGCGACGTTTTTCTAAACTAAATAGTTTTAAATTTGTTAACCTTTCTTCATAGCCGATATGTTCCATTCCTTTTATTAATTTTGTAGCCCGCCTCTGCACTTTTTCTAGTGCCATAATATCCTTCTTTAGAACAGGTGCCCAAAATTGCACAGCATATTCAATATGGGGTCTTACCAGTGATTTATAAAGAGGCAAAATTATATTCTCGTCCCGAGAATGAATGCCCTTTTTCATGCATGACAATACCTTACTGGCCTTGGCCACTGCTGATTGACATTGCACATTGTTGCATAGTTTGTTGTCTATAACAATTCCCAAGTCCTTTTCATGTGTTGTTATCCCTAATTCGCTTCCATTAAGGGTATACGTTGCTTGTGTATTCTTTACGCCGAAGTGCATAACTTTGCATTTTTCAACATTAAATTTCATCTGCCATTTGAGTGCCCAGTCCCCCAGTCTATCTAAGTCCCTCTGCAGCAAAGTAATATCTTGCTCACTTTGTATTGTTTTACAAAGTTTGGTGTCATCTGCAAACACTGAAACATGACTTTCAATGCGGTCTTCAAGATCATTTATAAACATGTTAAATAGAAGGGGTCCCAGAACAGACCCCTGAGGGACACCACTTGCCACCTCTGTCCAGCTTGAAAATTTACCATTAATGACAACTCTTTGTACTCTGTTTTTAAGCCAATGTTCTACCCAAGAACAAGCATTTTCATCTAGACCGATTTCCTTGAGTTTGAACACTAATCTATTGTGTGGAACTGTATCAAATGCCTTGGCAAAATTCAAATAGATCACATCCACGGCAACACCCTGATCTATACTTCTACTTACTTCTTCGTAGAACGCAATCAAGTTAGTTTGATGAGATTACAATAACTGCTCTGTTCCTTGTACTTTAGTCGGTGAATTACCATTAACATAACATGTATAGGGGTCTCACCAAGGACACGCAACGCGGCAGAGGCAGATATGTCATTCACATGGCACGAGTAAGTCCCAGCATCCTGTAGCCTGCAGTTGCTCAGCTGAAGGATTCTGCGTCGGCCAACAGAAAACATACGACACAAAGCACTTGGAGCCAGTGGGTCACCGTCCTGTCATAGGGATACAATAACCAGATGTAAAACTCCAAACACATGGGCACCATACATTACATAGTTACATAGGCTGAAAAGAGATGTGTCCATCAAGTTCAGTCTTTCTCACATTTGTTTTTGCTGTGGATCCAAAAGAAGGCAAAAAACCCAGTTTGAAGCTCTTGCAATTTTTCAACAAACTAGGAAAAAAATCCTTCTTGACCCCAGAATGGCAGTCAGATATCTTCTTGGATCAAGAAACTATTACACCACTAATTAGAAATTATATATCTGTATATTATGTTTTTGCTGTTTAAACATCTGTATGGACTCTGATAAAACCACCTCTTCAGGCAGGGAATTCCACATCCTTATTGCTCTTAATGTGAAAAAAACCCTTTCTTTTGCCTTAGATTAAATCTCATTTCTTCCAGTCTAACCTTCTTCTGTGACCTTGTGTCCTATGTATAGTCCTGTTTATGAATAGATTGCCAGACAATGGTTTGTATTGGCCCCCATTTTATTTGTGTAATGCTATCATATCCCCTCTGAGGCACAGTTTTTCTAAACTATGCATATTTAAATGTGTCAACCTTTCTTCATAACTAAAATGCTCCATTCTTTTAATCAATTTTGTAGCCCGCCTCTGCACTTTTCCTAGTGCTATAACATCCTTCTTTGGAACAGGTGTCCAAAATTCAAGATGTGGTCCCAAGAATGAATGCCCCTATTAGTACATGACAATACCTTACTGGCCTTAGCAACTGCCGAATGACATTGTATATTGTCTTATTACATTGTCGCTCAGGATCTTGTCCTCATTAACTAATCCATATACATTCACAGCCTGGTACGAGATCTAGCACAAGCAGGATTTAGAAACTTTACTACCTCCACTTCATGTCCCTGTCCCTGTCCCTGATATTGCTGCTTTATCCTTTTAGTCTAATTACCTTTTCCTTTTAACCATGTAGACATTGTTTCCTTCCTGCATTATCTGTATCCTTAATGTTCTATTCTAAAATTTATTTTATTTCTCCAGGATCTAACCCTTGTCTGATCCATTTTTGAAGACCTGTAAAGTACTCAATGTTCTTACCTTGCTCCACGTCACAATGGCTTCTAGTTTAGACACTTCACACTGGAATGAGGCTAATCCACCCTCGTTGACCACAATGTCTTGTGGAGGTTGTGTAATGGCGAGCGGGTGCTCGGTTACTGTCAGCTGCGCTGTAGAGCGGAGGGTGTCGGTGGTAAAGGCAATAATGCCCGAGTCAGGGAGAGAGAGATCAAAAAAGCGCAGGAAGTGCTGACGGCCACTTTCTGTGATCATGCATCGGTCATCGGAGATCAGACGCATACCGCCTTTCCACCACTCCCCAGCTAGACCTTCGTGGGACAATTCCACAGAAAACTCTATGTTGCTGCCTTCCAAACATTTCACATCCTGCAGCCCCTTCTTTACAGCTATGCTCCTGGCTGTGAGGACACAAGTCACCATCATTAAATATTAAGCATCAGCAACTTCTACAGTGCAATGGGGGCATTTCAATAAACAAAGGAAAACATATAATGACAACAATAAAGGGAAACGATAACATATTTAGCTGACTTACTTGATTATAAAGGGACAGGCATGAAATTGGCAACGTGAAATTTTATTTGATTAGGTGGAAACATTTTCAAAGTTAACAAATGTTCTCTTACTCCAGGGAGGTGAGGTAGGAAGTATGGGCAACAGTGAATTTGGGGAAAATGAATCTTCATCTTCATTTGCCCCATAAGAAAAGAACTGGTATGTAATATAGAATAAGTGATCAATACAGAAAGGTATGGAACTGGAAGGGTATTTGGGGCAAAATGCCAGTTTTAATGACTATACTTTGCACCAGCTCAGACAGCACTGAGAATTCTCAGTGGTCAAATACCACCAAAGAACAGAGAGATAAAGAAATTCACCGTAACTTCTTGAGTGCCAAGTTATTGAAGAAAAAAATGACCAGCAAAATCATTACATTTTTGCATTGTGGAAACAATTTAGTAAATGTATTTTTCTTATGTCAGTAGTCTACTGTAGATAACATTATTTAATGACATAGCAACAATAACACTATTGATACTTGTTTAATGGAGTTAAAGAATAGGATACAATATAAATTTATTTCACCTGCGAGTCATTGAAATGCTGAGAAACATGTATTTGTGGGGCTCGGACTACGGATTCAGATGTCTGCTGTCTGTCTATACATGTTGGCAGTGAAGGAGTTAAAGAGCTATTGTGGACACATTGTAGTTTGTATGTTCCAAAGAGGAATTGTATCCAAAGCTAGCATTTAGCTTTATTCTTTTTATCATAATATGTGCTGCAATACAAATGTTTTATTTCATCCACATTAGGGCGTAAGATAAATGGGTTTGTAGTGGCCCGAAAAATCTAATTTGCCAATAATCTTATTTAATGTGCATCTCGTTTAATTTGTCCTCAATATAAATACGCACATTTGACATCCTGTCAAACACAATTTGTTTCATATTTGTAAAAATAATGCTTTCAAACTTACGTAAAATGTTCAGACGACAATCGGTTCTGTCGTGAAGACTCTCGCAGCTGTATCGCCCTCGATCAGAAGCCTGGACACTGCGGATAGTGAGTGAGTGTGTGTGTTCTGAGCTCTGCAGAGTATACTTGTCACTAGATTGGATTACCACCCCTTGTTTCACCCAGCGGACGTCGGCTCTCTCGGTAGTGACCTTCACTGTCAGTGTTATATCTTCTTCTTCTTCCACCTCAATATCCTGGAGACCCTCAGTGAACATCACATGGGCCTCTGTCATGAAAATAAATAAGGACTATGAAGGACATGTATCTGGGGGCTTCAGACTTGACTCAGAATTTTTTGGACTAAATTTCCCTAGAATTCTGTGAATGTTAGTTCAACAACAATTGGAGTTCCATGATTGGTCTTTTCATATGGATTCTTTGCCAAGGAGGCCATGTACTTGTGCAGAACATATTACACATGTAACTAAATGCACCAATTAATCTAATAAACAACAACTTGAGAATAGTAGTGAAAATTAAAACATAAAAGTGTGGAAACATCAGAGGATTCTGCACAGAAAGTGGAATGTGCCGATGCATTATACAGGCGTCTCATAAACAGATAGTAAAAGCAAAGGAAAATGTTAAAGATACTCTCTAAAGATACTGCTGCTGGGCAAATGCTTGCATTATGTCAGAAGTCGCTTAGCTAAGAGAGTGCCAAACCAGGGGGTAAGGAACCAGGGGGCCAAACTTAGGATGGCCTTTGGCATTAAAAGGGTTATAAGGTATCGGGGTACCTCACCCACCTTGTACCCTTAGTCTTGCCCTGGAGATGATTCCCTCAGCGTTTGCTGTCACAGTTCCCGAGTCAGAGATACGGCAGGAGCGCAGAGTAAAAGAATGGCACAGCCCATTACTTGACAGGCTGACCCGCTTGTCAGAGTGCACTGGAGACCCATTTAACTCCCACATGAGATTCACGTCATCAGGAGAGACAACGCACTTAAACGTAGCCATTTCTCCTTCCAGCACGGTGACATTCTGTACCTCGGTGATAAACTCCACCTGTCGGGGCACTGAGACAAACAAACACCACAACATTACAACATTTATTTCAAAACTTTTGAACAGTCCATAGTAATTCAAAGTGAGAAAACGAACATATATATATATATATATATTTATATATATAAAAAAAAATTAAAGATGAGTGTGGCCAAGCTGTGTTGGGGTGCCAAGGACCTCAGCAATTTCCCACCCAGGTATTAAATTGCCCAGTCCATAAAAAAAATATTTTCACATTTAGTTTTATTTACTGTCCAATAACATTAGATCTATAAATTGTAAAACAGAATAGCGGCTTAACTAGGCTTACATAATAAGGGGTTTCTCAAGTGTGACGTCCTATTACTCCAGTTACTTGCCTTCTACATGGACTGTGGTGTGCATCTGGTCTGTTGTAGCATCACAGGTGTAGGTGCCGGAATCAGATGGTCTGAGTGACTGTATAGTAATTTGTCTGTGCACGCCTCGGGACAGGATCTTCACCCGTCCAACTGACACAAGTTCCTCACCATCACGCAGCCAACGCACCTTAAAGTTAGGCCGAGACAATTCACAGGACAAGACCAGGTCATCGCCAGCCATCAAAGTATGGTGCTCAGGGGTTCCAGTATTTCCCACAATAACCACCGGAGGTGCTGTGTAACCAAGAGAGTCGAGGGATGAGGAAAAAGCAAGACTCACAGTAGTGAAAAACAACTGCAAAGCCTTTAATGCACAGCCTTTCTCAGCCGAGACAGCAAACTTCACTACTTGCAACATTGTCTAAGATTGGACGCGGAAAGAAATGCCCAAACGATAGAGAAAGATTGCAGAGATTAGTGGAGGCGTCTCAAGCAATAATGGGGGCAATAGCACAATAGAGAAGCAGGCATCACAGGCAGTAATGGAGGCCTCACAGGAGGACGAAGAAGGCATCACAAGCAATAATGGAGACATTGCTAGTGGCATCTCAAGCAGCTACAGAGGCATCTCATGGGAAGGGAGGATACGTACAGGCAGTAAAGGAGGATAGGCCGATGGGGAAGGAAGCATCACAGCAAAAAATGGATGCAGAATAGGAGAGGAGATGCAGAACAGGCAGTAAGAAGGCATCCCAGAATGAGGAAAATGCACCACATGCTGTAATCACGGCTCAACAGGTGGAAGAAGACATCACAAGCAATTGGGGAGTAGCAGGATGAGGAAAGGATACATGATAGCCAAGACTGGAAGGAATCGCAAAGTACATTAAAGGAGGCATAATAGGGGGGAATGGAGCCATCACGGGCAATTTAGAACATAGAAGGAGCAAGAAGGAGACAGCCCAAGGGCACAACATTTCTAAGAGAAGGATCATAGAAAATGATAATCATGCAATCTCAGGGAAAATTGTATTAGTAGGAGTCAAGGTTGACAACTTAATTAAAGTTGTAAAATATACAATCTTAGAAGAAGGATGCAAAAGGTAGACTGAGGAAAAGAAACAGAGGAGAACTAGAAAACAGTGGGATTTGATTGGGCAACGAGCAGGGAAGAGTTAAATAGGAAGCAGAGATTAATGGGGCAGCAACGAAGGGTGCAGGTTGCATATCCAAAGGAACATGAGATTGCAGAGTGGTGGATGCTGGTGCTTGAAAGGGTAAATGCAAAAAAGATGTGGGTTGCAGTGCCTCTTCGTCTCTCCTGTTACCTCCCACAGTGACATAAAAGCTGAAGCTGTCATGGCTGGCATCACAAAGATATTCCCCTGCGTCACCACGTGTCACTCCAAGGATGGTCAGCGAGCGTTCTGCTCCCCTCTCCTCCACTAGTACGTGTGGATTGTCTCTCAGCCGCTCTCCGTCCTTGTACCATCTCACTTCAGCATCAGATCGGGACAGGGAGAGTGCCAGCCTGAGGTCGTCAGACACTGTGCACAACCTCCGCGGCATGATCTGCTCGCGCCCTAAGATCGCCACTACCGCCTCTTCCAAGAACCAAACACCGACAGGAATTAGAGCCCCAGGTGGCAATGCAGAGGGGCACAGAATCTAACTGCAATTTTAAATCCCCTTGTAATTAGGTCGAAAGCAAATTCTAGTTCACTATATGATGGAAAATAACATGTTTTAGAATCAAGATTCCCCAACAGGATACCTGGCGTATTTTATTTTGCAGTGCTCTGAACCCCTTTCAAAATAAAAAATAATTAAATTGTAAACATGAGCAGAAGCTATGAAATGGTACATTGACTTAAAGTCTCTCTATTTACGAAGAGGCAAGACTATCACAAGCATCAACTACAATGCGACAAAAATATTTCGAATTATTAAACCCTTTATTTTGGAAAAGAATAGACACAGAAACAAGATTAGATTAATCTAGAAGGCTTCAATAGTTTTATTTTCTGTGTAGGGTATACATATAAATATTTTGATTGCATTGCATAAATACTTGGTGATGCTTAAGGTAATATACAAGGCAGTTTGGCTTGCATGCAGCAAGAAGCGGAGTTGATTTTGGGTTGCATAGGAAAGACATACAGGAGAGGTTAGGTGAGTCATTAAGTGATGCACAGAAAGACAACAATAGTGAGTGCTACCTACTCAGCTCCTGCTGGTGGCTGTTATCTACGAAGCATTCTTTGATGAGTGCTACATTGTGTAGGGTAACACTATTAAGGTTTTTCACTAAATTGTGCACATTTCTAGTTTCAGACCTTAAAAAGCAGAATTGGAAAAAAAAAAAATCGAAGCCAGCTCTAGTTTCAGATTCTCTCTTTTCTTTTGGACTAAAAATTAAAATTCACCCAATAAGGAATAATCCGGAGAGATGGCATATTAAAGAGTGTTCGTAAAGATTTTTCCAAATCTGAATACGCCTTTCTGACTGATATAATTCGCCATTTTTAAATTATGGGGAATAAATTTTTATCTCTTTACGTTAAAACATCATTTTTTTAAAACATCTTGCTATTGCACCTATAAAACGCTTATTTCAGTGATATCAAGTCCCCCCCTGTGAATATTAAGCGAATAACCTCAGCTCCTAGCTATACTGGTTAAATTCTGAGATTTACATACATTTTAGGCCGTTTTAAATAGAGTCTGTGTGTGTCAAGAAATGAAAAATAGACGTATCGAATTTGCAGGCCCAGACACGCATTTAACATAATGGGAAACTGGAGAATATTAGTTCATAAATCAAACTTACATTTCAGCCTGTGGGTACCGAGGGCCAAAATACTCTTGCCAGGAGATATAACTCATCTTTGGGGTGCAATATTTATTATCGCTGTATATTCTACAGGCTCTCTAACAGTTCAGAGTTTCATTGCAGTAGACAGATGTTGTGCTGGTGTGCTACACTGGAAAGATCTACCCTAGTGACAGATTGCACTTAACGGCTGGTTCATTGCTACTCACCATCGACATGGACGGTGAAAACTCTGGCATCCGTGCCAACGTTGCACTCATAATGGCCTGCGTTCTCTGGCTGCGCAGACTGGAAGTGAAGGAAGTGCTTGGTTCCCTGTTCATCCAGTGTCAGTTTGTCATTTGTCATCAATTTCTGACCATCTTTGAACCACCGAACAGCAGCCGAGACGCGGGAGAGTAGACACTGTATAGAAAATGGATCTCCCTCCGTCACACGTAGCACGGATGGGGAGCAGCCACTGGACACAATCGTGACAGGAGGTTCTGAAAACGAATAGGATATGTTACTGGGACAGAATTATTGGTAACCGTAAAAATCCCCTCGTCCTAGTAGAATGTGTAGTGAGATCTGAACTGCTACATTCTCCTTACTTGGAATATTGGATTGGAACTTTCTTGGATAGTAAATGGATGTGTTAATGGACAGCAAATATCATGATTAGGTTGGAAATGCCTGGTTCGTGATTGGGTGGTATGAAGGACTCTTCATGAAAGCTCATTCTCAATTTGCTCATTCTCAAATGCAGTTTATAGCTGCCCAATGTCCTGCATTCATCTAGAACAGGGGTGCCCAAAAGTTATATTTCTAGATGCTTTCAAACTACAGCTTCCATGATGCTTTGTCATTCTAAAGACATGCAAAGCAACATGGGATTTTTTAATTCTGCAATAACTGGGGATCTACCTTTTGGGCACCCCTAATCTAGAACCTTGAAGGGTTACCCCAACCAAACACAGTATTTTCAAAAAACGTGTTTTGTTCAGAGTAACTCTCTGTCAGTTGGTCAGCCACCACCCACAATAAAAAACAAAACAAAATCAAGGACCATTAAGGACTGAGGGGAGAACAGGGGCAGCATGGAGGGTGGTGGTGCCACCAACAGAATTGGCATTAGTCATTAAATCTCTCTACCATGTAATGAACTCAGTGCAGTTTGCACTGTGCCGTCTAATGATGTGTTTGTACTGCGTATTATAGGAACTGTCGGTCTAGCCATCTGGGGATTCCAGAGAGCAAACATAAGATGGCCGGACAGCACTCTGAATTCAGGACTGTCCCACTAAACCCGAGGCTATTGGTCGGTATGTATAAGAGCACTTTAACCAGCAGCATTTTAATCTTTATATGATGTTACATATAATTCCAAGAAATTTAGAATTTTCAAATTACTATATAATCATTATTTTAGTTTATTGTGTATGTCTGAATTTCTGTAGCTGACACAGAGATTTAACGGTCACATCATGATGTTCTTGTGCAGGGAGGGCATATAACAGGATGCAAGTGCTATTGTATGTGAATACATTGTGCCATTTAATGATCCAGAGCATCAATGCTAATACTGCATTATAGTAGTGAACATCAAGCGGATTACAGCTCACTGGTAACAGATACAACAATGGAACAATAGATAAATGCTCAGATAAAAGCTGAAATCTCTTGAAATGTATACATTTGTTAGCAATTTGGCTAGAATGATACACAGATCAATTCAACTTACACAGAAAGCTTACAAATAATATTACATTTTTAGCAAAAATCCATGTTAGATGCTTATCTTAACTTTTCACACCTCACAAATAAATGTTTGTTAAATTCAGGGGTTAAAGGGACACTCCAGGCACCCAGACCACTTCTGCCTATAGGAGTGGTCTGGGTGCCAACTCCCTCTACCCTTAACCCTGCAAGTGTAATTATTGCAGTTTTCATAAACTTCAATATTTACATTGCAGGGTTAACTCCCCCTCTAGTGGGGGACAGCCACTAGAGGGCACTTCCGGTATTATAGCACACATTCCGTGTGCTATAGCGTCGCTGGACGTCCTTACGCTATGTGAGGACCTCCAGCGTCGCTGAAATCCCCATAGGAAAGCATTGAAAGCATTTTTCAATGCTTTCCTATGGGGAGGCCTAATGCGCGTGCGTGGCTGCGCATGCGTTGTAGGTCTCCCCTGCCGGATGGGGGAGGAGCGTGGGCGGACCCTGAACCAGCGCCGAGGTACGCTGGATACAGGTAAGTCACTGAAGAGGTTTTAACCCCTTCGGCAACTTGGGATGGGGGGTGGGAGGGAGAGGGGACCTGCAGGACAGGAAAACTGTTTGTTTTCCTGGCACTGGAGAGTCCTTTTAAGTAGACGTCATATTAAACCACATCTTAGGCCGGGAGTCCCAGTTCCCCTGGAATATGCTCCATCCTTATTCTCGTATGAATAAAAAATACACAACCTAAAATAAATAAAAACAAAGAGGGACCACAAATGGTGTAGATAAAATTAAACACCATAAAAAATAAAAAATAAGATACACTCACAAACGTATGCATAAAATAGGCGGAACATGTAATTCTCATATACAAAAAGATTCCGTCCGGAATAGATGTAATGGAACGCATATGCCAATGCGTTCCATTGCTGTGAGAAGAATATGATGTCACATCCGATATTGTCGAAAATGAGGCTTGACACGCAGAAGCCCAGAAGGAGGAGCAGTTCGTGAAAGATTTCATTTTTTACAGGTGGATTTAATGAAGGACTTGTCCCTGATTGGCTAACGAGCCTTAAGGTCGAAACAAGCGGGACATTTAAATGGTATTGGAAGACAAGACTCTAGGACACTAGCCGGAATCCCCTGACGAAGTCTTAGGACGAAACGCGTAGGGCGGCAGGATTGCTTTTATGTTGCAGATTTATTATATATTTTGTTTCATACTCGCATGCTTCTTATCCTGGGTGTTTACCAGCTTCTTCCTGGATACTGAAGACACATTGCGATTTTGATGGGCTTTTTAACTACTGGTTTCCTGTGTGTGCAATCTAATTAAGTATTTCCTTTGTGTATATACAGTTGTACACTATGTTGTGTTTTTCTCTCTTACCCTAAAAGAATAAAGAGTGGGAGAAGAGAACAAAAGAAGTCTTCATTTTGAATTATATATTCCTCCTATTTTATTCATATGTTTGCGAGTGTATCTTATTTTTTATTTTTTATGGTGTGTAAATTTATCTACTCCATTTGTGCTCCCTTTCTGTTTTTATTCATTTTAGGTTGTGTATTTTTTATTCATAGCCATATTTGCGAAGACACAGAGGAGTCTTCACACTACCTTTTAAGGGGTAATTTATTATTGTTTATTCCCCAATTTCACTACTGGTATTGCATGCCACAAAGGTAATATTGTATTTTTTCCATCCTTATTCTCACCTGATACTTTCACATCAAATGTGATGGAGTCACTGTCTGTGTCACAGATATATTCCCCAGAATCCTCCACTTCTGCGTGTGGTAAGACCAAGCATCGCCTGAACCCATCGGACGTCACGCGCAGAGTTTCGTTTTCATCCACCTCCAGTCCGTCTTTAAACCAGCGGACAGTGCCGTTGCTCCGTGACACTTCAATCACCAGTTCTACTTTGTCACCCTTGATGAAGTCCAGCTCCTGAGAGCCGTTTGTGGGAAACACAATTTTTGTGGGTGGTTCTGGGGGAAACAATATAAAATAAATATGAAACCATTTGCTAGTGCTTACATATATATATTTATATATATAAAATAAAGGAATAAATTACTCACAGTGCTCATTACAATTGGTAGACAAATCAGAGAAGAAAAAAGATTGCTAGGGCTGATGATTGACTGCAAGTGGAGACCAGGAGAGCCCTGCTCAGATTACAGTCTAAAGGATGTGGCAGGACAGTCCTGGTCTTAGTCTCCTGCCACACTTTTTCTTGTGCCCTCATTCTGGGGTTCAGCATGAGGTGAACTCTGTACAGTTCTACCCATATGCATGCCCAACACTCTGCGCATGGGCATCCCTGCTTGGCTGCCTTGCCAGGTAGGTTTGTTAAACTGCCACGCATGCATGACAGGGTGCCACTGCCCCTTTACAGCTGGGCGCATTGCCAGCTTGCCCCACCGTGGCCCTGAATTCCAGATTCCAAAACTTGGCAAGTATGAATCTCGATTACTTCCGGGATTTGTAGGATGATACATAATGATGGTAAAAAAAATAAAAAAAAATGAAATATCTAAATCTATAAATAAAAAGAATGTGAATGAAATGTACCAGATAAGCCTAGATGTAACAGGAGAATTCAAACTGTAACTTCCAATATGTAACAAAAATGTTTTCACTAGTAATCAGGCATAGGCAACCTTCGGCATTTCAGATGTTTCCATCCCCCATAATGCTCTTACACCCATAATGCTGGCAAAGCATCATGGGAGGTGTAGTCCAAAACATCTGCAGTGCCGAAGGTTGCCTATGCCTGCGAGATAGTTAATTATGGGGAACTAACCATTGTCTAGCCCAGCCAAATGAAGGCCACAACTAACAAAATCTTCAACTTTTTTCTTTTTCCCCCGTTGGTAACATTTACAAACAGGCCTTGATTTTTACTGTGCGTTCCAAAAAGGTTGTCATCAGCAAATTAAATATAAATACAAAAAAAAAAACAAAAGACTATTCCTACATTGTATTTACCTACAGAATAAGCAAGGCGCTATGCGCAGGGTGCGAGAGGTGGGGGTACATGTTCATAACACGATATGAACAAACTTTTATATTTATAGAAAGAAGCAAACTTCGAATGACAGAAATTCCATAGATTTTATGCAAACACAGGACGAGCCATCCTTCCAGGCAGATATTGACGGAAACATTTGCCCTGGTTTGCAGAACATACTTTGAAAACAGTTCAGATAATTACTTCACAAACATTGAGTGCGGAAAAGGTCAGTCTAAATACAGCGCAGAGAATAGTAATTAAACAAAGTAAATTCACAAGAAGCAATTAGCTTTCTTTTTTCTTTTTTAACATATTCCATGCCACGGCGGGCTCAGAGCCAGAACAAAGAATAATTATCTTATTTTGAATGTGGCTCTAATTGATCTCATTCCAAGAACGTAAATTGGAAGCGAGTCTATTTTTGTGTAATTTTGAAAAATGTTTAGGAAATGCAGCCTATAGAATTCTTACCAATTATCCCATAACTTACAAACTACTTAACCCTTAACTACCAACTCTCTTCAAATGTGATGCAAAGCACTAAGCGCCTGTTTTGTAAATAGATTGTTGTTAGGGATTACCCAAATAATACAATTTTGTAACTTTAAAAACTTGTAATTTTTTTTTTTGTTTATTTATTCTTCCTGTACAGATAAATTAGGGCGAGGAGGGTAAACATTATTAGAAAAGACATGCAATATTATTTAAAGTGATTTCAAAGTGAATTTCAAATTTAAATCCAGAGTAGCCAAACTTAAAGCATAGCTAACTTCGAGAATTTCTCAAGTTTGGCTATTTTAACCTTAAATTTAAAATTCACTTTGAATTCTTACTCTGGTAATAATGGCGTACCTGTCATTATAAATATTAATATTATTTATACACTAAAGCTAGCATAATCTACAACTGAGTAACAGTTGGGTGATTGTGTTGTTATGAATAATGACAAAGTCTTAAAAAGGGGCTAGGAAGGCGATTTAATTATTTCTGAGCCACCGTCCCTCCTAAATGTTGTGGTTTTTGGTTATTCATGGTTTTCCTTTTATTGTCACAGTATTCCGAGAATTCCGGACCGACGATGACAGGTGGGTACAGCACTCCACAGCCGTGAGTTCCTCTTCAACACTGGACTGCACAATGGCAGTACCAAGTATTTTCAGAATTCCAAACAAAAGACACTGTGCCTTTAAAAATTAGCAAAAGATTACCTGTGTATAAATATCCAGAATTCAGAGAAATATAGGAGATTACAAAGAGTTAACTTTTCTCCATGGTAACTTGGTAGCAAATTGAGGGGGGTGGAGGGGGCTAGCACAGTGTACCCATATCCCCCATGATACAGAGCTGGCAGACATTAGGTTGTTATGACAACTGAGGAGAATGACACAATGTTTCCCCCACGCAGGTCATAAGCATTTAGGGAGCTCAGGTCTGTCTCTTTACATATCAATTGACCCGGCTATTGTGTATATCTCGGCAGAAGCTCACAGTAGCGAGGACATAGATAATATTGTTTAAATGAATGGAGTTTAATTTGGCCATTGTATGATCTTTATGAATGGCATTCGATTGCCAGATACAGCATATTTCGTGGAACTCATCTCTTCTTCATGGTGATGGGCGCTACCAGAAAAGTGCTGCCCTGTATTATGTATCACTCAGATGGAGCAGTTAATCAATTCATTAAGCAAGCCGTGCATTTTGAAAACATTCTTGACTAATTAACTGAATTGAGTCCTGCAGCATATAAATTGGACGTAGTGGGGGTCCGAGGTTTTTGTACACTGTTGACTTAGATGTTACATTTCTGTAATGGACACCCCTTATCTCTCATGATGGAGATAGCATTACACTGTGACATCTGCAAGCTGGACGGGTTTGTCAATCTCCCAAACTTGCCTTCAAAACATCCGCCACTGCTTCATCCCCAGTGCAGAAGTCACCCATCACAGTGCAATCTAAATGCATAAAAATGTTGGATTGTTATCTAGCGTTCTATACCACTGCTTCTTAATCCAAAGGTTACGACACAATCTGAGTCCCTGTGACATTTCTAGTGAGTCTCCTGAGTCTCAGACATATGTCAGGATTTGTTTATTTTAGTAAATTGGGACACCTTCAACGCTGAGCAAAGTATATTCATGGTTTTTCTAGCAAATGAATTTTATTACATTTGTTATTTCACAATTTAAAAGGACACTATAGGCATCAAAATAACTTTAGCTTAATGAAGCAGTTTTGGTGTATAGATCATGTCCCTCTAGTCTCACGGCGCAATTCTCTGCCAATTAGGAGTTAAATCACTTTTGTTTCTCTTTATGCAGCCTTAGCAACACCTCTCCTAGCTGTGACTCACACAGACAGCCTGCATTAAAGAAATGGTTTCATTTTCCAACTGATTTTAAATTTACTTTAGAAGTTCTTATTCTACTGTTCTGTAAATTAAACTTTAATCACACACAGGAGGCTCCTGTAGGCTTTAGCAGACTACTAACAGAGTAGAAGATGATATATATTTAAATGAGATAGATTTGTAATAGAGGAAGTTTAAACATTAGATCTCTCTTTACAGGAAGTGTTTAGGAAGGCTGAGTTAGTCACATGCAGGGAGGTGTGGCTAGGGCTGTATAAGCAATGTGATTTAACTCCTAAATAGCAGAGAATTGAGCATTGAAACTACTGGGCCATGATGTATACACCAAAATTGCTTTGTTAACCTAAAGTTATTTTGGTGCCTATAGTGTCTCTTTAAGTATTATTCACCTAGATGATGCCATCCTATATTGTTATTCCTATTAAAATGTGGTTGAGAAGCATTGGTTTGCAAAATGTAGGATTAGAATAATTACATGTATGTCAAATAATATAGAATTACTGACCGGTCACCATCACGCTAAAGAACACAGCATCATCTCCAGCGTCGCAGACAAATTCGCCAGAGTCCTCTGTTTGCGCTGTGGGGATAATGAACCTTCGATGTGTTCCAGCAGACTCCAACCTGACACCTTCTCCATCTTTCATTTCAATCCCATCTTTATACCAACGTACCGCGGCATTCTCTCTGGACACCTCACAGCTCAGCACCATGCGGTCACCACTCGAGAAGTTCAGCTCCAAATCATCGCAAACGTTCACAAATTTTACGGGGGGCTCTAGAGTGAGTGAGGAGCACAAAGGACGGAAATAAAAAAAATAAGCATGATTATCGATATGTACTCTTATTTCAAAATTATAAAAACAAGATATTATATTTATAAATATAGTTTGAGACTGTCAATAAAGGTTCTCTTCCACCTTGACAAATCATTATATTAATCTTTAAAAAAAGAAATGTCAGTTTCTAGCTCATTAAGCATAGAAAATGAAAAGTTTCATATTTTTAGTTTGCAACTTGCATGGCAAGCCAACTGCATAGAAATTAGAGGTGTGATCTTTTTAAGTGCCATTATTATGTTTCTTTAAAACATTCTTTTTAAAGGGACAGGCAGGAATTATTAGGCAGGAATTGACCTCCTACATTTAACGCATTTTCTACATAAAAAAACAACTTTGTTCACTCCAATCCGATGATTGTGCTGTCATCACTAACCAGTAACTGTTATATAGTAAAACAGTGAGTCGTCTCCCGCATCACATTCATACTCCCCCGAGTCTTCGACCTGAGCGATGTCAATAATTAGCCTGTGATTTTTCCCATCTGATTCTATCCTTATGCTCTCGCTTTCCTCCACTTCCACGCCATCCTTGTACCAGCGCACATCCGCGTTCTCCAAAGACGCCTCACAGCTCAGCAGCATGCGCTCTCCGGTCAGGTAATTGTGTTCTGTGTCATCCGTGGTGTTTACTAGTTTAACTGGAGGGTCTAAAAAGGCAAAGTATTTATAAAAAAAATAAAAATAAAAGTAAATAGTAGAGTATGTGAAGGTATACATTAAATGGCTTCTAAATATTCCCAGTAAACTATCCAGGTGGAATTTTCTTAAAACGGATCTGTTAATATTAAATAATAATTAATATTATGTTTACTTTTCTTTTTTTTTAACAAATATGAGGTTTTCAAAATAAATTTAAATGTAATTTACTCCTGCACTTTCAGGGGCCCTGTTGGTATTACGGCCACCATGGTGGGGCTCCCACACAGAGATTCTGGCTTTTCGTGTACTCTGGAGAGAGTGTGGTTTGTAGCTCACTCCAGCGTTTATTGAATAGACACCATGCAATTTGCTATCACTGAGTACCACTTAGCCGAGCTCTGTTATTAGGTAACTGTATTACTGACCTGTTACTGTTACATTGTAGAAGACAGAATCATCTCTAGCATCGCAGACATACTCGCCCGAGTCCTGGGCTTTGGCTACGGGAATGATCAGCTTGCGATGTTTGCCGTATGACTGCAATAGGACATCCTCGCTCTCCTCTACCTCCATGCCATCTTTATACCAGGTGACCAATGCGTTCTCTCTGGACAGCTCACAGCTCAGCTCGACTCGCTCCCCGCTCAGACAATGATGGTCAGTATCGTCACCCGTATTCACTATTTTAACAGGTGGCTCTGTAGAGGGAGTAAAACAAAACTGTATTCATCCCACAGACACAAATCTATTTGCCAGTATCAGTAGTGGACTCCCAGTGTTATGCACTTAACAGAAAGAGAAACCATGGCATCATGACCGTGCTCCCAACCCAGTCCTTCAGACACAACAACTCCAGCATTCAGTCATTTCCCAATTATGTTTCAGTGGGGAGACTGACATAACCTGCATCACTGGTATGATGGACACCAGTGATATAACTCATCCGATCTGCAACTTTCCCATCTAGAAATCTCACAATGATTGGGTTTTCATTCCAGTCGTAATATATTTATATCAGAATGTTCAGTTCACCAAGTGCTGGGAGACTATTTGGATAAACCTTCCAGATCACTATGTCTTTCAACAAATTGTGAATTCTGGATTCGGCTTGCGAGGGAGCTGAGCAGAGAGCTCAGAGGAAAGTGCTCCCTTGCCATCGCCGCTGGCCTGACCGCGCCCCCCCGCCCGCCTGGCTTTGATATTTGATTATATGGGAGATAGAGTTTTTGGGGACTTTGGTGGTCTCCTATTTGCATTTGATTATATAGGAGATAGAGTCTCTGGGGACTTTGGTGGTCTCCTATTTGCATTTGATTATATAGGAGATAGAGTGTCTGAGGACTTTGGTGGTCTCCTATTTGCATTTGATTATATAGGAGATAGAGTCTCTGGGGACTTTGGTGGTCTCCTATTTGCATTTGATTATATGGGAGATAGAGTCTCTGGGGACTTTGGTGGTCTCCTATTTGCATTTGATTATATGGGAGATAGAGTGTCTGGGGACTTTGGTGGTCTCCTATTTGCATTTGATTATATAGGAGATAGAGTGTCTGGGGACTTTGGTGGTCTCCTTAGCCTTTACACCATTTGCCCTTATCTTTCTTCTTTTTTCTTCATTGGGCACCAATACCGGTTTAGTGTTATTTATAGTCCCACAACCGCTTGGTGCCTTCTGGTTTGGCCTGGTAGGGCGGTGCCTCGGCTTGTATTTATTTCCTATCTCCTATTTTCCTCCCCCTCCCCCACACAGTGGGAGGTTATCTATACGCTGGGATTTTAGTAAACTAGTTGTCTCTCACCTTGACATGTTTTAGGTTTCTATACTATTGTTTCTCCTTTTAGGTTCAATAAAGGTAGGGTTCCCCCTTTTTGGTTTTTTTTTCTCCCCCTTTTTTTTGTTAACTTTTCATAATATAAAATATACTATGAGGACAGTATGTGGCCAGCAAGTCTTTAGCTGAATAACAATCAGTTCGACTATACCTCTTTCCAAATCTGATAACAAAAGAACTGCTAAGATAATAAAAATGTCTGGTATGAAGTGAGCTGATAAATGTGCGAGTTATAAACTGCTTGGAATCGTACAGAAGGAATTACTGATTTAAAGCGTTAAATCTTCTGCAAAATGTTTTTTCCTGTAATTAGAGGAAAGTGGCCAAACGTTTCTATATATTTCTTCAGTTTCCATATTAAATATTTCTAATTACAAGCTGTCAATTGAGGTTATTATCTTTTTCCTTCTGATACATTTTCCCCAGTCAGTCGACATTCTTGTAAATCATTAGAATACTTAAAGCGAACGTATTGGCACCATAACAACTTAATTCTGATGATCCTTTTAAGGCAGGTTTATAAAGATGGCAGGATGAATTTAAAGATGGTAGAATGGATTTAAACATGATAGCATAGATTTAAAGATAGTACCATCCATTTAACCTCTTAAGGACACATGACACGTGTGACATGTCATGATTCCCTTTTATTCCAGAAGTTTGGTCCTTAAAGGGTTAAAGATGGCGGTGTGGATTTATAAATGATAATATGGATTTAAAGGACGCACCATCCCAATTTACTGCAGGGAACTCTTAGAGCCACATGCTACTTATGGGTTACATATCCCATCATAAAAATGCTGATTCTATCAGTTTAGGGACTAATGGGTTAACCAGATTATATATGTAAGGTATAGGTAAATGAAAGAGTTCCTTGTATTAATCATTATTAAATTTAAACTCGCATACAGCGAATGAGTTGAATTATTCATTCTTTATAATGATTTTTTTTAGCAACTTCCACATTCCAAACAAAAGCTGGATGGCTGCAATGCTATAATTTATCTAGTTTTTCACCACTGAAACTTCAATAATCCATTAATAAGACAAAAGCTTGCTATTAATGTTTACTTATCCATTGTAATTTAAAAAAATTAAATCCCAAGTGAAATCTTCTTTGTTTCCATAAGTAAGACATAATTGTGTCCTGTGTCTTATAAAGGAATGTAATCGTTGTGAGGGCCGAGTCGATGTACTAAATAGATACAATTAAATCATCAGAAAAGTTGCCGGTGAAAAAAAAGTTCTATAAATAATGTTTTATTTTATTTTTGTATTCCCACAAAAAAAAATAAAAAAATCAATGTAGGCAGTATAATGATGCTACTGTGAAAAAAGGAAAGAAAATGTCACTTAGAAGACAGAGTGTTCAAAGGTGATAACATGTATTCACATTGGAATAACAGACAACTGTTCTGTTTTCTAAATATACCTGAGAGTTTATGAAATTCTACGACTGCAATTATTTAAACTTTTAAAACGATAAATGCAAAACAATTGAGCAATTCGATTTTTTTAAATCTACTTTTGTAAAAAGTTTGGCTTATTTATAAGGGTCACTCTTTATTCATTTATATTTATTTATAGTTATTATTAGGACAGTGCGCTCCACGAACCTTTTACTGTTACATTGTAGAAGGCTGAGTCGTCGCCAGCGTCGCAGACAAACTCTCCGGAGTCCTGTAACTGCGAAGAGACTATAACAAGCCTGCGGATGCTTCCATCTGATTCCAGCATGATCCTCTCGCTCTCTTCTACTCTCTCCCCGTCTTTATACCAACGCACGACAGCATTCTGCCGCGACAGCTCACAGCTCAGGACCACCTTCTCACCGGTAAAGCAATTCTCTTCCGTGTCATCGCCTATTGTTACAATCTTTACTGGAGGTTCTAACACAAAGAGAAATTGTTTGTAAGAAAAAAAAAAAAAAAACAGACAGGGTCATTCTCTAAAGTGTACATTTTCAGTAATTCAAAGGATTTTTTCCAGGTTTGTCTATTTTGACCTGAAATGTAAAATTCATCTTGAATTCACTTGGAATTCCCGACAACTTCACACATAGTGAATAGCCCTGTAGGTACACAAATAATAGATAACGTTGTTTGTTTTTGGTAGCTTTTACTGACCTGTCACTGTAACATTATAAGACACAGAGTCATCGCCAGCATCACAAACAAATTCGCCTGAGATCTCGGGCAAGGCATTGTTTATAATTAGCCTTCGATGTTTTCCTTCCGCCTCTAGCTTCATGTTCTCGCTATCTTCCAGTTCCACGCCATCTTGGAACCAGCGCACCAGGGCATTTTCCCGAGACACATCACAGCTCAGTGCCACACAGTCGCCACCTAAGTACCTGTGGTCTGTGCCACACGTGTTCGTGAGTTTTACGAGAGGGTCTGAAGAGGTAACATTTTAAAACATTAATTTTCACCCTAAAAACTCAACATCTCCCATCTGTAACATCTCCCTATTTGACAATTCATTTTGTTTAGTTTGACAAATTTCTAAAATGTTTTGAGAAATTTTCCAAGAATCAGTAAATGGAAGAAAATTAAACGTGGTTTATCAATGACTAATGACAGTAAGATTTGTGATCTATTATTACAAATATTCAAATGCTTAATGCACTTTTTTACATTTTTATCACAGCAAGTTGCCCTTCACATTCTTTTCTTTAAAATAATGTTTTTTTAGAATGCATACAAATAGTAAGTTAATTTTACTGTGATACTATGTAGGAGGGTCAGTTACACATATACGCTGGCACCCCTAAGAACTCACTAGGCTCAAGTTTCAGATGGTGGCTAAAAAAAATAGTTAAGTAATCTAATAATGATCTTGGTAGGGAAGGGTCCAACGCATTTTACAGCCATCCAGTGTAATACGCTTATAAGAGAATATCGCTATTGTACGACTGTCCTCATTATTTGTGTTTTTAGTCACAGACCTGTTATTGTCACATTATAAAAGACAGAATCATCTCCAGCGTCACAGACAAACTCTCCAGAGTCCTGAGCTTGTGCATTGTGGATCACCAGCCGACGATGTTTCCCCTCTGACTCCATAATTATGTTCTCACTTTCCTCCAGTTTCATGCCATCCCGGGACCAGTACACCTGGGCATTCTCCCGGGACACCTCGCAGCTCAGCACCACCCGCTCCCCACTCAAGCTTCGGGGCTCCCCATCATCGCTCATGTTTAATATCTTCACAGGAGGTTCTACAAAGATGTAATGTGAATTCAGATTGCAGTGAGTTACTGTACCAAACTATCTATTTAGGGCAAATTTACACATTAAAATATGCCCTCTGTGAAAACATAGAAATATGGATATACATTGTTTTAGCATTTAAATAAATGAAGAAAATTAACCCATGCAGAAATAATTAAATGAAAACTCTGTGTACAATTTGAGTCCTGGCAAACATTCTGGTGAGATTTGTTTATATGTTTGCTTGCAATTTTCTCGTTTTGAATGTCTATAAGTCTTTCCATAGGTGAGACTCATTTTTTCCTGTGGCATTCTCTACACATGTACACACATCATTAGATTCACCCAGTAATTTAATTCTACCAAACCATCCAGCCGGGCTTTCTATCTACTAGTGCGCACTGCTCACACCTCCTTATATTTTGCCCTCTATTCAATACGCTTCCAGAGATTTTGCTACTGAGATAGTTGCAAAGACTTCACAACAGTAACCTAATCTACACAGTGCACCTAATGTGTGTGGGAGCCTGGAGTGTCCTTTTAATAACATAAACCCACCCGGTATAACTGTAACCTAACCTACACAGTGCACCTAACGTGTGTAGGAGCCTGCAGTATCCCTTTAATAATATAAACCCACCCAGTATAACTAACTGTAACCTAACCTACACAGTGCACCTAACGTGTGTGGGAGCCTGGAGTGTCCCTTTAATAATATAAACCCACCCAGTATAACTAACTGTAACCCAACCTACACAGTGCACCTAACGTGTGTGGGAGCCTGGAGTGTCCCTTTAATAATATAAACCCACCCAGTATAACTAACTGTAACCTAACCTACACAGTGCATCTAACGTGTGTGGGAGCCTGGAGTGTCCCTTTAATAATATAAACCCACCCGTATAACTAACTGTAACCTAACCTACACAGTGCATCTAACGTGTGTGGGAGCCTGGAGTATCCCTTTAATAATATAAACCCACCCAGTATAACTAACTGTAACCCAACCTACACAGTGCACCTAACGTGTGTGGGAGCCTGGAGTGTCCCTTTAATAATATAAACCCACCCAGTATAACTAACTGTAACTTAACCTACACAGTGCACCTAACGTGTGTGGGAGCCTGGAGTGTCCCTTTAATAATAAAAAAAAATCCACAGAGTGTAATTGTAATTTAACCTACACAGTGCACCTAATGTGTGTGGGAGCCTGGAGAATCCCTTTAATAATAATATAAACCCACCCAGTATAACTAACTGTAACCTAACCTACACAGTGCACCTAACGTGTGTGGGAGCCTGGAGTGTCCCTTTAATAATATAGACCCACCTAGTATAACTAACTGTAACCTAACTTACACAGTGCACCTAACGTGTGTGGCAGCCTGGAGTGTCCCTTTATTAATATAAACCCACCCAGTATAACTAACTGTAACCTAACCTACACAGTGCATCTAACGTGTGAGGGAGCCTGGAGTGTCCCTTTAATAATATAAACTCACCCAGTATACTTAACTATAACCATTTTTCCATAGATATAATATTAAATCCTACAGCTTTCCAGAACTGTACAATAAACATGCTTGATCCGTCAGTTATCATCTCAAAAACTAAGCGTTGCTTTAAAGGACCACTATAGTGCCAGGAAAACATACAAATTTTTCTGGCACTATAGTGCCCTGAGGGTGCCCCCACCCTCAGGGTCCAACTCCCGCCGGCTGGATGTAGAGGAAGGGGTTAAACACTTATCTTTCTCCAGCCCCGGGCTCCCACAGTGCTGGAGACTCTCCTCCTCCTTTCCACGTCATCGGCTGAATGCGCATGTGCGGCAAGAGCCGCGCGCGCATTTGGCCAGTCCATAGGAAAGCATTCTCAATCAAAGTGAGAAGCGCGGAAGCGCCTCTAGCGGCTGTCAATGAGACAGCCACTAGAAGCTGGATTAACCCCTAGGTAAACTGCTATGTTTACAGCAGAAAGGGTTAATCCTAGGTGGACCTGGCACCCAGACCACTTAATTAAGCTGAAGTGGTCTGGGTCCCTATAGTGGTCCTTTAACACAATGAATTTAGAAGAAAATTCCTTGAAGAAATGAATGGTCAACTCTGCCAGAATATGGCTCAATGACAAAAACCAACAAAAAGAATGGGTTTTAGTAGTTGCTTCGAATACCTTTACCAGAATGTCACATGATCATGGGACACACCTTAATGAAAGTAAGACACCATTCTTAGGACCATCTTATTAGAATCTCCGATCATTGTTAGTTACTGACCTTTTATTGTCACATTGAAGATGACGGAATCATCACCAGCATCACAGACATACTCCCCTGAGTCTTGCACCAGTGCACTGGATATAACCAGTCTGCGGTGACTTCCCTCCGATTCCAGCCTGATGTGCGCAGTTTCCTCCATCTCTATGCCATCCTTGTACCAGTGAACTTGGGCACTCTCTCTAGACAGCTCGCAGCCGAGCACCACCTGTTCTCCACTCAGACCGTGCATATCCTTGTCATCACTGGCGTTGACAATTTTCACCGGGGGTTCTAAAACACCAGCACAGAAACAGGTTCTCATTACTGAGAGTTCCTTTGATATCTGCTATCTGAACTATTTGTGCTAATCAGTCTACAATCACCTAAACACGTTCAATGGGGGACATTTATAAAAAATAAAGCTACATAACATTCTAAAAGTGGAGCAATCAGTGTGAAAACCACAGAGTGGAAGTGTTCATTGCTCCACTTTCAGAATGTTCTGATTGATTTTGACATTGTTGCTTCATGGGTCAAAATATCCAGACGTTTACACATAAGATCACCCTTATGCGGCAGCCTCGGGTCCACAGGAGCCTAGACACAGACACAGAAGGATTTTACTCCATCTCCGAGTGCATCGCTCTCAACATCAGCTTACAGATTTCCACTAGTTTAAGGAGCTCCGAAAATTATAGTCCCGTAGGACCGGGAGCTTGCCTGCGGCAAAAACAGCAAAGATTGACGCCTTTAATTTTCATGCTCTACAGATTAACCGCCTATTACTTTAAGGAGCTCTTTCTAGGAAAATGTCTTTTTACCATTTAAACCTGATGGAAATTGATGTAAAATTTTTTTTTTAGAAAAAAAAAAAAAAAAAGAAAACCGACTATGTGACTGTGAGAATCAGTTATTATGTGTCATCTCTTACAGAAATTGTTGGCGCTTTATAAATAATAATAATAATAATAATAATAACATCAGTACCATCTCTGTACATTGATCAAGCTGAAGTTTTCAGCAAAGAGAAAGCAGGCATAGGTCATGTGATTGGTTAACCAGTATATAAAGTATTTGAGGAATAAATCTACGATCATAGCTTCTTGATAGTATCTCTTATGGAGTACATCAAGTAGTAGATTTATTTTTCTCCAAAAGGTATTTTCACTAAATAGAAATTGGGTAAACAGAGGAAAACTGAGATTCCGAAGGCTGCCTTTAGATCAAAATAGTCAAATTTATCAATCTGAATAACAAACGACCTCTAGTGCTAAACATAAAAAAAGTTATAAATATTTTAATGTTTTTTGATTATTAAAGTCCCCCACCTCCCAGACTAACCTTACAGCCGATAGCTTTGCATGCTACATTACTGACAAGATTGAACAGCTAAGGAAAGAATTCTCCCCACCCTGCCGCTCTCTTTCTCAACCACACATAGATCATGCCTTTCCTACCCTTCAGACTTTCTCCCTGGCTACTGAACAAGAGGTGGCTGCGCTTCCCCTTTCCTCTTGCCCCACAACTTGCCCACTTGATCCTGTCCCATTTCACCTTATCAGATCTCTATCCCCTTGTCTTGTGCCTTCCTTAACAAACATCTTAAACTGCTCTCTCCCTTCTGGTGTTGTCCCTCCTACCCTTAAACATGCCACTGTAGTACCCATCCTGAAAAAAACATCTCTCGACCCGTCCTCACCTCTAACTATCATTCCATGTCCCTGCTCCCTTTTTCCTTAAAGCTTCTGGAAAGACTTGTCTTTACCCATGTGTCTCACTTCCTCAATTCCAACCCTCTCCTTGACCCTCTTCAGTCTGGCTTCCGCCCTCTCCACTCTACCAAGACTGCTCTTATCAAAGTGACTAATGACCTAATCTCCGCTAAATCCAAAGGGCACTACTCCATACTAATTCTTCTTGACCTCTCTGCTGCCTTTGACACTGTTGACCATGTTCTCCTTCTCCTCAAAACTCTTCAATCCCCCTGTTTCTGTGACACTGTCCTCTCTTGGTTTTCCTCCTATCTCTCCCAACACTCATTCGATGTCTACTCTTCTAATGATACCTTTTCCCTTTGTCCTGTCTCCTTTGGAGTCCTCCATGGCTTTGTTCTCAGTCCCCTTCTATATTCTCTTTATACTGCCTCTCTTGGCAAACTTATTACCTCCTTTGGATTCCTCTACCACCTGTACGCTGATGACAACCAGATATACCTCTCCTTCCCAGACCTCTCCCCTCCCGTCTTGCAACGTGTCACTGCTTGCCATTCTTCCATCTCTGATTGAATGTCCTCCCGCTTTTTGAAACTCAGTCTCTCTAAAACTTAACTTCTTGTCTTTCCTCCTACCAATAATGATACTTCTCTCTCACTCTCCTTTCAAGTTAGTGGTACCCACATCAGCCCATCCCTGCAAGCATGCTGTCCTGGCGCTATATTTGATTCTGGCCTCACCTTTGAGCCTCACATCCAGTCTGTTACCAAATCCTGTAGATTCCATCTTAAAAACATAGCCCGCATCTGCCCCTTTCTTATACAAGATGCTACTAAGGAGCTTGTCCATGCTCTAGTAATCTCTTGCATGGATTACTGTAACTCTCTCCTACTCTGTCTTCCCAGAAGTCATATTGCCTCACTACAGTCTGTAATGAATGCTGAAGCCAGACTGATTTTCCTCTCCTGTCGCTCCTCTCACACCCTCTCCCCTCTGTCAGTCCTTACATTGGCTTCCTGTATCGTATAGGAGTCAATTCAAAGTACTAACCCATACCTATAAAGCATTGAACAATTCTAGCCCCTCCTATATCTCTTCACTGATCCGCAGGTATGTCCCTTCTCAGTCTCTCCGCTCTGCCAGTGACCTTCTCCTGTCCGCTGCTCGCACCCGTACGGTCAACTCGCGCTTGCAGGACTTCTCGCAGGCATCTCCTTTCCTAAGGAAAAGCCTGCCTACCACCATCAGACTCTCCCCTAGTCTTTAATTGTTTAAAAAGTGCCTCAAAACACATTAGGAAAGCTTACGACCTCCCAGAGTAACCTCTACCTCACATACCTGTCCCTTGCTCTCTCCTAAAGGGCAGCACTCTACTCGCTCTACTTCACTCTCACCTTGTTTTATTGCTATCCCCTCTCTTAATGTATTTTATACTCCACTTCCTATAGACTGTAAGCTCATTTAAGCAGGGTCCTCTTCAACCTATTGTTCCTATAGGTTTTTGTAATTGTCTCATTTATTGTTAAATCTCCCCCTCTGATAATATTTTAAAGAGCTATGGAATATGCTGGTGCTATATAAATACCAGTAATAATAATAATAATAATAATAATAATAATAGTACCTTTCTTGTGGTTTGTTGGCAAATCTCAATCTTAGATGATTTGTAATAAAAATATTTTTAAAAGTCCATTCACTGTAAATTTTTCCAGCCACTTTCTATAGAATTAGAATTTGTGTGGCTGTGCTGTAAATTCTCTGGGTTGTGACCCTCCCTCTCTATCTCTCTCTCCAGTAATTTTATGGTCAATCAGGTAAGTGCACAAACTGACCTATTACGAAAAAGATTCTAATCTAAAACGGTCAGCACAGTGTTAGACGGCAGCCGTGAAAGTGACAGGGACAGGAGCGGCTCAAAATTCTTTCCATAAATCACCAGATCTCTTTACACAAACATTGAAAGCCCAAATAACTGGTCTATTTCTGCTTTCACTGCTGAGTTATTCTCGTAACAGCTTATTAACCCTTGAAGTGTTTGAGTTAGTATGTTATACCAATATAATAATGATCTGTGACTGTGCATAACAGTTATCACTTAACTCAAGCCTAGCGAATGTAAATTTAACCCTCGTTGCAATGTGGGGATTGATGCTCACTTTTATATCTTTTTTTTAATGGTAAAATCCTGCATTCTATCTCTCACCTTTAACTGTTACAGAGTAGAACACAGAGTCATCGCCAGTGTCGCAGACATACTCCCCGGAGTCCTGAGTGCTTGCACTGTCAACAATCAGCCTGCGATGCTTCCCATCACACTCAAGTCTGATTCGCGGGTTTTGGTCGACCTCCACACCGTCCCGATACCAGCGCACAGCGGCGTTCTCCCTGGACACCTCACAGCTCAGCAGGACCTGCTCCCCGCACAGAGACCTGAATTCTGCGTCATCACTTGTGTTTACAATTTTTACTGGGGGATCTAGAGAGGAGGAAACAAAGATTAAACAAGTGAGAAGAGAGGACAGTGAATTTAAGCAGAGTTCTTGTCATCTATTTTACCTTTATGTCTAAATTTGTCATCAATTATATGTACAGCCCCAAGGAAGATGCATGAAGTTTTAATAACTGCTGTACATCGAATGCCTTTTGGCCACGGCTCTTAAACCATACTGTATTGGAATTCTTTCTGTCTGACATGCCTGTTTTTACTATTATAGATTGCATGCAATTAAACTAGTGCAACGCAATTTGTCAGCACTACGCAAATAAAAAATGATAATTATGTTGTATTCGCCATATTGCAATGACCTGGAAGGAGATCGGAAGGTCCAAGATGGAACTATGAGAATATCTCCCACCATATTTTTTATAGGTCCCATTTAGACCATGCATCGATGCCCTATATGTCCTGCCTCATTGGGCAGCAGTCATTGACCACTCTTGCATGACGAGGGTCTGCAAATTACACATCAAACAGGCTCTTTAATCTGTCAGTTATTTATTAATCTGTCCTTAGCTGTCTGCCACAATCAAAACCTCTTCCAGGTTTTTCAGATCCAATAAATGTCTTCTCTGCAGAATGGCTTTTATCAGAACTAGTTGGCAAGATTAGCAAATGCCATGCGTTACTGCCTATTATAAAAGGCAAGAATGTTTCAGCGCATCACTTGTCGCATGCTGAAAGGGTTAAACCCAACAGCTTTGGAATTGTCATCTTGACTCATTCATTCTTACAGTCCCAGTTCTCAAATTGGGTTCCTTCAAGGTCAATGGAAGTCTCGAAAAGAACGTAAAAACAAACCTCTTGCGCTCTGCGCCAATCTGTTCTTTAAAGTTTATTTTGTTTGTTTATTTAGCTGTAGAGATCACACCATTACAGGGCCAGGCAGAGAAAATCGTGATTAAGTATTATACAAACGGGTATTTAACAGGCAGCTAACAGGTTTTTTTTAAAAACTTCGCAAACACTAAAACAAACAAACAAAAAATACTTACTAGGTTCATGTTTACCCCTTTTATGCGATCATCTCTCTTTTTTTTTTCTGCCTTTTTTTAAAGTAGCACCGAAGGCACCAGCACAGCTTAAATGCATTTAACGGCCTTTAGTCCGAAAATTTAACGGTAATTTTTATGCTCAATCTTTTATCGTTTTTTGCCGAAAATGTTTTGCTTTGTAATATGTCCTGGCTCCTCTGTTCCTCCCACCTCCTCCATTCCAAAATATTAATTTAGTGCTAGAATATTGATTTTTGTGGCTCTGTGCTTTTATTTCATTTTAAATTTGTGCATTGTTACTTATTTCATTTAGACGTTATAATATGTTTGTAATGTCTCTCCTTATATACTGTCCACCGACCGACTGACTCAGTTGCTATTTATACATTGTCACGGTCATGTTAGATTAGGAAATATCTGGAAATATTTTCTTCGTTACAGGAAGCCAGAAGTGTGAATGTTCTGTTAAATGTCACTAACCTGTCACCGTCACGTTGTAACAGACAGAGTCATCTCCAGAATCACAAACAAATTTGCCCGCGTCCTGTGATCCTGCATTAAGGATAATTAGTCTGCGATTCCTGCCCTCTGACTCTAGTTTTATGCTCTCACTTTCCACCACTTCCACGTTATCTCGGTACCAGCGCACCGCCGCATTCTCTCGTGACACTGCGCAGCTTAGTGTCACCGGCTCTCCACTTAGACACTTGAGCTCTGTATCGTCGCTTGTTCTTATGATTTTCACAGGGGGTTCTGTGAAAAGACAGACACGTACAGCTATAAAGTCATTTATTTAACAAAGATATCATTACAGCGGACTGGACGCAAAATATTAAATTCACTAATGGATCATAAAAAAATCTTTACAGCAAAAGTTATTGTTTTTTCGGGGGGGGTTGTAAAAAGTTTGGTAAATATAATAATATATAATCTTACAAACAATACTGGTCACTGACCTGTGACTGTCACATTGTAAAAGACAGAGTCGTCTCCGGCATCACACACATATTCTCCCGAGTCCTGCACCAGTGCCTTGCTGATCAGCAACCTGCGGTGTCTCCCGTCAGACTCTATCGTGATATTCTCACTGTTCTCCACCTCCACACCATCTCGGTACCAGCGCACAGCAGCATTCTCCCGGGACACCTCGCAACTTAAAACCACGCGTTCCCCACTCAGACACTTCCGCTCCATGCCATCGATGGTGTTTATAATTTGCACCGGAGGCTCTGGGTAGATGTAATCAGAAGTTTGGTTATAAGACGCCATTAAAATTTTGACTAATTTCTTATATGCTAGCTGGGGAGGAGGGGCCGCTTTCTTTTCAGTCAGGTTTGGGGGGGCAGGCACAAATGGATGTCCTTTCTGTGCAAGAAACACACAGATTTTAAAGGTTCCTCTATTCCTTTTGTATTGGTTTGTCTGTACTTTGTCATCTATTTTCCCGTATTGCCAATATGTTGGCACACTTTATAAATAACAGTAATAATAAAAATAATTAATATCTCCACATGGATGATCCTAATTGAAGGCATCAGTCTACCCTGACTAATGGTTTGCCAGCTCCCCCCTAATCTACCGTACAATGTCATAGTGTTATTCAAAAGTGAGTGTATAAGAACAAACAAAGGTTTCTCAGAAATACAAAGTTGCACATCAAAGCAGATTTTCTATTGAACATATATGTAACATACCAGTCATGGTTACCATGAAGCTTGCTTTGTCATTAGCGGTGTGACATGTGTACGTCCCCGTGTCTGATGAGTTGGAGGTTGAGATAAGGAGTCTTCGCATTCTGCCGTCTGACTTGATGGAGACTCGTCCTCTTGACTCCAGTTCCTGACCGTCCTTCATCCAGCGAACCTTGGTCCCTGAGCTGGGCACGTGGCAGTTAAGGCTGATCGGCTGTCCAACATCCACCGTACGACTAGGGGGTTCCCCACAGGCAGGGGCAATATTCACTCCGCGAGCTGCGAGAGAAAGATTACCAAGAACACCATGAGTTGGATGGAAAGAGCTCCAAAATCGCAACCAAAAAACCCATTTTGATGTCTTTTCCAAAAAAAAAAAAAAAAAAAGAAACCCCAGATATTCTGGGGTTTACAGTCCCTTTTGATTCATGGTAAAATCAGAGTGATTTTGGTATCAAGTTTTTTTTTTTTTTTTAACTTAATCATTTGCCTTCAGGATCAAATATTTTTTTTAGATTATCTATAATTCCAAAATGTTTGGAACCTGCAATATCCTTAGGTGGGGATTATACCACCCAACCCTCATACCACTAGAGCAAGTCCTGCTCTAGAAATTGTAAGTTCAATTCTTCCTTTCATAACTGATCCAATAATACTTACTTCACAATTGGCATATCTTTTTGTCTTTGTTTCCTATATACTGTATGGGCATTATCCATTTGGGAGGACTCCTCACATTTAGAACTACAGATATCCATAGACAGAGGTTATATCATCCACGTGAAATTCTGCAGAGCTCCATGATAGCTCTGTAAAATGTGAGTGAGTCCTCCACAAAAATATTTAACTTTTTTCCTTTTAGCGGCTGTTATTTGTCCTGATTTTTGCTTTTTTTTTTAGGCTATTCAATTGGAACATTATACAATGTACATGCATGTAGCTATCGCACTTTGAGCTTACCTTTTTGGCGTGGTGCTTCCCTGTTTCGTTTTGGTTGTATTTTAATCTACATGGTTCGGTACATCCTTGTGTGTTTCACTGCAGCCTAGACCTCCTCAATTATAGTAAGGGCCTAAGACATGTTTTCCTTATTTTCTATGTGGTCTAAAGACCTGTTTATAGCTTTGTTTTATTTCAAAAATTTTATGAACAATTTGACATAAATCAAGGGTTTTCTCAATTACAAGCGTCCATTCCCATCTTAGTCGGATTCATAATGTAGAATTTACATTCCCGTATAATCAATGTCAATTTCATTCACCCATGACCACGTGAATAGACTGAAAATCAGCGAAATAGTTTGATATTAAACCAGTTTGCCTGAAAACAGTGTGGTGTTAAACCAGAGGGCAGTCCAACTCCTTAAATTTTGATAAATAAAAACCAAACTGGAAGCCTTTCCAACAAGGAATTACACTTACAGGGATATTCACAAAAGTGAGGAATTTTTCCAAATTCAAATATTTTTCCCTTAACTTTGAAAGTCACATTAATTTCCCAACAAATCTCACTTACTAAATAACCTGTTAGAAGTCTGCAGTTAAAAAATATTTTATAAATTTGGGATAAGAGGAAGAGATTTACAGCTTGTCTTGGTTCTCTCTAATAGAAATAAATAAATGACTATTTATAGCATGCGTAAACATTTCTAAACTTATACTTCTTTATGCTACATGAGCAATAAGCGGGGCTCTTAAAAATAGATCTCCCCCATACCATGACTTCCATCTGCAGAATGATATCAGATTAACATTGCATCTTCCCAGTAAAATAAATCATTAACTGCTTTTTTACCAGACACCATCACGGTACGTGTAAAGCATTATTTAACTGGAACATGAATCTTCTACTATAACTGCATTAGCAGACCGTTTTTTTAAAGAAGTACACTTAAACATTGTTTACTTTTTATTCCTTTAATCCCTTTGATTATGTAGATATTTTTTTAGTTAACATTTTGAGAGTTATTCACAAGTGTGGATCGTGAGAAATTCACTGAGAATTTCAATTTTTAAGGAAAAACAGTCAAACTAAAAACTTAACTGATTTGGGGCAATTTTTCCAGTCTGGGGCAATCTTGGCCTAAGAGTAGCTTCTTTTCGATTTCACTTTAAATGCTGGTGGGGAGTATTCCCTAAATAGTGGATTTGTATAATTTCATTGTGGGTTTGCCAAAAAAGGCAAACCCACAAAACAAATATAAGTTCAAAGAAGTTTACTCGCTAAAGTCCACGTTCTAGAAAAGTGAGATTCAAACAGCAAAACTCCCCGATCTCCAATATTTCTCCAACTCAAGTCTAAAGTTTGTAGTTTGGATCCAGTTTGCTTTAAGAAATAGTTCTCAGTTTGTCAAGTCATTGCTCTAGTGCATAATTCCAGATGTAGATTATTTTTGTCTGCTTTTATCTCATATTGGTGACCTGTTTTATTTACACTGAGCGTCCAAACATGTCCCCATAGCCACCTGGGCGTCAGGTAACAGTTAAACTGCTTTAGTATTAAAATAAAAGCAGGATTAATCAACGTCTGGCAATCTAAGAGAACTGACATGAAAAACGTCACATTCATGGTCTACACTGGAGCTGGGAAAAAAGTTGAAGTTGCTATTTTTTTTCCCCAAGTTCAGCTGTTTTGACCTACGGGTTGTGATCCCCTTGTGAAGTCTCCTCAATTATCGAGTCAATCACCTGGGGGGTATAGGGGTAGTGGGAGTTGCAAACTACTGTTACATTTATACCAGCTGCTAACTGGGAGGTAATGTAAGATGGCATCGGGTGCTGATAAGGACTGAGACTGTGTTAGAACATTTTCTGCCATTTGGTTAGCTCGTTAGTAGTAGTTACGTGGGAGTTATATAAAATGACACACTGTATGCGGCATTCTGCTAGCAATGCATTATTTCGAGACGAGGTGACTCGGCAGTGTATGCATGGTTTATACCTCAATCTTTTCCCCCGCTTCCCTTGCCAAGAGACCATGCAACAATCTCTAATGACAGAAGAAAACTAAAGCCCATCTTGTAATAATCACAGCGTTATTTAATAAAGTAGGAATTGTCAGAAAAATTCATTTATAATTTTAAGCCAACATGAGCGATCTGAAAACACAGCTGATTTGGAGAATTTACCAGTTCAGCTAAAGGCCTAAAATGTTGTAAAATTCACTTTGAATTCACTTTCTGTCACATGCTACCACATCCTAATATATTCCTTCCCTGCTCATCTCCCACCTGTCTTTTTAATTTCTTGCTCAGTAACTCGAGCCGCTAAGCTCAGCAAAATCAGTTTGTATGAACGGCAGAGTTGCAGAATCAGATTTTTTGTTCATATAATATCACCGTCAGTTTGTCTTGATGTCATCTCTGAGATATGTGAAAGTCATAGCTCGCTGCAGCCCTCGCTGGCTGCCCTGCTTGCGCCTTCTGTTTAGGATTACATTGTAATATGATGAGAAAACTCCCACCTACAGCTGTCCAAAAATGAATGCAGGGAAGAGTTTAATTCGGTGTTCTTCCTATAGTAAGTAATGGATGCAGCGCTCATTTACAACAAGCCTAGCAGAAAAAAATGTAAAACTCTGGAAATATATATATATATATAATGTAATTGAGGGGTCTGGAGACATCATAATAAACTAGAAGACCAAGTGTGTTCTGAGTATCTCTAAACTCTAGTATGGAGTTATTTTCCATAATACATGTGCCAGCATTATATAATGTCTATATTATGTTAGTTTTCTTTGAAATTAGGGTTAGGGCTACAGCTGGGGTTTGCGTTTATTGGCGTTAAGCTTGTTTGTGTGATTTTACTGAAGTTAATAGTGAAAGAGTTCAGAATGTAAAATTTACTTAAAATGTATTTGCCTGGGTGTATTTGGTGAATACTTTCAAGAGAAGGATTGGATTCATTTCTAACAAAAATCATAAACTGTAAATATCAATATTTGAAAGCATGCCTATGCTTTTTTCAAAATAAAATATTTTTCAGAATATGAAATCATTTTAAAAGTTTATCCAAAAATATCAAATTATTTGAAAACGCTTATATAGAATATTCAACCGAGGCATATTATATAATCGCCGCGGTTTTTCTTACCCTTTACGCGGAGTTGACAAGATGATTCAGAAAGTCCAGCGTGGAACTGGATAATCCCAGAATCCTCTTGTGTTACCCCAACCATCACTAAGACGTGAGTTCTCCCAAAACTCTTCAAAACTGTCCTGGAATCCTCAAACAGAATTTCTCCATTATGAGTCCACCCGACCTGCTCCACATCGCTGTCTGTCTCAGCACAGAAAGCTGCATTACCACCTTCCACCACCTCTAAACGACGAGGCAGTCTCTTCACAATGGAACCTAAATGATAGGAAATGGAGTTAAAGAAGTGTTGATATCATAGTAACTCATGCTATAAATACAGACACACTGTGTTTGTCTTTGCATTTCATTAATTTTTATTTTCCATGAACAGGATTAGAACAAAGAAAGAATTTAAAAAATATATGGAGACAGTTTGGCTCTAAAATTTGTGAGGTTAATCATAACCAACTTGTGATGACTCTCCAGTGCCTTCTGTTGGTGAAACATTTCATGGTGATCCGAATGTTAAAATAAGACTAGTGAATAGTTATTTAAAGGGACACTATGGTCACCAAAACAACTTTAGCTTAATGAAGCAGTTTTGGTGTATAGATCAACCCCCTGAAGTCTCACTGCTCAATTATCTGCAATCTAGAAGTTAAATTACTTTATTTATACAGCCCTAGCAGCACCTCCCTTGGCTGTGAGTCTCAAACTCTTTTAAACTCCCTTCATTGCGCAATCTGTTTAATTAATAATTCCTTTTCTCCTGCTCTGTTATACCCTGCAGTGTGTGACAAAGTTCAATTTACAGATCAGGAGATAAAAACTTCCAAAGCAAGTTAACATCTGATTGAAAAGGAAATCATTTTTTTTCATACAGGCTTTGTGAGTCACAGCCAGTGGAGATATTTCTAAGGCTTCACAGACAGAAACAAACGTGATTTCATTGCTAAATGGCAGAGAATTGAGCAGTGAGGGTGCAGGGCATGATCTATACACCAAAACTGCTTCATTAAGCTAAAGTGGTTTTGATGCCTATAGTGTCCCTTTAAAGTCTGATACACCCAGACATTTTTTAAGCGCAGAACATGCAGGGTGCAGAATTACAAATACAAATACTGAAGACATTGGTATTGTGTTTTTAGAATTTGATGTTTGTCCTCCAAATTTTTCTACTCTTTATTCACTGATTATATGGTCACAGTATCGTTGGTTGCATTTATATATTTTTACTACCTGTCCCTTTTTGTATTTATTTTCTTACATTGTTATGTACATGTTAACAGTGGCCGATACGCCATTATCAATCTGTACTTAGTCAAGTCGAAGTGGCCACAACCCCTTCAAATACAATTTATTGACCCATTTGTTTTATCAAAATCAACAACAACAAAAAACTTCATCAACGACGGGCAACACTTGTCAAAGAAAATTAACAAATACCCCAAAACTCATTAAACCCAACAATAAACTGGGGTTTAGAAACCATTAACAAACACAAATGAGTCTGACATTGAAACTTTTACTTTCGAGTGTTCTGCCTTTATATTACATATTGTGCAAATTAACAATGAATTCACCACAATTAACTGTTCGTTGAATAAAGCCACAAACTTCTTATAGAAGCATTTTATTATCACAATATCACAATACGTTAGTGACCCTCCGGTAGGGTTTTCACATCTACTATAGAGGAATTATAGATTTTTATACAAAGCCATTTGTAAACTCATCACAAACAGGAACATACTGTCACCTCAACTATTCAGCCCATATAACGTTAATCCTGAACATTAGCAGGATTAGTCACTAAGTGAGAATTTAAAGTGAATTTAACAATTAAGGCCCAAGCAGCTGAAATGGAAGTCAGCTTCATATCCAGTATAGCTACTCTGGCCTTAAATTTGAAATTCATGTGGAATTCTGTTTAAATTCTCCTTTTTAGCAAATACTCTTGTGAGTAGAAAGCATGTTAAAAAATCCTGTTATTTCTATAAAAGCATGTGCGTGCGTGCCTGTGTGATTGCATGGGTCTGTGCGTGCCTGTGTCATTGCATGGGTCTCTATGTGCTTGTGTGAGTGCATGGGTCTGTGTGTGCCTGCGTGATTGCATGCGCGTGCGTGCCTGTGTGATTGCATGGGTCTGTGCGTGCATGTGTGAGTGCATGGGTCTGTGTGTGCCTGTGTGATTGCATGGGTCTGTGCGTGCATGTGTGAGTGCATGGGTCTGTGTGTGCCTGTGTGATTGCATGCGCGTGCGTGCCTGTGTGCTTGCATGGGTCTGTGCGTGCCTGTGTGATTGCATACGCGTGCGTGCCTGTGTGATTGCATGGGTCTGTGCATGCCTGACAAAGAGAGAGAAAGAGGTTGAAATTGAAAACCAGTTAACTTGTGGAGGAATTTATGAACACTGTGTCAGGTCCACATATAGATAAGTTGTCTATGGGGTTTTTTTTTTTGGTGACATTTTTGTTCCAGCGAATGTCGCCCTTGGGTGAAATATAACATGCCACTTAGACAATCTGGTAAAGTTTTTGTTAAGGAATCTGTCAGTAACGTCTACCATTTACAGGTCGACAAACACTAAAGTTCAAAACTAAGGAAATGCACTTTAATAGATGCAGGATCCAACTGACATAGTAAGTCCAGCCAAAAACAAAGGATGAGACTGATAAACCTGTTGTTAATTTAAAATTAAAGCACAAGGTACAAAACAAATTGGATCAATCAGCACAGAAAACAATGGAATCAACCAGAATATTCTACTGCCTCCACTTTTGAATATGTGATTTTTATTAATATCTCCCAAAGCGTAGATTGATAGCTTATCACACAGAGTTTAGTGCATTGGAGGCAAGGTATATTTCAGGTATTTACCTCTGACAGCTACCTCCGCAATGCTCTGGGCCCCTCGCTGAGTTTGACATACATACACTCCATCATCATCTGTTCTGGCCCCCCGGATGATGAGTCGTCGCAATGGACCATTTTCTTCCATGTGGTGCCTCTTCCCTGGGTGTAACCGCTGATCTTCCAGAAACCAGGACGTTCGAGACCCATCCGGAACCGAACACTCCAATATGGCGTCCTGCCCCTCTCGCACTGCAATATCTCTCAGAGGTGCTGGGAATCGTTCACCTACCTCTGGAGAAAGAATGCATCAGAAGAGAACTCATCAACAAAGAACAGTCAGCAGTCATCTGATAAAATGTATTAAAGTAGTAACAAGTAGAAACAAAAATGAATTAAAGCGGCACTGTCATGCCGAACTTACCTTTCCCCAATCGATTCCTCTTCTCTTCCTCTGTCAGGATCTGTTCTTCATTTCTTCCTGTCTGCTCTAGTTTTCTTTAAAACATAAGACAAAGTAGGGACTACATGTCTTATGGAGGTTTCCTACGCCTGACCATATCTGACCAGCGAAGAAGCAAAGTGTGCTCCGTTTCGTGTGGTCAGAGACATTTTCCCACAATTCTTACCTTTCCCCTGTGATCCTGTGATGCTTCCTGTCAGTATTCCCGAATCACTTGTCACTTAGACAGAATGCTGGCAAAAACTACCGAATTTCGTCCTAACAGAATGAGAACAGTTTCTCCATCATGTTAGGACAAAATTCGGGACTTTGTTCGAATCGGAATTTCATTTGAATGAATGAAATTCTGATCCGATTCGTGCCGCGTGCCGCATGATTCCCACGGTATTAGGGAGTTATCTACCAAAAGCCTGAAAGACCTAAATTGGTCTTTCAGCTAAATTTACTAATACTAAGTAAAGATTACTTAGTATTAGTAAATTCTGCCCCTACTTGCTATATTGCGGCTGCTCACTGTTGTAAAAAAAGAAAACAAAAAAACCCTGGTGTTCCCCCCCTAGCCCCCACCCATGAGCGGCGGGTGGGGGCCCTAAATTAAAATAAGGGGGGGACCTATTGTCCTCCACCCCGGCCCCCACCCATGAGCAGCGGGCTGGGGCCCCTAACTTACAATAAGGGGGGAACCAATTATCCTCCTTCCCCTGGCCCTCACCCATGGGTGGTGGGTGGGAGCTAAATGTAACCACCCCCCACAGGTGACAAGGGGTCGTCAAGCCCCTAGTCACCACCCTCACTGAATTTTTTTTATTAAATTCCTACCTACCCCCCCTCACTCTTTATTTTAACAATAAAACTAAATACCTGAAATAAAACAAACTTACAATTTGCTGTCTTCTTTTTTCTAAAAAACTAATTTTTTCAGCCCCAAAAAAGGCCAAAATAAAAATCCATAATACCTGTTGAACTTTAAAATTACAATTAAAATTTAAAGCAACCAATCAGAGGGTAACGAGTCATATGACACAGCATGGGAAAATTCCAAAGAACTTTCCCACGTTGTGTAAAATGACACAGGCTGCTCACTGTTTAGTAGACATGCCCGTACTTGCAGCATAGCGAGTAGGGGCATTCGGGAGATTTTAATCTCCCTTATGCTATTATGGGGGTCATATTGACCCCCATAGAGTGAGGGAGGACATAGGGGGCTTAGGAAGTGGCACTGAGCACTGCTCCCTGACGCTTCTATTTTTACATTTTACAAGGAGGGAGCTACCGGCACGGTAATGGTAATGGTAATAAACCAAACGAACGAACAAAGAGGTCTTTGTTCATTCATCTGAAATTTCTATTCATTCCTTTGTCTTTCTGACAAATGAATAGATGAAATTACTGTTCACATGCCCAAGTGTTTAACTGGGCATGTATGGGAATCTCACAGTCTGTCTAGTGTGGGCAGAGGACGTGTCCCACAGGGACTTTATCTACCCACACAAATATGGCGGCGCCCAGAACCTAGGTCCGGGCAGAAAATAAAGATTTAAAAATAGGTAATGGGGAGCTTAGGGGCATTTGGGGTTAACAAGGGGGACAATACAATTTAGTGGAGTTGGGAGGGGTGTTAAAAAAAACGTGATTCGGCCATGACAGTGCCGCTTTAAGTTCAGTTTTTCACACAAATTGACTGATGCTGTTGATCCAGAAGGAAATACAGAGCTTATATGAACACAATAGTTGTTCTGGGTGCAGTTTCCCTTTCGTTTTAACCCAGTAATGAAAAATATTACACATTTTTAGAAACTACAATGTTGACATTGCAGCGTTAAATCCACTACATTGAATTAGACCATTGTGGAGGAATCCATGACCCGCAAGAGGCAGGGAGGTGAGCACCACCGAAAGTGTCTCGGCGTTGGAAAAGGTAATTTAAAACCTTTATGTCATTCATTTTTATGAAAATTGGGGAGGTGGGCTGGGGGGGAAGGGTATTTAAATAGAAATTAATTGTTGTATTCCTAACACTATAGTGTTCCTTTAATGAGGCAAATGTTTATAAACATATAGTAACATCTAAGGTTTGTATCTGTTCACATACATGAACAGCTGTATCCAGGTGTCTGTGTTGCATGATGGAAGTTGGGTATAATATTTTTGAAAACTTTTTATAAGTGGTGCAAACATTTTAAAGGGGTTGGGTCACCAATGCAATGTGGCTGCTGGTTACATTGGTTTCCATGGTGACTGCCCCACGTTTGTTACTATAGACTCCTTTTCAGAACACTTTTAATACATAACTCCCGCTGAGTTCTTTCTCACTGCTTGCTCTTAGCCCGGCAATAAGTGAACATTCTTGGAGAATGAAGGGGCAAGTCACACAATATCCATTACATGTGCATTGCCTTCATCTACAGCCAGCGCTGATTTGCCACTTTGCTGGCTGTCTCTCATCGCTAACAAACCTAACAGGGCTTAACAGACAAACCGAGAAAAACAAAAAAAACGTGGAATGTACTTGAAGCTAAAGACAATTTAAACGTTGAAATCAAATGCAAGAGATATGAAGCTTGGCCCAGTGCAGACTGGAAATTAAATAATCACAGTACTAAAATATCTTATCGTAAAAGACTATTGTCTGCCTATAATGAGGGGATTGACCAATTATTTGTGAAAAAAAAAAACCATTTAAATCAGTTATACTGAGTTATACCTTTGTTTCATTCATAAAATACAGAATGTTACTAAAAGTGTAGTAGATACCTGGGAAGACGTAACGGTATGTACCTCTGTATGCACTGCTTTGCCGTGAATTGATGACTCGGGGTATAAAAACCCACAAGTGGAACTACCTTAATTGCCAAAATGTACCTAAGTAAGAAATTTAATGCATGGATTTAAATTATAAAGATTAATATGACATATGATTCCATTTTAATAATATAACCCTTACCACTATATACCTCTAATAAGGTCTCAGACCAATCGCTACGCCTCAGCAACAGTCTGATAGAAGAACACACTATGTTGGTTGGGCCCTCAAGGTTCTATATGGGAAAGGATGATGCACAAAGCACTGTGGACGTGGAAGGATAGGATTTACTACAGGATGGACTGTTACTCCTATACAGGGTGCTACATACCATTTGAGGTCCTCATCAGTAACATATTCCATCAAAAAGCTTTTTTTATACTAAATTCTAGGATCACATATGTTTAACAGTTTACCTTTTTCTACAAATTTCTGATTATTTTCTATCATGAAATATCTTAATAGTCTATTTGTTCCACCAAGGACATGTTTGACATACCTCTCACGTGTAACATGACAGCACTCAGTGTGTTCCCAGCTGTGTTGGAGGCACCACATACATACAAGCCACGGTCCTGCTGTCTGCAGAACAGCACCTTCAGGATGAAGTGGCCTTCACGATCCTCATAAATCAATGTTCTGCGCCCTGGACTTACTGCACGATTATCTTTGCGCCAAATAATTTCTGGACGGGGTTTACCAGTCACCAAGCATCGAAGTTTGGCATGTTTTCCCTCATTGACTGTGAAGACTTTAACCTGAGGTGGGGGATCCCCTAGAATAGGCTCTTGACCTTGGCGTGTGGCTGGATCTACTAGCAGGACAGCAGCAGCCAAACATTGGCCTACTATGTTATTTGCCCGGCATACATATACCCCAGCATCAGGGGCATGAACATGGGAAATGTATAAAGTGTGACCGCCAGGAGACAAACGATAATGAGATCCGTCGCAAAGGTCCTTCACGCTTACTCCATCTTTCTCCCATTGAACTATTGGCTCCGGTTTCCCCGAAAGCCTACAAGAAAGCTCTGCACTTTGACCCCGACATAGTCTTTGGGACGTTGGGACAAGTAGGAAGTGAGGAGGGAAGTCAGGAATCTCTGAATAGTCCGTTTTAGAAGATAGCAAGTAATTCCCATCTGAGCTAAGTTCTTGGGAGTTGGAAGAGTTAACGGAATTAGAGCTTGGAGTAACATTGGATATTGCAGCGCTTGGCCCACTTTTTAAGGTCAAAGGTAGCTCAGATGGCAGCATATCTGATGGCAACTCAGGTGGTAATGTGCAAGGTTCGTTAACCTCATTAAAGTTGTGCGTAACTGTGAGTTTAGCTCCAGCGTAGCCTTCGCCAGACCAGTTACTGGCTCGGCACATATAATGTCCTGAGTCCTCCAATCTCAGGTCACCAATCACCAGCTGATACCATTGCCCATCTTGTTGAACATTACATCTACCTCCCAGTTCTAATCGAATATTTCCCACACGCTCCCAGAGTACACAAGGTGGAGGATCCCCACTAATGCAGCATCTCATGACAGCTTGAGAGCCAATGGGCGCAGTCACAGAGCGAGGGAAAGACAGGAAACGTGGCGCTCCGTTTGGCATTTCAAGAGCCAGATGAGAATTGGGTGGAGGAAGGGATAGAGCCGCCATTTACCTGCCAGAGAAAAGAGGAGAAATTTAAGGGAGGTTAGACTTTTCAGTGTTTTGCAATGTAATTTGTCAGCCAAACTGTTCATAGAAGCGTGGTGAGAGTCAAAATAACTGGACAGAAAACATTTAGGCCTAAAATGTTAAATTCACTTTGAATTCCCAAAAAATCACCCTTACGTGAATACCCTATTAGCATTTAGTTTTAGCACCTGGAGAGCCCTCTGGAACTCAGTGAGTTAAATTAAATGATCAATTATTGAGAATATTATATGTTACACCAAAAATACTTCAAATCAGGTAATTTTTTTTTTGCCTAAAACTTTTAATTCCATATTCAGTTTTCAGTGATTTATGGGATAAAATTTATAGTTTTGCCCAACATTACTCACACAATACTCAGCAGTCTCAGGCTACAGGTTAAACTTAGACAAGACAGAAGTGCTGCCGGTTCAGATCCCTGCAGAGACACTGACAACTCTCCAAGCACACTACCCATTCCACTTTAACTCCTCACACATTCACTATCTAGGAATAAACCTACCGGCAGATGTAACTTAAACCTATGCCCTGAACTACACCCACCGCTTACAGCAGGCGAAGACAGAAATCACATCATGGGAAGGTCTTTCCATATCATGGCTGGGTAGGCTAGCCTTGATAAAAATGAACATACTCCCCAGGTTCCTCTACTTATTTCTGACGCTACCTATCCCTCTATTCACAAAAGACTTCAAAATTCTACTAACCCACATGGACCAAATTATATGAGCGCATAAAAGAGCCAGGATAGGAAGGGCCATAATGTATCTCCCTACAAGGGCAGGAGGCCTGGGCTTACCAAACATGCTACAATATTTTCATGCAGCACAACTAGCCCAAATACAAACCTTACATGCTCCAGCAGGACTCAAGTGATGGGTAGACTTGGAACACGACCTGTTAGGTAGGGACTTCCCCTCCCTATATATCTGGATGCCGAAACAAGCTAGGCCTAGACTCCCACAGACAACCCCAGCCCTCACAACTTCGATTGCAATCTGGAACAAACTTGCACTCAAACACGCACTCACAACGAACCCATCCCCCCATGCCCATGGGAAAGCATTGGATTGGATAAAATCTGCACGGGGGCAGGGCTAAATGACGTTTTGGCCAATCAGGACCTCCTGATAGAGATGCATTGAATGAATGCATCTCTATGAGGAAAATGCAGAGTGTAGGGACGCTGAACGGCAGGGCTGCTTACTGTGCAGCCCTGAGCCAGGAAGCCCCTCCAGTGGCTATCTAAGGAGTGGCCACTTGGAGGTGTCCCTAGGGGCAATGTAAACACTGCCTTTTCTCTGAAAAGGCAGTGTTTACATGAAAATGCCTGAAGGGAACTATTATACTCACCAGAACAGATACATTCAACTGTAGTTGTTCTGGTGACTATAGTGTCCCTTTAATAATCTCTGTTTATCCCACTTTATGTGATAACTTGTTACCTTTCTCTTGTTATGGTGCACACACACTAAATGTATGTACTGACCTTAAAAACTCAAAAATAAAGAATTTAAAAAAAAAAATTATAGTTTTGCTTCTAGCAATTTTATGGGATTTAATCCCTAAATGCTAAATTATAGTGAAATGAAAACTGAATTGCATAATTTAGGCAAAAATTTCTGATTTGGAAAAAAAAAATCTCTAATCACAATTTGGCTATTTCAGACTAAATTTTGACATTCATTTTTTTTAGTTCAGTATAGTTAGACTTAATTCCATGTTATTGCGGAACTTCAATTGCCTTGACCTTGGTAAACCACCATAGTGAGATACTGTGTGATAGTATCCCCCATTTAATCTGAGAGCAAAGTGTGTTCCATCAGCAGGGGATTTAAAAACTGCAGAATTCTTACTATTGTCTGCAAATTGCTCTTATCGCTGCCTAATTTTTTGAACAATTCGAGATTGGCTAGTCATTGATTTGAATATGGCTGGTGATCGCAAATGCAGCTACAGGTAATGTGTATTTCTGATAAAAAAAATGTTTTTTAATTATGGAATGTAATTATAGGAATCGTTGATACATTAAAAGCAACCAGTAGTTGCTATCATCACTTGATCTTTTAGTAACAGGCAGATTCTGAGATCGAAGGGATAGATCCAGACAGGATGGAGTGTGAATAGTTTGGAATTCAAAGTAAAATTAAACCAAATTTAGAATTTTAGCCAAACTCAATAAAAACACGACTGGCCTCTAGAATGTTTTCCATTTAGATCATTTTTGCATAAAATTGTAAATTCCCTTTGAATATCAAACAATTGACAATTTAGTGAACAACCCTGTCTGAGTTTTTTTTTACTAAAATCTGATAAAAGTTTTTTTTTAAAAATCCAGTTTGCAAAATTGTGCTTAAAATATCCAATCTGGGATTCTAGCTATGATGTTTTTTTCTGTCAGCTACTGTAATCTACCTTTTGTAATTCCCATTTTAATTTTCTGCAGTTTAATAAATAATCCTGCCAGTTTTTGACATTCAATGGGCAGGTGTTCAGATTCTCAGAGCGAAAAGGCAGATTCTCAGGGTAAATAGGCAGAATCTCAGTGTGCCCAATTTAGTGGGCAGATTCTCTGGGTAAATTAACAGATTCTCTGGGTCTCAAGATAAGCAGATAGAACCTCAGGGTGTGAATGGACAGAACCTCAGTGTGTGAATGGAAAGAATCTCAACGTGTGAATGACAGAATCTCAGTTAGAAATAGAAAAAATCTTAATGTGTGAATGGACAGAATCTCTGTGTGTGAATGGACAGAATCTCAGTGTGTGAATGTAAAGAATCTCAATGTGTGAATGACAGAATCTCATTTAGAAATAGAAATAATTGAAATGTGTGAATGGTCAGAATCTCGGTGTGTGAATGGACAGAATCTCAGTGTGTGAATGTAAAGAATCGCAATGTGTGAATGACAGAATCTCATTTAGAAATAGAAATAATTGAAATGTGTGAATGGTCAGAATCTAGGTGTGTGAATGGACAAAATCTCAATGTGTGAACAGACAGAATCTCGGTGTGTGAATGGACAAAATCTCAAAGTGTGAACAGACAGAATTTCGGTGTGTGAATGGAAAGAATCAAAATGTGTGAATGGACAGTATCTCAGTGTGTGAATGGACAGAATCTCTTTGTGTGAATGGACGGAATCTCAGTGTGTGAATGGACGGAATCTCAGTGTGTGAATGGACAGAATCTCTTTGTGTGAATGGACGGAATCTCAGTGTGTGAATGGACAGAATCTCTTTGTGTGAATGGACAGAATCTCTTTGTGTGAATGGGAAAAATCTTAATGTGTGAATGGACAGTAGGCAGATTCTCAGGGTGAATAGGCAGAATGTATGTGTGTCCCACTTATAGAGAAGATTCTTAGAACTAACTATATTACCTGCCTTAACAATTCTAACTTTTCTAACTTTCAAAAAAGTGAAGAAAAGACATAAATCATGGTTGTTTACTAGAATGAGAAGTATTATAAATTCCCAATGCATTCACAGACCAGTGTAAAAAATAGGTGACCCGGAAACATGGCTGACTATCAGAACTTTTCCAATTCAGCTACTTTGGCAATAATTCTGAAATTCACTTCAAATTAACTTTGAATTCATGACAATTCTTAATTTAGTCAATATGAATATTATTATTCAGTTTTTTTTAAAAAGGTTAAAATACCAAAAACCTCTCTTTAGGGCAGGAAATATAGTCAGTTCTAAGAATGGATGCCAAATTTAGGAGTAAGTTGAAAAGACAGATCAAATGATTTGACTATTGGCAACAGATGCAGATAACAGGTGTGTTTGAACGTCCTGCTTGTTACTGTTTCTAAATAAACAAACATTAGGAGTTCTATGTTCTCGGTTTCATTTCCAAATATTGACATTCTGATCCTTTTTAAGGTGGTAATATGAATTTACACATATCCTGCACTCTTTATCATGAACTATATTATTATTTAGCATTGCCAGTGAAATTGCTAAATTCAGGATAAAACTGTCCAGCCAGGACTTTTCCAAATCAGCAATTCTTTGCCTAAAATGTCTAATTCATTTGGTTTTACATTCAATACATTTCAGTGTATAGTAAATAAACCCAATTAACTTTAAAATACCCCATTATCTAGACACAGGCAGCAGACATATTGTTACTGTAATATATAAAAACATGTTCCCACCTTATAATTAAATAAACTTGTTATCAGAGAACTAACTGATTTACATTTAATTGTTAGCCGATAAATATATCTATTCGCTAATCGATAGTAAATAGCTGGCAAACCACTTGGTAAATTCAGGATTTAAAACACAAAAACAAAACAGGAATATTTTGGCCTAATTGTTACTACTCGGCCGTCGCGTGACCAACATTTAATTTACTGAATTCAGTTGTTAAACGCACAAATACATTCCTGGACTTTCAACTCTTCTTGAGCTGGTGGGCAATATAAAGAGACAGTTGTCCTGTTGTATGTAGAATTCTAGTGCTGGAGCAGGGAACACAATTCATCAATCAGAGCATTTCCTTTGGGATCTCTCTCTTTGATTGATGCCCCATTTTTTTAAGCATACAAGTGCTACATATAGCAGGGCAGAACTTTTCATTCTACGCCCTAGAATGTGTTGTAGTTACATGTAATTACATCCAGGAAGTCATTGTATATGTTACTGAACAGACTCCCAGGAGTTCTCATAGGGCATCGATTTCTTACCTTGCCCTGAGGTCTAGCCGTTACCTGTGTTCGTCAGGTTGCTCCAGGGCTAAAGATTGGGTGCTGTCTCTCCCAGGGCCAAGGCTCCAGCAGAGCCCTCTAGAGCAGGCAGCCGGAGGTCGTAGTGAGCCTCTCTTGTGAGTTTGTGCTGCTGTGCTGTCTGTAGAGGTGCAGGCCCCTCCTCACTAAGAAACAATCCTAATTTTAGTGTAAAGATAAAATGTCCTAGCAGCTGATCCTGTCATAACCCCTCGAAACACAGCGAAAGGAGCGGGCAGTCCGAGAGAGAGGCAGGAATAAAGAGCAATGTAGAGACAGCTGGAGGTGGAGGGACCTAAGCAGTTATGGCTCTTGGCTGTATCTGTTACACGCCTTGGAGAGAGGGGCAGGCATTGACGTGATTGATTGGTACAGATAAATATGTTTAGGTGAGTGACAAGGACTTTCTTTTTGGGGGTGTAAGATAACGTAACGGTTTTGTGCTACGGCCATGTAGTAGATGAATTTGAGTAATGCATTCCTGTCCTATCACTTCCGACAAAATCACTATACACCAGTGGTCTGCAATCCATCACGCCAACTCCCATGGGCAGTCTGACAAAGAGCAGCGTCTCTGTGCGAACAGGGCAGACCACGACACAAAAAGATTTCTGGCATTTGGCATGAGCCTGTCGCAGCATGCTACCCAGCGCAAGCCGCATACTATTCCTTGCTAACAGATTATACCCGATCTGCTCCTGGCCCCTTCTGGCATATTACCACCATGTCCTCACTCGTATCAGTAGCACGTATCATTTAACTCATACAGCAGACCCTGGCCACAAGTCACCTCGGGTAGATTCCAAAACATGAATTCATAAAAATATTTATTACTATTTTTACATAGCACTTACCCCAAAGAGGCTCCTACAATGCTGGTGTATTTAATGATGCGAAGCTTATTAACTGGTCCAATGATTCATTCTAATGGGTGTCATTCATTCTGGGGACTTCAAAAAAATTAAAGATTAAGCTGACACTACTGGGAATAGAACCTACGGCGTAGAAGTTTGAATAGATACTATTGTGAGCACACTAACTTAGGACAGAACCTCTCAAAGATGTTTGATCATATACAGCAGTCCGTGCCAGCAATCAGCAAGATAATTATCTAAATGTAATGGAAAATGTCACTTTTTTGGCATTGCGGTAGATATTTTTTCAGGTAGTAACACTTTTATGCATTCATGCAGACAATGACAGAGTTACTCACTAAAGTGGGATTTGATGGGAATTCACAGCGAATTCAAGGTTCATTTTAAATATTTTCATAGAATTGTCAAACTGGAAACATAGCGGACCATGAGAATTTTTCAGATTCTGGTTATTGTGGCCTAAAATTGGAAATTCCTTTGAAATTTGTGGCAGTTCAGACTTTACTGAATAACCCTGAAACCGCAACTGCAATCTACTCTCTGAAAAAAAACACTTTCAGAATTTTGTTTTGGAAGAGACATTCTGACATATTTGCTCAAGACTCAGTTTTAAAACCGCCATCTTCCCCCCGACCCAGAGAAACGTTAATCCCTGTTATTATGGCTGCCCTCCACACAATTGCAAGTGACACTTGGTCTGCGTCTTGACATAGCAGGACTGAGCTTTTTAAGAGAATAATTAGTTCTCTCCCAGTGATAATTACCTAGTGGTGCCAAACCACTTCTGATATCACATCATTCCTAAGATGGCTGTAGCGCTGTACAATTTTTGTTCTGTCAGAGTGTTGCTGTTAGTGCAACAGCATCTGCAGTCTTGTTCTGTCTCTTAGCTGGGTGTCTCTTTCTACATGTGATGTCTCTTTTTATCTTCTGTGCAGGTGACATTCTCTGCTGTCCCTGGATTTCTCCAGATTTTGCACATGTGCTCACAGTAGGGTACCCTTGGTGACAATCTCAGCAGGGGGGAAAGATGCCTGTCCCCTACCATAGCTCAAGATAAACCACTAGATATCAGGGGAGGGGGTTCTGGATTCCTGCAGCTGCCAGTCCCAAAAATACCAGCGTGATGACACAGGGCAGTCTAGCTATTCAGATCCTCAGGTCTATGTATAGAATCCCAGGCGACTCGTGTAAAAACCAAATTATCACAGAAACCTTCTCAGTCTTTCTGCAGTTACACAAAAGGCAATTACAAAAACAGCCCCAGACCCTCCCCAGTATGAAGCATTCACACAGCGCAGAGCTGATTCTATCTGTTCAGCTCATGGAGGAATCTTCCAGGAATCCATTTATCCCAAGGAGAGAACATGTAACTAGCACATTCAATTGAATCCTTTGCCTATAAATATTCCGCAGGACCCCCTGCGGGGATGGGATACTGATCTCATGGAAAGTCCCTCTATAGATTTCTCAGAAATAGAGCTGCCATAAGGAATCAAGGTTGTTGGTTTACAAATATCAGATCTGTATCTTGCAATTTGTTTGGGTTTAACCCCAAAAAGGGGAACTGTCACTTTCTGCAATTTATAACATTACGTTGATTTAATATCACATTTCCTTATATTGAACAAACATGTATTTGGGAGTTGTAAATAATAGAATTAAATGCAGAAATCCACGTCTTTAGCGTACACCTGGGTGCCTCCATCTTAGCTCCCTGTCAATCATTGTTATAAGCTCTGTCCGTAGCACCTGGGAGTCAGCACAGAGAGAGCAGACAGGGAAGGGGAGAATTGAAACAATGATTCTATTTCTCCTCCTCGTTTGCAATGTGTGCCTTAAAGCAGAAACGGCAAAGTGAGTATTTTACAAAAATAAAATCTTTATGAAATTCTCATACTGACTGTGTTGGAGTTTCACTGAAATTGCAACCCAGTCAAGGCATATACTGAGACAAAGTAAGGACTACTTTGTCTAAGTATTTTTCCTACGCCTGACACTTCTACACACTGGTCTAGAAGTGTCACTCTCCCCAGCCATCACCAGTGACAGAGATATTAGCGGGATCCTCCATAGACCTCGGTGCTGTACTCTGAAGTGCCAGGAGCAGGAAAGGATTGGCCGGAAGAAGATGGCGGTGCCCCCGAGGGACAGGTTTAGGTAACTAAATCTCACCTTTCTCTGCCACCCCTCCTCCCCCTCCAACCAACCAACCATCAGCGGCGATGTCATCGTCTGGGCTCTTTGCAAATTATGACAGTGCTGCTTCAACTGCAAAATCTTTAACAGATTACTTTAAGCACCATGACAACGTCATTAATTTGAAGTGGTTTTGGTGCCCAGAGTGTGTATGTGTTTTAAATGCTGCTAATACAGAGAATATGTCAGAACTTGGGCACATTTCTGTGTTCCTTAGTCAAGGTCAGTGGTTTCACATCTTCGTCCCTGGCATGAGGTCACAACTGATATGGTAAACCTCAGAAAGAGACTGGGGATGCGGCATTGACCGCAGTACCTGCAAACACCATGAGCTTTGTTCTGTGCGGTACAGCTAGAGACCTGATAACGGTATAAACCACAACGCTAATCAGAAAACCCACTCTGATTCACATTCAATGAATGAGAGCTGCTGTGATCTAATACAAACACACTCTGTTTAAAGTGGACTAATCATCTAAAGGCATGCTGTCATTTTGGCTTGACATAAAAAAGCTTACAAAAAAAACAAACAGCATGGTTACATTGCGACCCCCACTGTGGGTCTACGGCCACTTGCCCCAGCTTAAGAGTTTTCTGATTATTCCAAGTAGCCTGAGATAGTGCAGGACCTGGGACTGGCATCCCATGTAGAGAGTGTAAAATCCCCCTTATCGAAAGTACGTTAACCTTTGAATGTCAGGATGAGATTAACCGAGAACCACAGGACGAATTAACATGTATCATTATACTAGGCCACGTGTTTTCTAAACATTGAAAAACTACAAAACAAATCACTCTTTTTAATAAAAATAAATATTGAATTTCGGAGCTGAACGCCTATGGATCTTAGATAACACAGAGACATGCTAGACATAGGTCAGTCGTTTTACGCATAATTGATAAGAAAACATAATTTATTCATGTATCACACCCAATGCCCCATGGGTATCACTGATATTGATTCATTAATTAGTGTCACACGTGAATTTTACCGCTGGGCAGCACATGTAGACAGCTTGTGGCAGAAAACGTTCAGAGATGGCCTGGTTAAGGCATTTATAATGTTCCACACACTGACAGCAATCATAAGAACTGCAAATATGAATTCATCTTTACTGAGAGCCTTATTAAAGGGTTACTCCAACTACAAAACCGTGTTTTAAGAACCCCCACACACACATAAACAAAATAATAATAATAAATGATAAAACGTATCTAACTTTGCAGCACCCAAGGCCAACTTCTCCCTTAGCCCGATCTTCTTTCAGAGGGGGATGGAAGTGACAGGGGCAACCTGGGTGGTGGTAGTGGTAGATACAACTGGGTAATCCCTAAATCCTGGATTTGTAGGGATGCTTTGAGGACTGGTGGGGGAGACACTGGGTTAATCTGATCCAATTCTGGAGGGAGCATCCCAAGCTGATAGGGCCAATAGCAGCTACTTACTTTTTGTTATGGGTGTTGAACTGAGCTTATGGCTTGTAGAGGATGATGGGAGTCACAGTACAATATCATTGGAGGCCCTGGAGGATGGCACAGGTTTACAACCCTAAATTATGCCTTGCAGCAGGAAACATGTAACATCTAGCCCAGTTCTGTTTGACACCAGGGTCGGGTTTGGAAATAACTGTATTTCTCTCCAGAGTTGAAATAGAGGCAAAGGTTTATATAACCATTTCGACCTCTGTCCCTTAAAACAAGTTCTTTCACGGCCAGAGTGAGCTGCATATTCCAGCAGCAAAGGGTTAATCATAACGCGCAGTGCGTGAGATGTCTTTAGACCAAGGGTAACAAACAGAGCAGAATTTAGACTCCAAGGGAGCTCGAGAAAAATGGTGCAATGGGATAGCCATGAATCAAGGTTAAATGCTCACTCATTGCTTCATTGTTTCTTAATTCTTTCTTTCTTTTTTTAAAGCATTTACCAACACGTTTAAATGTTATAAAATATAATGTATTTTGGAGGAAGCAGCAAGGAGATACAGAATAATAATACATTGATTTGAGATCAGAAGTGTATCCTGAGTGGGTGCTCTCTGTTTTCAGACAGTAACAATACAATTGACTTTCTGGAGAAGTAAGAAAATAAGTAGATTTCATGAATCCATACCTATCAGAAAGGAGGCACTCACCTGAACAAAAAAAATTTTCTGTTTCGAAATAAGTTTACAGTTTATGCAATCACTTTTCTTAAAACAATTTAACTGAATTTAACAATTCACCAACATTGCATATCCTGTATATACATATGGCATTAAGGAACAATACCAGCATCATAACAACTACAGCACAATGTAAGTAGTCAAACTATTTTAGAACAGTTTGACTTCTTACCTGGGATCAACTGGGTGGCGGTCCCTGCCTCCACTACATCTGGATGCTTTCTGTCTAAGTGGTGCTGTCAGCCAAGGAGCTGGCCCTGTACTGTAGAGCTTAGGTCCGTAGAGCTAACAGAAGCCCCTACTTAATTTACTCTATTCAATATATATCACTAAATGAAAGCCTAGCTGGACATGATCCCTATTTTTGATGAATTTTATAGAAAACACATTGTAAAAAAAAACAAAAAAAAGCATTAAATATAACAATCAAAATATAGAAAAAAACTAACACGCGAACTTCCTCTGTTGGTGGCAATACTCCAGGATTTGCTCTTTCTCACACCAAACCAGGATTAGGTTAAACACTTTCAACCAATTGCGTCTCTCTCATTATTTTTTAATGTGAGAACTGAACGCTATCCCATAATCCTTTGCTCAGCAATACGGTTTTGTGAGATGAAAATTCAATAAATCTGTCTGTTCCTAATAAATGATATGGCAATGTTGATAATCCCTGAATTTTAGTGCCTTAAAACGCCAAATCAGCCCTAGTCACAGCGTGGCTGTTTTAGCCTCCTTTTTGCAGTTTAGTTATAATTCAGTAAATGTAAAGTTTAGTGGATACCCACTACATGGTTTAGCTGTGTATCTCACTCTCATCGATAGGGGGAGCTCTGAACAAGTAAACAGAGGGTATTTTACCTTATCTCTTTATTACAGCCTACTGTTAGTATAGATTTGTGTCTCATACCTTCATTTAAACACAGAGTTAAATTGCTCCATATTTCAGCCTGTCTCTATCGTCAAGGTCTCTGAAGAAACGGGGTCTATTCCCGTGTGAAAATGTTGGCCCCTAGTTCTGATAACTGCTTTGTCCCTGGGGCAACATTACATTCCAAGCATCTATTGCAGATAATATTTAGCTCATACCCAGTGTCTCCTCAATGCCAACTCTGATAACGCACAAAAGCCTTGTTTTCAGTAAGAATGAGATACACAGACACAGCAGAGACTCAGAAAAAAAAGGAGATATTTGATAAGCAGCGAGAACATGTACAGTGTCGCAAACGTTAGCATGAAGTGTGGGCAGGGGTCCTCTACGAGTTGGGAAATTTGCAGTAAGATTTAGAGAGACAATCAGGAAAAGCCAAAGCTGTTTGGGATGAAAAGAGGCAGAATATTCTTGAAGAAGCGGCTGTTCCTCCAAAAGAATAAAAAACAGAAGTATCCACGAGCCAACATAGACAACCTCCCCTCCCAAAAAAAACAAAACATAACAGAAAATTAAGGCAGTTAATCCAGCATTGCAACAATACGGTCTAACGAAATGGACAGAGCAATAAAGAGAACGTGAGACAGCGAAATAACTAAAACATTAACACAGAAGAGCGGAAAGAAAAACATTTCAACAAGAAAAAGAATAACAAATTATATAGCGCTAACATATTCTGCAGCGCTGAAAAACAGAAGATACCAAAAAGATACAGATCAGATACAAGGACAGGAGATAGAAGAGAAGGGGTGGTTATTGCCTGAAGAGTAAGGCTCTTTATTGGTTGAAGGTGGCTGGTAAAAGAACAGGCTACATTGTAGAAAAGAACTAGAATTCCATGATGTTATTGTCGACCCTCATTTTGCTTTTGTTGGTGGCCTCAAATTGCCTTTTGGTGGGTCAGACGTGTGAAATTCCAGAAGATGATCGTTTATACATTTTGTCCAAGATCAAGACCCAGATTGTAGATGCACTGGGACCCCCTCCGCCTGTGTCCACACTATCTTCTCCAATACCTTCTCCAAGCTCCTGGCCAGCACTGAAGTCAGAGCAGAGGACTATACGAAAAAGACACAGCAAGAGGCAAAGTGCAGGCCTTGAAGACAGCTCTCAGGTCATCCTGTTCCCCTCCTCAGGTATGTACTGCTTAGTAGTTACAACAAGACTTTATAGGAAACCTATATATTGAATGTCCTTGTATGCTTCAGTCAAGCATTCTAAACTGAAATCGCTAAAATTCTGCTAAAAATATTTGAATCGCTCTATACTAATCTACTCTACCCTACAATTAAGTGCACATCACATAAAACAAGTGAGTGACCCTTTACACAAATTTCCCACCTTGAAATCATTCCGTCAATCTGTAGTTGAACTGTTTAACTTTGGTGTCTTTAAAAAGCGAAGGTACAATGTGTGCTTACTATTTTAACATAGATGATTACATGTTAGGGTGAGATCATTGTACGTTTACAAATCTATCATTTTATTAAGATAATCCCTGCTGAGCAGCAGCAAGCTTGCGGACACATGTTGCGTAACTTTAACAAGCGCTCAAAATAGCGTTTGAGTGACAGGATGAATTTGTCTCCGTTTGTACCAAGATCACTTATGCAAATGTTTAATTCAAGGCTGGGTTATAAACACTTAAAGCAACACAGTCACTTATATTTCCTTTGGGGTATATTCACTAAACACCAAATTCTAGTAAATTAAATGTTGGAGAGTTTTTCCAGTCTTATATTTTGCCATTTGATTTTCAATGCACTACAATTCAGCGTTTAGTGAATAAAGCCCTTAATATAAAATAATTTAAAGCAATATTTCAACTGAATAATATTTTTTTTTAATGCAACCAAGCTGCATTATATTGATCAATCATTTCCACCTCAGGATCTGGCATTTTTTCAGCGTGGACATTTTCAAACTTTCAGTGACGTTTATTGATATTGAAAATCCAGCTGAAAGTTGCTGAAGTTAGAATTTAATCAAATCTGAAATTAGCCGAGATTTCCCAGATTTCTGCTGTTGTGAGAAAATATTATCATTTTTTATTTCTTGGATATTTTGTGACCATTGTACCCAGAAGAAAGAAACGTAAGCTAGAGATTTAGTAGTTTGTGAGATTTTTTTTTTTTCAAAATATTGAACAGAATAAACAATTATGATGGTTTCCAGAAATTGGCTGCTGATTAAATGGACAATACAATATGTTTCAGCAAATAGGATTATTAATGATTAAGAGTGCAGAACTGGACAAGCAATTTTTGGTAAGTTCATGACATTAACATAGCTGTTTTATTTATGTAATGAAAATATTAATTTCAAAATAAAGGTAATCATTTAATAAAATAATTTAGAACAAAGCACCTTATGTACAAAGAGCAATTCCAGGGCAAAGATTCAGGGCAAAGATTCATTCAGCAGGGGCAGGCCCGGACTGGCCATCGGGCACGCCGACCAAATGCCCAGTGGGACGCGATGTCCATTGCTTGAGGCCAGCAGGGGAGGTCACAGGATCTCCCTGGCCAGTCCATGCATGGCCCGCGCTATCTGATCAAAGATCTCCCTCACCATCCCACAGACAGTGTAATGAGGCCGCCGGTGGGGGAGGGAGAGGAGGACCAAAGGAGCTCTACCTTGCATCTCCGCTGGGTTCTTCTTGCGACATCTGGAGCATTGCCATGGCAACGCTCCAGGTCTCGCGAGAGTACACTGTTGCCCCACAGGCTAGAGTTCACTCACCACTAGGACCACCAGGGATATCCCTCTCCCCCTACCCCCTACCCCCCCCACACACAGGCTAAAGGTCAGAAGGGAGGGGGGATATAATGCTTGTTTTTGGGGGGCTTTTATAAAAATAAAAAAAAACATATATATTGGCATTAACCTGCCTCCCCAACACACAATCCCTCCAAATACACACAGCATCCTCTCACACACACACACATCACCTTCATACATCACCCTCACACACACAGCGACCTCACACACACACACAGCATCCTCACTCACACACACTTCACCCCTCACACACAGCACCCCCACACTCATACACACACACAGCGCCCTCGCACACAGCACCTTCACTCACACACACAGCACCCTCACACACACTGCACACCTCACACACAGCACCTACACACACATCAGCCTCACTCACACACAGCACCCTCACACACACACAGCACCCTCACTCACACACACTTCACCCCTCACACACAGCACCCACCCACACACACACACAGCACCCTCACACACAGCACCCTCACTCACACACACATCACATCACTCTCACACAGCACCTTAACACACACACACACACACACAGCACCCTCACACACATCAACCTCACACACAAAAACACACACACATCACCCTCACTCACACACACTTCACCCCTCACACACAGCACCCACACACACATACACACACACACACACACACACAGCACCCTCACACACAGCACCCTTACACACACACTTCACCCCTCACACACAGAACCCACACACACACACAGCGCCCTCGCACACAGCACCCTCACTCACACACACATAGCACCCCCACACACACACTGCACACCTCACACACAGCACCCTCACATACATACTGCACCCCCCCACACACACAGCATCCTACTTCAAGAAGTTCAGCACTTTTTTGGAGTGGGTGGTGAGTCAGGAAGTGGGGAGTCGAGCATTACTTGGACGACTTTTTGTGCATGTCTGGGAACTCTTCATCATGCCTGCATTTGTTGCGTACCATTCATTGGGTGGCCAGATTGTTTGGGGTTCCTTTGGCAGTGGGTAAGACAGAAGGCCCCGCTGACTGTATTTGCTTCCTGGGGCTGGAAATCGATTTGGCGAAGGGCGAATGTCGGTTGCCTCGGGACAAGCTCGAGGTACTTCGGGCTGCGGTGGGGGAAGTGCATCAGGCCAAGAAGGTCACGCTTCAGGCATTGCAATCTTTGCTCGGCAAGCTCAACTTTGCTAGGGGTCATGGTCATCTGGTCAGAGATTATACTGCGACTTTGGTGGCGGCATGCAAGGGAAGTGGTGGCGATTGATCGTTGTCGTTGTAAGGTAAACAGTTTAATGGCTAGCTTAATTTGGAAGTTAGGGGGATTGTGGTCAGGCACAGGGAACTGGAGAATAGATTGACTGGGATTTGTTAAATCTGGGGTTTCAAGAAGGGCTTAGCCAGGTGCTGTTTTTGCACGGTGGCAGAGCACAGACGTCTTAAGGAGTCAAGGTCTGAGCTTGTGGTGGGGCTGGTAAAGGGAAGAAAATGGGGGGATAGGGACTTTGGAGTTAGAAAAGGAGCAAGGGGTAGGTAAAAAGGAATGGTGAAATAGAATTGGAGTTATCAGTTGGTTATGGTGTTGGGAGATTTAGAGTCCGTAGGTGTTTCAGAACCTCGGAGGGGTGAAGGTATCCGGGTATGGGCTGTTAAGAAAATGTTGGCACTTTATATTATGTCCATAGGAAACAATTCACAACGCTTTCCTATGGACGCTGGCGTCTTCTCACTGTGAAAATCACAGTGAGAAACGCAGAAGCCCTCTAGCGGCTGTCAATGAGACAGCCACTAGAGGCTGGATTAACCCATTTATAAACATAGCAGTTTCTCTGAAACTGCTATGTTTATAAAAAAAAAAGGGTTAAACCTAGCTGGGCCAGGCACCCAGACCACCTCATTAAGCTGAAGTGGTCTGGGTGCCTATAGTGGTCCTTTAATCAATGTAATAGTTTGTATCCAATTAGGTCGGGGGAGGGTGAAATAAGCCATCTTTTTACATTCTCCTACTTAGCATGCAATCAGATAATTACAATTGTAAATTTAGGCAAAAACAGACTAGGCAGAAACATAACCGGGTTAAATAATTTTTTCTAATTGTATAATTTTGTCCTAGTATTTGCAAGTTCCTTGTAAACCCTCAAGGCTGCTAATGTGTCTCTTTGGTGCACGAGGTAGTATTCAGTAACTGCCATTAGATGTCGCTAGCGGGTTACTTCTGTGTTACCAGCTTTTACACTTGGGCATTCTGAGTTCATTATTTTAAATTAGTTAAATTGATTTACTTACATGGGACTACCATATTTAAAGGAGCACTATAGTGTCATGAAAACAAACTAGTTTTCCTGGCACTATAGGGTTATTAGATCTACCCGACCCTCGTGGCCCCCTGCCGCTTACCTTAATCCAGCGCCGTGCTCCTTCAGCGCTGGTGACCTCACCTCGTCCTGCCGACGTTGGTGCCGAATGCTGGATTAACCCTCGGAAACTGCTATGTTTTTGGCTGCAGAGTAAAAACTAGGGGGACCTGGCACCCAGACCACTGAACTGGTCTGGGTGCCTATAGTGGTCCTTTAAGAATACCACTACCAATTTAGGGAGCTGTTTTTTTTTGTAGATAGCTCCCTAGTTTGTTACCCTTAAGGGGTATCTACTAAACAGTTCCCTACTTTGTTATGCTTCATTATGTGGTGTTGCCATATTTAAGGATACCAAAATAGGGAGGAATTAAAAAAATATGGCAATCCCACATAAGGGTTCCAAACTAGGGATTTATCTGCTTATATAAACCATTGAAAGACTTGCTGGCAATCGGAACATTCCATTCGTCCAAAAAGAAATAAGAAAGCAAAAATAATGGACAAAACATGTATTATTTTCATCACGATTTGTTAGAATGAAACAAATTCCAGGTGGGCATAAGTCTATAAGCTAAGGCTAAACCATCACATAAAGCTGAAGACAAATATTTTGTGACATTGTCTTCATTGACTTCAGTTATTGAGTGCTCGGTGCTGTACGGAATGTGAGAAGAGGTAATCAGAAACCTTTATTACTCTCAGCACAATAATGTTCTCTGCACGTTTAAATAAATATTAACCTGTTGTGTGTCGTGAAAATTTTTAGTTCGGCTGAATTACTCTTGCTACAAAAACAAAATGCTTTTGGATCAGAAGAATTTTGGCTGAAAAAAACGTTGTGTTGGACTGAAAAAAGTCAACTCCAGAACGGTAAATTAGTCAATTATCAGTATAGCAAATGGAATTACGAATGTTGGACTTGTAACTTTGAAATTCAACCAAACAGATGTGCCCAAATTCATACAACAGGTTCAAAACAAAACGAATCTCCAAGTCTAACATATATATTTACTTTTTTGTGTATTTTGTGATGAATGTCTTTGATTTATCTTGTTCTCCTGTGCTCTTTCTTTTAGATGTCCTATGTGAGACCCCAAATCTTGATACATCTCATGAAGAACTTGGCAACAGTTTTACTTACATATTCCGTCCTTCACCTCATATCCTGAGTCGCAAAGTCTTGTCAGTACAGCTTTGGTTTTACACAGGAAATTCTCAAACCCACCCTCCAAAACTGTTGCAAGACACACCTAAAAATGAACCCACTCTCCTTCATAGCCTATCCTCTGCTCAAGTTGATGATCACAAGCCTCAGCCACCAACTGATGGCCCTGTCACCCAGCATCAAGTGGACAATTTTCCTGCTTCTTCATTTAACATCAGTGGAAATTATGACATACTTCAACACTTGGTGGACCTCCAAGTGCTATCAGAACACAAAGCAATAACTGTGGCCACTTCCAGGGTAGAAAGAGTTGATGACTGGATTGTCTTTCATTTGGCACCAGCTTTTCTGAGCTATGTAACACGGGGTCTATTCGTCATGCTGGTCAATTGCCCAACCTGTCCATGTACCAACGAGCCTGAATATACCCCGTTCCTTATGTACACTACTCAGCCCTCTCATCGGAGTCGAAGATCCAAGGTTCCCTGGTCTCCATCTGCTCTGGAATTGCTGCAACGTCCTGCAGGTTCAGGCATCGAGAGCGCCCATTGCCATCGTGGCTCACTCAATATATCATTCGAGGAGCTAGGATGGGACCAGTGGATTGTACACCCTGGTAGCTTCCAGTTTCACTATTGCCATGGCACCTGTTCCCCAAGCCATGGTTTGAGCCAAGCTCTCCACTGGGGCCACTGCTGTGCCGCACTTCCAAGTACAATGAAGTCATTATGGGTTACCACTACAACAGATGGTGGATTCTCGTACAGATATGAGACGGTGCCTAATCTGCTGACTCAAGACTGTGCCTGCAGTTAGAGCCAATAGCTCACGTTATGAAGATGACCTCTCTAAGTCCAACAGCAGCGCCCCTGCCTGTGCTGCATTAGCCTTCCGTTATCAAGAGTTTTCAAAAGGCTTAAGGACAAGGGCAGAGCAATCTGGCATTGGAGCTCAGATTTTGGGGTTAAACCTTTCATGGTTTAACACCTAAAGTTAAGCCAGCGTCAGAGACCTCTTGCCATCATAACAACTTAATTTCTATAAAAATAATCGAACTGAAAAAAATTCTCCAAGTCAGCTTGGCTGCAGTTTGGCTATTTTGGTAGTTAAAAATAACTGTGAATGAATACTAAAAAATAAACCCCAAAAAGCTATACAATATAATATACATACTGCTCTTACTGTACCTCCCTTTACTGTAATGTCACATGTAAAGTGCTGAGTACACCTGTTAGCACTATATAAATAAATTATACATAGACTGTATATCTACTGTACTGTCACCTGTAAAGTACTGAGTACACCTGTTAGCACTATATAAATAAAATATACATACACTGTATACCTACTGCACTTACTGTACCTCCCTCTACTGTAATGTCACCTGTAAAGTGCTGAGTACACCTGTTAGCGCTATATAAATAAAATATACATACACTGTATACCTACTGCACTTACTGTACCTCCCCCTACTGTAATGTAACCTGTAATGCTGAGTACACCTGTTAGCGCTATATAAATATACATACACTGTATACCTACTGCACTTACTGTACCTCCCTCTACTGTAATGTCACCTGTAAAGTGCTGAGTACACCTGTTAGTGCCATATAAATAAAATATACATACACTGTATACCTACTGCACTTACGGTACCTCCCCCTACTGTAATGTAACCTGTAATGCTGAGTACACCTGTTAGCGCTATATAAATAAAATATACATACACTGTATACCTACTGCACTTACTGTACCTCCCTCTACTGTAATGTAACCTGTAAAGTGCTGAGTACACCTGTTAGTGCTATATAAATAAAATATACATAAACTGTATACCTTCTGCACTTACTGTACCTCCCTCTACTGTAATGTAACCTGTAAAGTGATGAGTACACCTGTTAGTGCTATATAAATAAAATATACATACACTGTATTCCTACTGCACTTACTGTACCTCCCCCTACTGTAATGTAACCTGTAATGCTGAGTACACCTGTTAGCGCTATATAAATAAAAAAATACATACTCTGTATACCTACGGCACTTACTGTACCTCCCTCTACTGTAATGTAACCTGTAAAGTGCTGAGTACACCTGTTAGTGCTATATAAATAAAATATACATAAACTGTATACCTACTGCACCTCCCTGTACTGTAATGTCACATGTAAAGTGCTGAGTACACCTGTTAGCGCTATATAAATAAAATATAACTACACTGTATACCTACTGCACTTACTGTACCTCCCTCTACTGTAATGTAATCTGTAAAGTGCTGAGTACACCTGTTAGTGCTATATAAATAAAATATACATACACTGTATACCTACTGCACTTACTGTACCTCCCTCTACTGTAATGTAACCTGTAAAGTGCTGAGTACACCTGTTAGTGCTATATAAATATAATATACATACACTGTATACCTACTGGACTTACTGTACCTCCCTCTACTGTAATGTAACCTGTAAGGTGCTGAGTATACCTGTTAGCGCTATATAAATATAATATACATACACTGTATACCTACTGCACTTACTGTACCTCCCTCTACTGTAATGTAACCTGTAAGTGCTGAGTACACCTGTTAGCGCTATATAAATATAATATACATACACTGTATACCTACTGCACTTACTGTACCTCCCTCTACTGTAATGTAATCTGTAAAGTGCTGAGTACACCTGTTAGTGCTATATAAATATAATATACATACACTGTATACCTACTGCACTTACTGTACCTCCCTCTACAGTAAGTACACCTTTTAGCACTATCCATATATCTATTTCTCTCGGTTTCTACATTACCCTTTAAAAGGTTCTGAAATGTTACTTTTATTCCGTACACGACATCATTAGTAATCCTGAGTCTTGCTTCACATTACCAGGAAACCTATTCATATAATCCACTACAGATATTCTGTGGAAATCTATTTACAGACTACCACGATATTTGTAATAATAAATGGTGATTGGTAAATTTTTACATAAGGCAGTTGTTTTATTTTTGTCCTGGAGACCTGCTTTGTGCCTCCTGCAGACTGCACAGGCTGGGGGTCTCTGCCCTTTCTGTCAGATGTAAGTTTAATCATTCGTGCTGTAACTAACTGACTGATGCTTTAACACAATCTACCAATAAAAGACTTTGAGACACAAACGTTGTCCTAAATCCTGTCAGTGAAGTAGTATCTGAACTTATTGAATGGCATTATCAGTGCGGAGTCAGTGACGCTTTCATAGTGCATCATGTCCTTAAATTAGTTTGAATACAGAGAGCAATGAAATCATGGAAGAAACTGGACTGGGTGGGAGGAGGGGGGACAATTGTGCCCACCCTTATCAACCAATTATTTGGCATTGAGTCTAACAATTGATTGACAGCTGGGTGGAAAAAAAAACACTAAACTAGTTTTGCCCAAGACAGGTTCCCCATAAAATATATTGAATTCTGTAAAGACTATGCACAGGAGCCAGGTGTTCAGGGGTGATATGTGTAAGAAGGGTGTATCCAATCATGTCTACACCGGTTAATACACACAATAAAGGGTGGGGTTGGTGGTAGCTCGGTGTGTGGGAAGCCGGCAAGCAGACATGACACATAACAAGTTGCCCAAGAAATTGGAAAAGGTTCAGGAATGCAAAAAGAGGGAAAAAGAGCATAATGCATACATTGGTGTTATTTTGACCTAGGCTCTGAATAGAATAGGGTTCTGTTTTGTTTACTCCTCATGTATCAATAAACAATCTCAAAAATGACAAGGGCGATCAGGAGGACCTAGGGCATGCCTGTCTTCAATGTATCTCACACGGTATTCCAGGGTGATGGGATTTGCATTCCGCAGCAGCTTGAAGCAGGTAACATTATACTTAATAAACAAAGATTTTAAAAGCTTTTGTCACAGCCGTAAACACATCCTTAATAAATTTAGAGCTAAATAAAAAAAAAAAAATAGAAAACCATTTTAGCCATTTTTATAACCAATCATAATCGCACGCATTGGTTCAGTGTATAGTACAATTATTTTTCACATGTCACCAGAACACAGGGTACAGCTTACCTCTAATTCACCCCTTACTTAACCTGCTATGGTAACACGTTGTGTATGATAGCACCCATTACTCACACAGACTTTGTGTGGCTGAGATCCTCCAGTAGATGCGTAAGCTTTAATCAGATAGAAATTCTCCCAGCTTAATGCGGACACAATGAATTATGTGAATTCCAGTTCACACTATACTGAGTGCAGATGTTCTACTTAAAGGGATACGCTAAAGGGCTTTAATGGTTAATTGTGTGTTCCTTGTTTGAATTCATAAAAGTGCAGATTTCAAGTGAAATCAGCACTTTTATGGTTTTGAGACAGTTTGGGAACAGCCCTGGCACTGAATCTTACAACCAGTAGGGCGTCCTGATTCACTGCACTTCTATGATTGAAGCAGAAGCGTGAGGTCTGTGGGAAAGCGTTAGCCAATGGTTCCCTATGAGAAGCATTTTATTGGGTGATCGCCCCAAGCTGGCGCATTAGCAGCAAATTCTGAGCATTCGCTAATTTTCACAGAGAGGGGCGTGGTAAGAAAATATAGATGAAATGGTGAGTAACCTCTGTTTTCAATTTGAGGGCCATCTGGCATGTAATGTGTTAAAGGAACACACCAAACATTACACCCCAATATCCGTTTTTAACACTGCAGTACCCCTTTAAATACCCAAGATAATCCTCCAAGCATGGGCTCTAACTTACGGATATGATTAGCGGCCTTAATGGGCCATTCAGCAGAAACAATGTCCTCAGTTCTATGTTAAATGGATCCTGTCAGAGAACTGACACCCAGGCAGTAGACATTTTAGTGCTATGAATTTAACCAACCACCCAAGGCCACTGAGTCAATAAAGCCCACTGCGAAATGTCCAGGATTCATTTTTAATGACCTTTTTTTTTACAGGTTAACAATGACGTCTTACCCAGCCATCTGTGTCCTTTCACATGCGTGGAAATCAGACAGATGGAAGGTAGTATCTCATCTGTCATTTCATTACAATGTGTCAATCCTTTAATCTCTCACAGCACCAACAAGTAAAACATTAAATGCAACCGAACAAAACGATTACCAATATCGAACATATTATGAAACATATGAAGGCTAAGCCAAGACCCATCATAATGCAAGTCTTCTGATCCGTGCTAATTGATTTCACAGTCTATTCTTACTCAAAACATAACTTGATTGGTCTGGTAGGCTGCTTCTTTAAGGGATTTCTCACATAGATTTGGATGAGAAGATCAAGGGCTGCCATTTTACAACTATGCCCATCAGCATCGTTTAAAACATTTCAACATTTACAGGAGTAATAAGGTGTCTGGCGTGAAATGGAGCTGCAATAACAATAACAGAATTTGCAATGATAGCAGTAGGGGTATATATAGCGTTACTGCATAGGGTATTAAAGGGACACAATAGGCACCCAGACCACTTCAGCTTATTGAGTGGTATATTCCCAGGCCCCTTAACCCTGCAATTATTGCAGTTTTTAATAAACTGCAACAATTACATTGCAGAGTTAACTAAACGTTTAGTGGCGGCCTACCAAACGCTGGCAAAGTCAAAACCAGCACTGAGGGACATCGGTGCATTAATAAGGTAAGTGACAGAAGAGGGTGGTGGGGGGGGGCACAAAGGAGGAGGCACTAAAGGGTGCTTTACAACTTACTTTCCTTATCACAATAGTTTCCTTTTAAATCCAGTGTCTATGTGCAGGGGAAAAGAGACTAGGTTATGATGCCCAGCTCCAGCATGCACGATCACATCTATAATAAATGCAGCACTATACGCACTATACGAGTTATTCACCCATAAGGTCTTGGAGCGGGCACCCCCCCAAGATACAGGTCTCAGCCTCTCACACACACACATTCACCAGAGTCCAGAGCTTTAAAACAGGTGACCCAATTTGGCATCCTACCCAGAACCCTGGGATGCAAAGAATTCAACAAGATTTCGAAGTGAATTAAACATTTTGGCTACAATAGCATACTAGACAAAACCTCTCCAAATCAGGTAATTTTCAATAAATTCCTGGTGATTCACTCTTGAATGAATAACCCCGACAGATCATTCTCCTTAACTTGGACTCCTAGTGCTCGGTCTGTTATTCTTGGGTAGAGAGATCATGATGTGTTTTAATCCTCATTACAAAATCTAGTTTGGGAGGTTTTGTTTGCATTAAATAGCTCCCAATCCTTTTGTTACCATTTGACAACTTACCTGTGGTCTGGCAAGCACTAGTCATTTCCTTTCCACAAAGTGTCTGTTTTTTCCCCTTAATCCTACCGTGCAGGGCTTGGCAATAACTCAACGCTTAGCCAAGTCTTTTATCACCAGCCCAGGCTTAGTTTAAAATGCAGAGAGCGTCCGGCTCCCACAGACGTGATTAGCGCTCTGTATTGGTTATGGTGTATGAAATGTTCCTTTAACATTTGACAATTTTTATTTGATTTATAAAAGACATGGGGAGAGGAGGAAAAGGGTACAGAAGACAAAAGGCGGGGAAGGGGGAGGGGGATGGAGGACATCCAAGCATCTTATATCACTTACTACACAATAAACCATAACTATCCATAGTAATCCATAATAATACACAATACTTTGGTACTCAATATGGCCTTTATCAGTATAATCACATTTAGATTGCAAATTTCTATTTAACTGGAGCATGAAATTTAATTTAATGCTAACCTACTTGAAATCGAAATGTATTAAAACAGTGCAATAACATCTTTATGAAACATTAATGCTTCCACCTATATGGGGTGTACCAATCTCCACTTGTCCCAAATGTCCCATGCCGCTATCCCACATTGGTTAGATGGATATATACTTATAAAGCAGCGCTCATAAAGCCTCTGCTCCTCCATCTCAGAATGTATTTTCTGGATCGTGGGAATGTTTGAAGTCTTCCAGGCTCGTGCAATAAGGCGTTGAGCCGTCAGTGCCATATGGAAGTATAATTTTTGGAGATATTTGGGTGTATGTGGGAGGATATGCAATAACAAGTACATAAGGGGATCATACGATAGTTTAACTTTTGTGAGATCTTGTAACAATGTATGTACGGCTTCCCAAAAGGGTTGGATTAATGGGCAGTTCCACCATATATGAATAACTGATCCAATATTCTTTTGACATCTTCAACAAGTGGGTGAGGTGGAGGGAAACATTTTATGTAACCGCTCTGGCACCAGGTACCATCTATAAATAATTTTCTTGTTTTGCTCAATAAGTGGAACTGATTTAATACGTTTCTTAGTATTTATAGATATATTAGTCCACTGTTCCTGGGAGAGCTCAATGGTCAAGTCCTTTGCCCATTGCTTTCCTGGTATCGCATCCGAGAGCAGTGTGTAATCTAATAACAATTGGTAACATGTGGATTGGTTTACATAATGCAGGTAGCTTTTTATTTATACACACTTTTTCCAATATCGTAAGTTGTTCACTGGTTATACAGCCAGATAAAACCTGTGTGTCTTGTTTGTATAAAAAAAGAATGTAGTTGTCTGTAGGAGAAATGAGAGGTCAATGGGACCCCATAAAGTAATTGGAGGGTTCGGAAATCCAGTAGCCTTGAATTAACATAAAAATTGATTAAATGTGTAAGACCCCTCTCCTGCCATGGTTTAGCATAAAAGGTGGGAATGCAATATGTGAGAGCCTCCATAGGAGTAGCAGGGGAAATTGGATATTTGCTACTCAGATTGTATTTATATAAAGGCACTAATTTTGTATTCTATTCCTTTAACTTGAATACCTTTTATATGGGGTTGATTTCAAATGATTCGCAAAAGGGGCACTAGTGCCAGCACATCCAGTAATGGGGACAACAGGCACCCCTGCCTCATTCCATTAGTTAACTTAAATTGATCGGACATGAAGCCCGCCTGTAACACTTGGGCCGAAGGGCCTGAGTATAAAGCAAAAATCTGTTTCAATAGTTGTTGTGGGAGCCCATTTGCACACAACGTCTGTTGCAGGAAAGGCCAGCTGAGGCGGTCAAAAGCTTTTTCAGCATCTAATGCTAGTAAAAGTCCACCTCCTCTGGCCCCCCTTAAGTGCTCCAATATCAATGCAAGTTCTCTAGTATTATCCATCCCCTGTCTCCCTTGTATAAACCCCGTCTGGTCATCTCCAATGAGAGATGGTAACACCCCGTTAAGCCTATTTACTAAGATCTTCACATCGGCATTTATAAGTGATATTGGGCGATAGGTCCTTTGATGCATGTAAAAATTATCAGGCTTTGGAATAGTTATTATGGTAGCACGGAGTATCTCCGTCGGAAATGTACCTGTGGCCGTAGCCCTATGGAAAACTTTTAAGAGATGCAGGCCTAAAGCCTGGGCATATTTTTTTTATAATAGGCATTCATCAACCCATCTGCTCCCGGTGACTTCCCCTGTGGTAGTTTAGAAATATCTAACACGAAATGTTCCCTTAAAGGAACACTCCAGACCCCTGTAGCACTTTAGCTTGCTGAATTGCTTTATCTCTTTTGTCTTTTTTTCATTGTACAAAAAGTGAAGATTTTAATTGGCACGTTTATAAATTAAGCTTGTTACACCACCCTGGCTGTCAATCAGACAACAGGTTGTTACTTCCTGGTTTGGTTAGCTCAGCAGAACTAAATTCAAGAGGCAGCAATTGCCCAGAGCACCTGCCTTGTAAAGACTTCTCATTGAGCTGCATTGGGAAGTCTGTGAGTGGACAGCCGCAGAAATCCTGGGCAGGGCTAGAAGAGGATGGCTTGCAAAGGCTTCAAATAAGAGATCTGCAGCTTTTGCTAGCTTACCTTTAATGAAAAATGCACCAATAACTTTTAACTTTATCAATAACGTCAATAATTACAATTGCTGGAGTCAAGATGCCTGTAGTACTGCACCCAGACCACTTCAATGAGCTGAAGTGGTCTGGGTGCCTATATGGTCCCCTAATTTTGTGGCACAATTAGAAGTGACTTTACATTGGATTTTTCATCTTTTGGATCAACTGCATGATCAGTAAGTGTGAAAGGGTGGACTTGAGTCTTTTTACAGAGCAGGAGACAAAAACCTCTACAGTAAGTTAACATCTAATTCAAAATGCAATATTTTTTTTAATGCAGGATGTGGGAGTCACAGCTAGGGGAGGTTTGGCTAGGCTTACAGAAGATATATTTAACTCCTTAATTGCACAGAATTGAGTAGTGAGACTGCAGCGGTATGATCTATACTACACGTGCTTCATTAATAAAGTTGTTTTGGTGACTATAGTGTCCCTTTAATGAATACATAGTACATTTAATTTATATTAGGATTTGCCCACTTTAACATTGACACTTCCAGTTCCAATAAACTAATAATTCATGGAAACCAATTACAGTTTTACATGAATATTTTTACGGTTTATACCTAAATTTACATTTAATTGTGTGTGATTTTTTTTTTTTTAATACAAGGATTTTATTTAACAGAAGAGTGGTTAATTTGACATTTGTTGAATTTCTATTTCCTCCCCTCCCTATGGGTGGCACTTTACTGTAACTGTCGTGACAAGACCAGAGTCGATGTATCTCTAAGTACATTACGTATAAACAAAATGTGTAAAAATGCACCAATATGCTTCTTTGGCATGCAAGGTATTTTATCAGATATATGAACAATTTACTGGAATAGATGTCAGAATTACACACATACTACATAGGGGTTCTTTAATCTTAGGCACATTAATTCAGAGGAGTTTAATTAATGGCAGCAGTTGCTGTCCAGGAATTTAACTCCCTTACCTCATGCATATATACCGATGAAGACAATACAAGGTTGGTGCAAATTTCTTGAAAGCTGCCTTTGATTAGTTCGATTACTCTTATTTAAATAGAAACATAGAATGTGACAGCAGATAAGAACCATTTGGCCCATCTAGTCTGCCCAATTTTCTAAATACTTTCATTAGTCCCTGGCCTTATCTTATAGCTAGTATAGCCTTATGTCTGTCCCACACATGCTTAAAAGGGACACTAGAGTCACCAAAACAACTACAGCTTATTGAATTTGTTCTTGTGAGTAGAATCATAACCTTCAGGCTTTTTGCTGTAAACACTGTCTTTTCAGAGAAAATGCAGTGTTTACATTACAGCCTAGTGATAACTTCACTGGCCACTCCTCAGATGGCTGTGAGAGATCCTTCCTGGGTCATGGCGGCCTAAAATGCATCCAAACATTCAGTTTCTCCTCTATCTGTATGCAGACACTGAACTTTCCTCATAGAGATTCACGGATTCAATTCATCTCTATGAGGAGATACTGATTGGCCAGGGCTGTGTTTGAATTGTGCTGGCTCTGCTCCTGATCTGCCTCCTTGTCAGTCTCAGCCCATGCTATGGGGGAAGCATTGTGATTGGATCAGGCTTCCACGTCTATGATGTCAGCAGGCAGTGAGCAGCTCTAAAGGAAACAGAGACAGAGGCTCCAGACTTGAATACAAGTAAGATTTTGCTATTTTTACGGAGGCATGAGGGGACCAGATGGTGGTTTGTGTTCCTGACCCTGTAGTGCTCCTTTAAACTCCTTTACTTAGTTAACCTCTACCACTTCAGCAGGAAGGCTATTCCATGCATCCACTACCCTCTCAGTAAAGTAATACTTCCTGATATTTTTAAACCTTTGTCCCTCTAATTTAAGACTATGTCCTCTTGTTGTGGTAGTTTCTCTTTTAAATATAGTCTCCTCCTTTACGGTATGGATTCCCTTTATGTATTTAAAGGTTTCTATCATATTCCCCCCATCTAGTCTTTCCTTCAAGCTATGCACACTCCCATGGTGCCATGAAAACAATGTAAATTAGCACACAGCATTGATTCCCGTACCACGTATATGTAGTTACCATTAAAATAGCATGTTCTAAATAATATTTTATTTTTTATTTTTTTAAATACTCCCAGAATGGCAATAATATGCAAACAAGTTACTTCTTTATAAAATAGATTTACAAAATAAACAAAAAACACAAACAAGTTTGCACAAAGTTCAGAAAACATGCAAGTATTAATGTACTTTTATTTCACATCTTAAAGAATTTTGCAGGAAATACAGCCACAGATTTTTTTTTTTAATTTTTTTTATTGTTATATGTATAAAAAACAAAGCAAAACAAAATTCCAGTACCATGAAATATTCAGTTAAAAAAATAAAAATAAAAAGGTATACATATAATATATAAAAAAAAAAAAACTCCCATACAAACTAACATCCCATAATACAAATAAAAATGAGATGAGGTTCTGAGATGAACTGTAAGACTTTGAGTGACCAGTTTAGGAGAGATTAACTGCTTCATTACAGTCCTGCGCAGTACACACATTTGTAACTGGGAACATGTGAGAGACGCAGTCAGGAATCTAAACCAAGTGTTCAATGCCTAGACCCAAACTAGTCCTTTAACCGCCAGAAACTGTCACATGAAGGGAACAGAGGCTCACATTTAAACAAAAAAATGCTATACATAACACCCCCCAACCTTAAGATAAGTGGTCAGTTTGAGCATTTGGAAGGAAAAGGGGTGATCAATGGAATGTGCAGGTAACCAATTTACTGGTAATCAACAAAAAATATCCAGAACAGTAGGAATTCAAGTATTCCCCATTTGTAAATTGGAATGATACATTTTAGCCCTTTAAATACATCAGTGAAGGGAGGCACGACTCGTCAACAAATATGAGAAACAAAAAAGGCTGCGATGGAATGTTTGAAATGTTCCAAACAAGAAGGAAGTGGAAAATAAGTATCCCCCTCCCCCCGTGTGTTCATCTTCCAAACCACGTCGTCCAGATGCCAGTCAGCACAGCAGACAAACAGGGCATTTCTCTTGTAGCTGGTAAAAAAATCAAGGCACGCAGAGATAAACAAAATGTTAATAAACAATAAAGTCACAACAGCTTTGAGACAGAATCCAGAAATGTATGGTTCAGTTCCCTTATTAACCTCTTAACAGCCAAAATGGCAAACAGTGGCTGGAGTGGATTTTGTCTCCAACATTACAGCTTGAGCAGCCGGGAACTGTTATCATGCAACTCCTATCAACTTCAGCCGGCCATTGGTGATAGGAGTTGCAGTCAAACAGCAGCCACAAGTTTGCAAGACAATGCTCTACTCTTTAGTACCGCAACCTATCATTTATATACAATCCCAGAGTACCGACACATTGTAAACTTCTCCACAAAAGAGTGTGTAAACTTAACAAGGGCTTTGGTAAATGTGGGATTTTTCTTTACACACAACAGTCAAGATCCCAATTTCTCACTTTTCCTGCAGTGAAAGAATCTTCATTTTGCACAAAGTCACAGGAGGCAAATCAGCAGGAGCAGTGAAACCTGTGACTTGTTAACCTTAAACGTTACAAGTCACTGGCCAAACAGCTGAAATTTTCAGTCCTACACATGGAAAGGACCACTTTTAGACCTAAACAAAATGACTAAGCCAGTAAGAATTCTACACAAAGAAAGGGGCTATTTAATTACCTAGTGTTTACGGAAGGGAAAAAAAAAAAAAATGTTTAAAGAAACACTCTAGACACCATAAACACTTCGCGTTGACATGTTGATGACCTGTAGTCTCCTGGGGCTATTTCACTGTTCAATGTTAAATACTTTTTGATCAGTTTAATATTGAATGATGGTCCCTGAGCCCCACAGCATGGACCCTCTCTGCTGCTTAAGCTAATTGTACTGTGACAGTGTGATAGCTGAGAGCTGGTATGAATTGGGATATTTACAATCCACCTTAAACATACCTCAAGCGAGGGAAGGGGTAAACCCTAGGATCATTATTCAGTGATCAGGTATTTAAAATGGATGATGACAATGGGACGGTGACAGGGTTCTCCAGGCATCACAATCCCTTCAATGAGATGAAGTGTTTATGGTGGCCACACTATTCCTTTATGCATTCCAGATAGGAATATAAAAAGGACTTAATAGCTTTACAAAAAAATACAAAAAATACAAAACTGATTCTCCAACTCTGAACTAAACTTAATTTTTTTTTTTTAAAAATTAAAAATATAAAAAGTTACAAATAAGAAAAAAAAAGCAGGAAAAGGACTGTCTTATTCTAAATGAAAATTCATAGTTCATTGTATGTTTTTTTTTTTGGTTTTTTTCAACCACTGCTTGAGAAAGCTACAAACATTGACCGGAGTAAATTAAAAAAAATGTCTAAGCTAAAAAGAAATATACATATAAAAAAAATAAAAAGTTAATGCTAGCGACAAAATTCCCGTAATGAGCAGCCCATGTAAACCAGTGGCATCTTCCTTCTCCACTGTTGGCAGCGAGCGGCAGCAGTGAGTCGGGTAACAGAAGATATTACACAAAAAAAACAAACCTTCCAAGACGCGGCACAGCCTGAGCTGTCAGTCCGCTAAACAGAGGTTCATTCACAAACCCAGCCCTCCCCAAATGTTCCCTTTTTCTCCAGCCATTGTACGGCTTCCCTGCTAGGAGAGGGTCAGGACCTCTTGGTAACGTAATTCCAGTCGTGTTGTAGAGCTTGCAAAAAAATCCAAATCTCCCCCTTCCCCCACCCCATCATCCAAAGATCACAAACCTGTGAAAGATAGAGAGAGAGAAACCTGGTTAGAAACGTTATCTTCAACAAGAAAACAACAATATAAAGCAATTAAAGACTATAATTATATAGAATAATTTATATAAAATGTTATTGTACTATACACTACAAAACTCCAGAAATTAAAAAGCTATTACTAAATCACGTCTGAGAGAGCCATCTCTGATTTGACACCGCAAAAAAAACAAAACAAACGTATTTATTATTTACTTGTGTAATTATTAACACATCCTTCTTGAGTGGAAGAATAAGAGACTAAACATGATTAAGCTTTTTATACGAAGAGACAGATAATTTCTGCGTTTATACAGTTTGCTCAACATTTTGAAAACACAAAGATATTTATGGCTTTTTATAAGAAAGACTTTGTGGAAGTCATTGTAACAGCTCAGTGGGGCTTACTCAAGCTGGATTATAAATGATCCAAATAGGTTTAATTAAGAAACCATATGCGGCTTATAATGACCATGTGGAGACAGCCGCCATGTTAAACACTTGGATTGGGCATTGTCATGTGTTAATGGGAAGCAGGATAGATACAGTACCTAAATCATTGTTCAAAGAAATAAGAACTCCGTAACCTAATAAAAGTGAATATTGATGGATCATGACTTTCATGGCATTTCAGGTCACTTCAAAACGGACGCCATCATAGATTTTTATAAGGTCCATCTGAAGCCCAGGATCCAAATTTAGAGATTTCCATTATGGTATTTATGGTTTGTGATTAGAAACGTCCTGAATTAGCACACTTCGTCTGGCCTTACTTTATTCACTAAATATGTCGGAGGGTTTACTGTGATCCATTCACAATAGAAAAATTATCTAGGACACTGGAACAGCGTTTGACAATATTTCACAATACGTGCTGCACCCCCTCTTAATATGTGGTCAGAAACAATGTCAAAGGTCAGCCATCATCGGTCTTGATCCCAGGTGACTGCAACACTGGGTCAGATGGTGGCTAAGCATTATCTGGAGCATTAGCTTGCAAGACAGCCACTAGAGGTGGATATAACTTTGCAATGGAAACTATATAAAAAATATCAGTGTTTTGCATGTAGGGCAAGGAGGACCGAGACACTGCACCCGTGATATCAAATGGTCTATAGAGTCCCTGTAAGACAATTAGCATGACTCTTCCATAATGCACGTATTTCTGAAACTTTGACTAAGCAACAGCATTGGGTAAATATTATTCTAAAATCTGGATTTTGAAGAGAAACAGCAACATCATGCACACAAAAAGGACAGGCTAGGCTCCCCAATCACTATATTAATGAAGTTATTTTGGGGGATAGATGTAATAAACCATGTGCCTGCCATATAACCACAGTGATTTCCCATAAAAACACATTTGATGTGACAAGGCATGAATGTTGATCACGTCACAGTATGAGGATTGGGCTGTCTTGGTACTGGATTAGCCATAGTGTAAAAAGAATTGTGTAATATATTAAATCTACATAAAACAGTCCTTATACACTTCTTCCATTGCGCACAACTTACCAGATTTCTCATGGTTCCCTACTCCTTTCTCCTGAGCAAAATTTAGTCTATTCTGTTCTGCTGCAATGCTGTTGGCTTCAGGGCTGCTGCTCCGAGACGCGTTGGCAGTGTCAGATGGATTCATCTGGAAGGCTAGGTCGAGATGTTCCTGAGCCAACTTGAGGTGCTGCCGGAGTCTGTCAAGTTCATGCTGACCAGAATGCATCGTCGGCATCTCAAAAGCCTCAGCAGCTTCAACATGTGAGTACAGTTTTCCATTGGGCATCTTTCCTTTTTTCAATACAGAGTGGTAGTGTGGAGGAGCACTGGGGGATTTTTTGGCTAACTCTGCCTCCCGAGATGCTTGGCTCTTGGAACGGAGGGAGTCACGGATGCCACCAACGCCGAGATGAAACAGTTCACATATATTCAACAGAAGGCAGAGGCCACTGACAGCATACATGATGAGTAGGAAGATTGTCTTTTCAGTTGGTCGAGAGACAAAGCAATCCACAGTGTGAGGGCATGGACTCCGGGTACACACGTAGGATGGGATCACCTCGAACCCATACAATATATACTGTCCCATCAGGAAGCCAACTTCAAAGGCAGAGCGGAAAAGCAGTTGTAACACGTAGACCTTCATCAGGCCATCTTGCTTGATGCGACGGCGACCATCATGTTTCTTTTTATCATTATCTATATCTTTCTCTTGTTCCACCTCTTCACAGATCATGGGATCCTCCTCATTATTATCCTCTTTTTCCTCATAATCCCTCATAGCACCCCGGTGCACTACAGGGGCTCTCTTCTTGCGGCTCGCATTTTTTAACTGTTGCTGCTTGTATTGCTCTGGACGGCGAGCAATGCGGTGCATGGCAAAACCCAAGTACATTATCGATGGGGTAGTGATGAGGATAATCTGGAAGACCCAGAACCGGACGTGAGAGAGCGGTGCAAAGGCATCGTAGCACACATTCTCACACCCAGGCTGTTGCGTGTTACACACAAACTTGCTCTGTTCATCATAGTATATAGACTCCCCACCAACAGCGGTCAGGACAATTCGGAATATGATCAGGACAGTCAACCAAACCTTTCCCACAAAGGTAGAATGGTTGTTGATCTCTTCAAGGAGACGTGTTAAAAAACTCCAACTCATTCTGAGCCCCGATCAGCTCTGGAGAAAGAGGGAGAAAAAAAAAAAAAATCATTAGGAACAGCTTACAATTAGTCAAAGTAACCAGACAGAACATGTTAAAACAAACAGATGTGAGTGCTACTGAAAGGCTTGCATTTTTAAACATTGAATACATCAATTTCAAGAAAAATGAGGAAAAACTAAAAAAAACTAAAAAAAAAAAAATCTCCACCCCACAAAACAAACACATGTATTATTTAAAATCACTATTTAATGCATCAGTCAAGAAATGGTCAGTCTCACACTGACACCATTAGTAACACAATGCGTAACACGAAATGGGTCTCCAAGGAGTTTAAGCTGGGTATTTTAAACAAAATAATAATTATGACTCCGTTACAGCTCAGAGACTAAATAACAAATCCACAGGCATACTCACTAAACTGAACTGAAAAATGGAATAGCAACATGCAAGCCAAGTTAATTGGTTTTAAAATAAAAAATAAATTAAAGTAAAAAAGGATAAAACAAAAAACAACAACTGTTGAGTGGGGTAACACAAACATGTATTCCTGACCCTATAGTGTTAAAACCACCATCTAGCCCTCCTGGACCCCTCATGCCTCCATAAATATAGCAAAATCTTACTGTATTCAAGCCAGAAGCTGTAGATCTGCATGCAGTCTACTGACATCATTAGAAGTGGAGGCCTGATCCAGTCACAGCGTTTCCCCATAGGATTGGCTGAGACTGACAAACAGGCAGATCAGGGGCAGAGCCAGCACAATTCAAACACAGCCCTGGCCAATCAGCATCTCCTCATAAAGTTACATTGAATCAATTAATCTCTATGAGGAAAGTTCAGTGTCTGCATGCAGTGGGAGGAGACAGTGAATGTTTGGATGCATTTTAGGTAGCCATGACCCAGGAAGGATCTCTCACAGCCATCTGAGGAGTGGCCAGTGAAGTTATCACTCGGCTGTAATGTAAACACTGCATTTTCTCTAAAAAGACAGTGTTTACAGCAAAAAGCCTGAAGGTAATGCTTCTACTCACCAGAACAAATTCAATAAGCTGTAGTTGTTTTGGTGACTATAGTGTCCCTTTAATTAAAAAATAATGAACAGATTCCAATTTCACCAATTGTTACATCACCCTTCGGACCGAATTTCTGATCAGCGTCTTAACATGTTACCAGGTGTCTAGCAGACAGAGCGTATAACTTTTATTCCGCGTATACAGAGGAGCGCTAATAAATTGACTCGTTATCAAATTACCAGATTCTCAGTAACACTTCTTGCTATGATCACAATATCCACAGACCTTACAAACTGAAGTGTTGGAAAAAAAAAATAAAAAAATAAAAAAGCACATGGCCAACTAAGGAGAACACAAAACTTGTAAGGAAAGGCTTAAATTTAGCCCAGAATTAGAACATTAACGCTTTAATGCAAATATTAGAATGCATAGCACTAAAGGCAGAGTTATTTCTTTTCCATAGAGACTGACTCTGTAAATACGAACTAGCTGGCAGCGCAACCTGGTTGCGCAAAGTTATACAGCAGTTAGGAATGATATATAACATTAATGCAGATTTCAGAGGCAGATAGTCACGTTACATACTTCACATAGTTTGTTAGAGAGAAGTATATATAATATCAGGTTTAAAGGGGCTGCATGTACCATCATGTACCAGACACAGCTTTCCGTGGGCTCAGTGATGTGTTAATGCCAATGGATTGTAACCGAGTACCACGGGTTATCTCTCGGTATTCACAGACATAAGGGTTCTGTTAACAAGCACCAAATAAGCCCAGTCTGCACTGGATTACAAACGGTTAGATTGTTTCTTCAAATCCCAATGTTCCTTTGAGAAGGATATGCAGGGAGTGACCCATTTCCTCATTCGGGCGGTCGAGTCGGGGGCCTGGATTTACTGACCAGAGAAAAGATTAACTCTGTCAATGACGAAAGTAAGAAATGTTCCTAACGACTTAAACAATAACACGAATCTCTGGGGTCTAAGAATCCAGCAATTCAACCTCATAAAGTAAAACCTCCCACAGTAGGATTCACTCACAGAACGTTACGCTACCCGCAAATGGCTCCCATCATACCAGGAGCAGGTAATAGCGTGCAGTCACAGTCTAAAAGAAATCCTTAGGGATTTGAGTGGAAAGTGTTAGGAAATCGTGAAGGAATCTGACACGTGCAGAAAGCACGTCCATTGTGCAGTCCTGACAGCATTCCCTGTACGTGTGACAATTGTAAGGGACATGGCTCAAGAGCAAAGTGTCAATAAGGTTTTTATAGTGCCAGCAGCGTTTACGCTGCCTACATACAGTACAGTAGGTCTGTAAAGAAACACTCCAAGCATCATAACCACTACATACCTTGTATCATGCCACCTCCCCCCACCCCATAACAATTGAAGCCATTTAAGAAAGGTTTGACAATTTACCTTGGATCCTGCCAGCAGGGCCGGCGAGTCCATAAGGCGGCACAGGCGGCCGCCTTAGGGCGCACGGGCTCTGGGGGCGCAATATTTCAGTGACCGGCAGGAGGGAAGCTCTCCCTCCTGCCCGGCCACCATCTCGACCCCCGGCGCAGCGCGCGGCAGTGCTGTGATCAGGCGCGCGAGGGAGCTCTAATCTCCACCCTCTGCTCCCTCGCGCGCTGCCTACTGATGCCGCGGGAGCCGGAACATGACGTCATCAGTAGGCAGCCCGCGAGGGAGCAGAGGGTGGAGATTAGAGCTCCCTCGCGCGCCTGATCACAGCACTGCCGCACGCCGCCCAGCAACCCCAGGGACCGATCCAGCATCCACACCAGCTCTCCAGGTAGGGAGGCTGTGTGGAAAATGTTTATTTATAAAATTATTAGTGAATGTATGTGATGAGTGTCTGTGCGCGACAGCATGTGTGTCTGTGCGCGACAGCATGTGTGTCTGTGCGCGACAGCATGTGTGTGTCTGTGCGCGACAGCATGTGTGTCTGTGCGCGACAGCATGTGTGTCTGTGCGCGACAGCATGTGTGTCTGTGCGGGACAGCATGTGTGTCTGTGCGGGACAGCATGTGTGTCTGTGCGGGACAGCATGTGTGTCTGTGAGGGACAGCATGTGTGTCTGTGAGGGACAGCATGTGTGTCTGTGAGGGACAGCATGTGTGTCTGTGAGGGACAGCATGTGTGTCTGTGAGGGACAGCATGTGTGTCTGAGTGACTGAGTGTGTGTGTGTGAGTGAGTGATTGTATGAGTGTGTGTGTGTCTGAGTGACTGAGCGTGTCTGTGAGTGACAGTGTGTGTGTGTGTGTGTCTGTGAGTGACAGTGTGTGTGTGTGTGTGTCTGTGAGTGAATGTGTGCTTCGGTGTGTGTCTGTGAGTGACAGTGTGTGTTTGTGAGTGAGTGACTGTCTGTGTGTCTGTGAGTGATTGTATGAGTGTGTGTGCATGTGAGTGTATGAGTGTGTCTGTCAGTGTATGATGAGTGTGTGTGTCAAATCAGTGAGAGTATGTTTGTCATTGAGTCTGTGTGTGACTATCAGTGTGTCTGTCAATGAGTGTCAATCAGTGTGGGTCTGTCAGTGTCAATGAATGAGTGTGTGTCAGATCAATGAGTCTGTGTCTGTCAGTGACGTCTGTGTGTTTGTCATTGAGTGTGTGACTGTCAGTGTGTACAGAGTGTAGTGGAGCAGAGCGCGGTACAGGAGCTTCTGTTTCCTGTACCTGGCCAGACTGACAGGAGGTGCTCACAGAGAGAGCACTCCCTGTCAGTCCGTCCGGGTACAGAAAACTGAAGCTCCTTTAGGGGATCTGCTCCGCTCGGCAATGCAACAATAGAGGTAGGAGGCACACACCAGGAAGTGTGACCACTAAAGGGGTGGGGGGTGCACCAAGGGACAGGGAGGGAATGGGAGAGAAACACCAAGAGACAGGGAAAAAAGGGGGGAGGGGGAAAGGGGGGAAGAACACTAAGGGACAGGGAACGGAAGGGACCACTAATGGTCGGGGAGGGGAGAGGGGCTGGTTAAGAGGCACATAGGTGAAGATTTTGGGGGGGGGGGGGGGGCGGAAAAATGCATCTTCGCCTATGTACCTAAAAATCCAAGCACCGGCCCTGCCTGCCAGGCACGACCAACTACTTGCAAAAGAATAATAAGCGCTCTCTTCTCAGGGGTGAGCAGCAGTTCACCAACAAGGTGTTCCTCTACCTTGTGATAAATAGACCAACTACTTCCCTGCACTAATCAAAGGGCTGTAGTGGTGCTTGGCGTTTTTTTTGTTTTTTTTTTAAAAAAGGTCTACAAATTTACGGTAAACCCCTCAAAAACACCACACCTGAAATTCTGAATTCTTCAACAGCAGCACTTACCTGCCCACGGCTTTATAGAAAAAAAAAAAAAAACACATAAAAACCCCCATAGAATTAATAGAAAGGGGCTTTTTACACCAGTATTAAGTATATTCCTGTATGTCACACCTATATTATACCTTTAAATTGTAATATAGTAACAGTTTTCCGTCACGGAAACTAGATCATTAAACAGGACCTTAAAAATCACCTTTAACTTAAGCCAAAAAACCTGTTCAGTTTCTTTTAGCGTTATCAGGGTTCACAATTTCCACTCATCACCAGCCATTGGCAAGTGAAAATGTATCCCTGGCGAGTGTGCCACGGACCATCCAGGTTGGCAGTACATTTTATGGCCTGGCTAGCACAGGTGGATTTGAACCCAAAAAAAAAAAAAAAAAGGGTCTTGTTTACTGAAAGTGGGACTGTCCCCATGGAAACCAGCAGGCACATAGCATTAGTAACTGGACCCCTTTTACATATTTGCACTATTTTCCAAACAGACTTTTTATACATAACCCCCATTCCGGTGTGTGCTCTCTCTATACCAACTACCAGGTGTAAGGCCAGAGTGAATAACAATGACTGACAGGGAGCCAAGATGGAGGCGCCCAGTACCAGAGCTAAATATGACAGTGTGGATTTCTACATTCGCTTTTTAGATCTTACACATTTGTTAAAGGAAGGGGATTAATAACCGCTAAAAGTGGCTGTTGACGTGACTGGCTCCCCTCTATTAAAATTGTTATTTTACTCCCCTTCTCACACACTGAACCAGTTTTGCAGCGTCTGGTACTGCTTTCGTGGCTGAGATCAATCTTGACGATTTCAGCCAGCCTAATGCTTTCCCTCAGGAAAGAATTGAGATGCTACTATGCATGCGCTGAAAGAGGTGAAGTTGCAACAATCCGCATGTTCTCATAGAGATGCATTTAATCAATGCATCAGTGTCTCCATGCAGAGCGTACACTGTTCAGCATTGAGATAGGTAACACCTCTAGTGGTTTACATTGCAGGGACATCCTATAGCCACCAGAAACTACATGGAAGGCTCTCTCCCTCATTAGAGGCCAAATAAACTCCTGACATCACCAATTACAGCAGACAGTCATTGATTAATTATGGGATGGACATAGTAGGACTCAAATAAATATAAGTGGCCGCTAGGCATCATTGCTTCCCAGCATGGAAATAAGGGCTTAGTCTCAAGTATGGTGGTGGTGTGTACAGAAATGGTTTGGATTAAAACAATTGAAACTCATTCTACAACAATACAGTGTTACTTGGCAACCAAGCTTGCAGCAAAACAATTGCAGTGGCTTCCTTAGAAAGACGGAAGCATTAGGGCAGTAAGAGTTCCCGGCGGTCAGAAATTCCTCTGTATGTTGGTGTGCCCCACCCTCCCCACCCCTATAAAAAGGAGGAGGGAAAAACGTAAAAAAAAAAAAAAAAAAAAAATTAAATTGCAGTTTGGTGCCAATATTGAACAGAATTGACATTAACCAACCACAACTAATGGCGCTGACGCAGGTGGCGTTACCTCTGTCAGCTAAAGGGTGAATCTTTGAATGTGCAGCCTTCATTGCTAAACACTTCACATGCAAATTCCAGGCAGGCACCATGACCACTTCAAATAACTGAATTCATGGTGCTTCTAGTAATCCTTTAACCAATTTCAGGTAGAATCTTAGAATATGTATCCTAGAAGCTGTAGTAAAGGACAACCCGCCACCCCAAACAATATTTTGAGTTCGATCCTTCATAGCTGCGCTGAATTTATGGGGATACATTTAAAAAAAAAAAAACAAAAAAAAAAAAAAAAAAAAAAAAGAGGGGGAGTCATTAGGGCATCTTTAGCAGGTACTAAAACTCTTTATTTAGCCCAGGGGTTCTCAACGTTAGTCCTCAGGACCCCCTACCAGTCCAGGGTTTAGGGATTACCTGGGTGTGTCTAAGGTGTTTAGAAAAAAAAAAAAAACACCTTAGAGTCTAAGGTGTTTTTTCCCCTTTTTCTAAACACCTGAGACACACCCAGGTAATCCCCAAATCCTGGACTGGTAGGGGGTCCTGAGGACTAACGTTGAGAACCCCTGATTTAGCCATTTGTGAAGCTGTCACCTCCAATCCATCAATCTTCATGTAAAACACCTTATAACACCCTGAATTAAAACATTCTTCACTATGCCCTAAAAACACACCACACTTAAAAAAGTCACAGTAACTCCTTAGAACACCCACTGGATGAGTTGTTTGGCTTGCTGCACCGCACCTTAGAATAAGCAAGTCCACACTGGGTCTTGGCTTACAACATGGGCTGGGGAATTCCTAGCAACCAATTTCCGTGACACGTAAATGTGGAAGCCAGGCAGGTAGATATTTTGGGGTTTTCAGCCTTACTGCAAGAGAGCATGGGAGAAGGGGTCAGGGAGTGTGTAGACTGCAGCTCTGTCACCGCTTCCTTGCATTCTGGAATGCACTGAGGTGCCAGAGCACAGGATGGCAATACTCGCAGCTACACTGACTCACTGAGCACGGTGGTTCATTTGCCATCACTAACTCTCTCATCCAAATCAAGAAACAGAGCCAAAACGTTGTGACTCCAGTTGGAGGTTCTTTTTTAACCCTGTTTCACTGCTTTAGTCCCTTTGTAAATATGCACATAGAATTGGAAGAATTGTTCCTCACAGCAGTTTTTTCCAGCCAGCCAGTTTGGGCCTAAAATGTGCTGTTCTCCTGTCAACTCTCCACAATTCTGTTTAGTCAACAGCTTCAGTAAGATTTAAAGGGACAGTTTAGGGACCATAAAAGCTTTTCTAAATCAAGTTATGATTCCCTATGCTGCCAGAAGCTGCTGGGCACACACCAAGTTACCTCCAGTGCAGTTTTCAAACTAAACCCCCCTGCGGCATTCAGCTTCTGAAATAGCAGTGCCGCCGGGCAGGGATTTTGCTGATTGGCTGAGATGAAGTTGTTATGGTGCCTGGAGTGTTTCTTTAATGCATACCGTATACATGCAGTCTAGGCTACAGTATTTAGGTCTTTTTATAATTAGAAAACGCTGCAGTATAGTTTGGCGCTATATTAATATTAATAAGATCCTGCCCTCTTCCCCCCGGCTTTATAGCAGTACCTCCAGACTCAAGGAGACCACCTCGTCCTTCCCAACATTTATATGGTGTCCCATTGAAGGAACACTACAAGCACCATAACCACTACTTCACTAAACCACTTCCACAGATATTGGCAGTTCAATTCTGGTTTGCCATCTTACAATAGATTGGAGTGCCTCTTAGACACCCCTAATCAGGTATATAATGAAGCTTTATAGACCACATCTGGCAGGGATGGAGAAACTATTTTTTCCCCCCTCCCACAGAGATTCTCACTTTCGCATTATTACAACATTTACTTATGGAAAATAAGAATACTTGTTATAAGAGACATTGTAACATGCAGCAACTCACTAAAATGGCATGTTTAGCAACGCACTTCCTGTCTCTGCCGCACGCCAGTTCCATGCATTGCTACGTGGATGGCGTGAAACCCAGACAAAATATTATGCTTACAACATTATTGGCAGATAACCAAAATGAAAATCTGGAATGGTTTTGGAAGACAAATATAGACATTTCAATTCGGAAACAAGGCTCAAGTTATTTAGAGGAATCAGATCTGTACCATTACACAGAACATGAACAAACGTTTAAATCCACCCCCAAAACTATAATATATGCAGGAGAACTGGATGGAGAGGGCATGCCTTTGTTCCTTTCAAGCTTATTATTAAAAGGAGAAAGGAGTGGACGTTATAGATGCAGTGTCATCGACTGGCAGGAGCTGTTTGGGCAAAATAACCACTAATTGGTTATTGTGCTACAAGGTCGCAGGACATCAAATGGTTTGACAAAGAACTGGTGCAGCCTAACAGTAAAAGAAACAGTACAATGTCACACAGTGGTTATGGTACTTAGACTGCCCATTCTAAGAGTTATTTGCATCATGATATAGGAAGGCTTAACATTTCAATTCCTACGCTAGTTAACCGGTCTTATTTTCTACTGGAGCCTGAAGGGACAATGTCACAATCACCAGGAGGAAATTTTCGCTTGCTATTAGCTGGAGGAAGTTTGGGGCCCTGTCACATGGTATAGGAAGTTATAAAATATATTCAGCAGTCTTTACGGACTGTATATAAACCTGGACTTCCTCGCAGCACAAATTGTACATTTATAAGGCGGATCAGATAAACATTGTCTCTTTGCTTCACAATGGGATGCTGGGAGTTAAATGGCGAATCCAGTAAAACCTCAGAAATTACATAAAATTTCCACAACAAAACACAAAACAGTCAGATCAACAGGTGAAATTACAGCTAAACTTAGTACAGCCTAGTTTTAGGAATATAGTATTTATGGGATTCCCGACTGCCAGGTTTGGCCAATGATATAATAAATACAGTTATTGAAACGCACTCAAGATTCACATTAACTCCCCCAAAAATCTAATTGTCAAGGAAGCAATTAAACAGATACTGTAGGCACCCAGACCACTCTAGATAATCAAAGTGGTTAGGACTAGCTGCCGTGTCCCCTTTGCACTCAGTGCTACAATGTTAAACTGAAATGTTTACACTGCATCACTAAGTCTGCCTCCAGTGGCCGTCTACCAGAGAGCCACTGGAGGCGCTTCCTGCAAACAAACAGACCGTGGGTCCTGTAACTGACGCTTGACGTCCTCACGCTCTGCAGGAGGACATCCAGCATCAGATTTATCCCCATAGGAAAGCATGGATTCAATGATTTGCTATGGGGAGGTCGAACGAGTTTGTGACATTCGCTGAGAGAGGGAGGAGTGCCAAGGGACATTTTTTTTGCAGGGAATGCTCCAGTTCCTTTTAAATATATTACAAATTTAGCAGATGACATGAGAACCCAGTTAAATCCAAGGCTCAGCCATTGCAAAGTTGGAGAGACCAACATGGTTTAATGTCTCCATCGCTCTCGATGTGCTGACTGCCAGCTGCAAGGGACAGACTTTATCATAATGATTGACATGGAGCCAAGATGGCAGCGCCCAGTTACTCAAAAAAAGAGATGTGGATTTCCACATTTAATTTATTTGGTTTACCCCTATCGAAACATAAGGGAAAAACAAACATTACAAGTTATTGAACTTACAGCTCTCTTTTACTTTAAAAAGGGCTCAACAGGCACTCAGAACACTTCAAAAGGTCCATGCTCCCATCATTTACTATGGGGGTGGGGGGGGATTTCTATATTTACGTAAAAACTATAGCATTAGGAGTACGTTTGTATTCCAAATGCTACAATGTTAAAAAAAAAAAAAAAATTAAAAAGAAGCTAAATGGTTATTTAAAATCCAGTACAATGAACCATCGCCCCTGTTGGTGTTTACATTAAGATTGCGGTAACTAGGAGTGTGAATGTGCCACAGAGCAAACATGCCAAAACATCACATCTGGTTTAACTGGTTGATACAGAGAGGAAGTTCTCATCCCACACATTGAGAGCAAGCTAAACAATGGCAGATATCACCTTTATAAGCCCTGTGTTCCAATGTATTAAACACAGCAGGGAGGGGAGCGCGGTGATACAGCTGTGAAAGTTGTCACGCAGGCACACAGTCTATAGGCCATTATTTCACGCTAACTTGGTTGCCATCAAATAGCTCAACATCTCCGGAGAACAAGTTAAAATTTAATTCCACATGTAATGTATCCGTTGTACAGAAACATGTGGGGGCAATGTATGTATAAAAAAAAGAAAAACATTGAACTTCTAGCCTTTATATATTTGATCATGAAATCCTGTAACAATGTTTATTGGAAGTAAACAGCCTTGCATTAAATTTAAATTTTTTAGAAATACTCACAAAAGCAAACATGCACCTTTAGATTGTAAGCTCACAGGCTATCTAACTAGGCACTTTGTATAATAGAGCTTTAACAGCTGGATCTCCGCTCACAGGCTGGGCCCTCTTCACCTTTTGTATTTGTCTGTATATATTTTACGCTATTTTTCCTCCCCAATTGTACAGCGCTGCGGAATACATTGGTGCTTTAAAAATTAGGACGATAATAATGGTGGTTTTTGCCTGCAGCATTTGCAAGTCCTCCCATCTTTTCCTGACACAGGACCTTCAGTCTGAGACTGGATAATGACCAGAGATCTCTCAATCAGACCCGTAATCACGCACATGTAACTTTCCAATGTGGGGAAGAGAAGCACGCACTCTTGCCCAGCACACCTGCAACTTTTTTAAAGCTCCACAGAAGCAGGATCGGTTTCAGAATGCACTTAAAGTGCCGATTTCAATTTATAAATTGTGCAAACAATTAAGTGCTTTGTGTCTCTGAAGTGCTACTTTGAACGAACAGTCAGGGGACCATAACAATTTCATACAAATAAAGTTATCATGGTGCCAGGAGGTATCTTTCTCATGCTGTTTGTATGTATAGGGAGCTACGGATTGGCTTAGAGTTTCATCAGTGGTGGCCTTCCAGGTGGCATTCCTTTGCTCCACCTAGCTGATTTTGTGAAAGTGGATTTGGACAGCCAGCAACGGCTGAGAGCCAACTTTGGGGCTCAACATCTCGTGAACAGTTTAACCCCTAGAGATAACGAAGCACAAGAAACCTCCTGGCACTATAACAACTTCATTTTGATGAAGTTGCTATGGAACCCTGACAGTTCCTTTAAGCTGAAATCAGTTGTTTATGCGTTAAAGTCTATTTTATTGGGTAATTACAGCTCCATTTAAAAGGTATCATGAAAGCATCATACTGCAGTCAAATGAATGCAAGGAAGTCCTGTCATAAGGGCATCTCCTGAACATGAATTCCACTCGATCTTCATAAAACATTAGATGTTTGCCAGAAGTTGCTATTAATAGTTAGCAGCTCAATTCGTGTTTGTGGTTTAAAGTACTCTGTATTTTATGAAACTCACTGAGCTCCACTAAACATGGTTGTACTGCACCTCGCATTACCCTCTGTGTAGCATGGTGCGCACAGTAGATCACACAAGGTGCACACAGTATAGAAGCGTATATAACTCATTGAAAACAGTGGAAGTGACCCTAGCCACATTACGGTTTCTGCAGAAGCAGCACATCTTGGGCATTGGCTGCAAACAAGGGACATTTTCCGGTAGCTTTAGGTCTTGCTTATTTATCTGCATTAAAAAAAAAACAAAAAAAAACTGAGAGGCACCAGTTCTAGTCCAGCCGTGCGTCCAGTTAGTTTCTCCAACAAAGTTTATTAAGATTATTTAACTAAACTGTGGAAAGAATACAACAGTTTGACGCTATACCTTGTCCATTTCTGTACCTGTGCGTGTGACCTCAGGAATTTCATTACCTGAGGCTTGAAAATAAGTTTGTCTGCAGCACATAGAAAGCATACATCTGGCAGCAGCTCACGAATTCCACTAAAAATCTCTATTTTTGTCCCTCTGCCAAATACACGACAGTAAAGATTCAGGAGAGTGTGGGGCTTATTCAGTAAAATCGTATTAGGTACCAAGCACTCTAGTAAAGGCGATTGAAATGCAAACAAACATTCACTAGTGGAAGCATGTAATAGTACATTGATAACTCTATACCTACCACTATCAAAGCGAGACTAAACTCAGGTTTGTGGGATTGGTAGTTAAATACACAGCAGCATAATTTGTCCAAATGCATGAATGAAAAACTACTGTAAACGGTTTGTTTAGAACAGAGCTCGTCCTTGGACGTCGGAGGCTCGGTCATAGAAGTTCATGAGGAAGCCTGAAGAGTCATTCACTGCCCCTCATGGCTTGAAAATATTACCATATTTTTACAGAAATTACAGAAGTAAAATTCTTTATTATCTAGGTGGCAGTAAAGAGGCGAGACCAAGTATTTGTTAAACTGCCCAGGCACTGGTTTAAAAAAAACCCAAAACCTAAATCTGAGGGATTTCCCACAAACACTCCTGTAGCATAACCATGACAATAAGTTGCACTGTTTATAGTGCTTAACGTGTCAAGGAGAAGAATCCTCTAAAATCCAAAGAGACGGGTACAGAAGATGTAAAATAAGGGTCATTATCATGTAAGTGTATTTAAAACCCAAATTGGGAGCGTCTTCAAACTTCACAAGGAAATCCGCAGATTTTGTTACTTAACACAGTATCTAAATTTAGGCTTTTGTAGCTAGACCACATGGGGTGGCTATAATAAAAAAAACTAATTTAAACCTCAACAAAAGCCACCAGCCACATCTAACAGGACAAATATTACCGGAGCAAATGCTACTGTCTGGTTAGTTTTAAACAGAAAATTCCACATCCAGAGTCGTTCTCTATCCTGTTGGAAGGAGACGGTGAAAACAGTTGGTCCTACACCCTTGGAGACAAAACCCATAAAGGAGGAGGGATATTAACATCTTAAAGAAAGGTGGGAAACTTAAAGAACAGGCAAATGGTAAGCAATGATCACAAACAACAATGAAAACACAAGGTTTTGGAAAAACAAAAATGCAGCTTAGAGACAGCATGAAACCACAGCTCTTCAACAGCTGGGGGAGAGGGGGGGAATCTACCTTTTGGGCATCCCCGCTACAAAGTAACAGCTGGATAGAGGATTCATTATTAGCATACAGATCATGTCTGCCCGTCACAATCGGCTCAAAAAGACTTTGCATTTTAACATCAGAACTCTGACATAATGGTGAAATAAAACCGTGTTATAAAATCAAACATTAATTAGAACGTGAAACTTTCCAAACGGCCTCTAAATTTCACCTGATACAACAGTATCCGAATAATATTTAATTTATCACTAAACACACAATAACTGGTGATAAAACAAAAAGTCTCCTTGACAGTCTGGAGTGAACCTATACATGCATTGGCCACATCTCAGGCATATAAATCGTTTGTGAAGTCGAACTGTCACTTCTCTGAAAGTTAAACTGAAGACTTTGTGCCATGGATACAGTGAAGATTTCTGGTGCAGATACCAGACAAATTGTAGAGTACGGCTTCTTCGGTTTTCCAATCTTCCTACAGGCATGTGTCCTATTTACCAGCGTCTGGACTGAATGGAGTACCATTTTACTCAATTATTCACACTTCTCGGAGAGTGACAGTTCCACCTTCGCTCATCCCAATAAACATAGTATCAAGTCTTTACTAGATAACACAGCGATAAAAAAATACATTTACCTCCACAACATGTCAATGCCCAAAGTGAAACTATTTCTCAAATACCTGCTAGGGCGTCTGGATAAAACGCCCGAGCGTACATGCTCACTAAATACTTTTTTTTTTTTTAAATGCAAATTGTCATACGTGCGCAAAAAGATGTGGAGTTAAATAAAATTTACAAGGTTTGCCTGACTATGCTATTGCAGACAGGCAAACAAAGCAAGTTATTTTAGAATATAAAAAATAAAATGGTTTTGATAGTTACAGTAAAATAAATAGCATAGTCTACAGTGAACTTTTAATTATCTAGCTGAACCCAACTCCCACAAGTGACCGTTCATTCTCTTTAAACCACAGCAAAACAGAAAAGATTGCCAATCTGTCTGGTGGTAGCCACTGGCCACATTTATGTACCCCCACTCAATTACTAATGTCCGCCTAAGTAGTGGTGATTCAGCAGTGAGGTTCTAACTATTAAAGTGAACATGACTTCTCACCAAGAAACTTGAATAGGTGATCTGGCTAGGGTCCCTTTTCTTAATTCCATTAAAAATAAATAGAAAATAAAATCCGTTAAATGGTGCAGGGTGTAGCAAGTCATCAAATAGCGCAAAAGAGATGATCCACACTGAAACACACAGACAAAAAGATCAAGGAGTCTTAGAGTACATGCCATTTTATCATCAGACAATGAGTTACTTTGTTTAGCCGTGAAGAATAGCGTAATTAATGACTGGCACAGGATCAAGGGAACTCCAGATTCGGAGAAGCACCTGGGATGCAGGATTCAGGAGCCCCGTTGGACTAATCATGACATAGCATTGGACTCAAAAGCATTTCTACAATCAGGTATGCTTAAAGAGAGAATGTAATCACTGTATCATCATATTGAAGTGGTTATAGTGCCTGGAGTCCCCTGGTTCCACTCTTCCATGCATTGTTAAACTGTTTCTATATGTTTTAATACTAAATAAAAGTCCCCAGCGGCCAATCCCCAATGTGTTGCTTGGGTTAATGAGGAAGCAATGGGAGGCTGTGATGTCAGTATCAACTGACCTCTTTCAGCCTATGAGAAGGCCATACTATTGGTATGGCTAGAAGGAAGTGTGTAATCTCTGCCTTAGCCACCACACCGGTTGGGGCCGGACTGCATGCAGCCAGGGACCCTCATTTAGTGCTAAACTGCTCAAAAATGGTTTAACACTGAATGGAGGGACAGTGCCGGGGGACTTCAGTCACTATAATCAAATTCAAGGAGATGAAATGCTTATAGTGCATACAATACCCCTTTAAGGACTTCAAATCTCACTATACGCAAGAGTTATTCTCTACATTTTATTTTTAGTGAATACTCAAAGTAATTTGCTTATTAGCCACCACACATTGAGTCAATCAAGTTGGGACAGACTGGAATTTAGTGAATAAGCCCTTTACAAGCTCACATTAAAGATATTTTAACTATTTATTTATAACATATTTTACCAGGAAAGATACATTGAGATTTCTCTCGTTTTCAAGTATGTCCTGGGTCCACAAATCATTGCATTGTTACATTAGGGTACAACAAAATACAAAAACAATATTAATACACAATATATACAAAATTTAACATAAAACAGGCAGGAAATATATAATCAACCATGACAGGTGAATTCTGTTTTGAGGTATGTAGAGAGGGATCTCTTAAATGACTTTAGGTTAAGGGATTCCGTAACAATGATGGTGCAAAATGATAAGCTACAAAGAACACATTCACACAGAGATGTGTAACATTTAGAAAACATGCACATCTTGCTATTTTCAGTTCTGCATTTAAAGGTCCATCACCAGTCTGAACTGCCTTTTACTGACCTCGATTAACTCTTATTTAAACTCGAGTGCAGAGGGCACGCTGTACACACTGAGCATCGTTGGTTACAATAATTTAAGGTAAACGTGACCTGACAGCATTTTTAAAAAGTTTTGATGAAAGTTACCTAAGCAGGTCTGGTTGTTAAGAGGTGCGATGAAATATTTTGGTAGCCTGGAGGCACGGAATTTAAAGAACTGAAGAAAAGAAATAACGCAAAAAGAATGTCCTGTGGTGACAGAGGAGGGGTGATCAAGGAAAGGGGGGAGGGGGAGGTAAGAGGAAGGGTTAGAGGTGGCATCTGAGAGTATTTTACACAAATATACAAGCACAAAGCCAGTATTGAAAGAAACTCTAGGCTAGTGGTATACAATGCATTCAGAGGCAATGAGCGCCTGGGCAGAAGAACTTGCAATCTACTTAACATGATTAAGCAAAGTAAAATAGAACCCCCTTCATCATCCAATGCACTAGGCTTGGCTGGTTAGTTATGATGGGAGTTGTACTGTGCAGTTGTTCGAATGATAATTTTGTGCTAATTGGTTTCAAGATTTGCTATACCGTACCTCCCAACCATCCTGGGTTTGCAAAGTTCCGAGTGTCTTGGCACCCTGCCCCAACCACAGCGTTAAACACGGATTGCAAATTGATGTTTAATGTTTGGGTCAATGTTCCACTATCAATGGGCAGCATGTGAAACTGTTTGGAGAAGTTCTCTATGCTACACATCACAAACTCCTGCTAAGGTCACAGTGTTTTGACCACTTTAGGTCTTCTAGACAATGTCAATATTAGCTGGATCATTAACATCCCTATAAGGCAGCATTACCTAATCACCAACAATGAAAACCTGTCACCCAGGTCAGGTGTTTCTCCTGCTCATTAAAGAAGGACTGCAGGTAAGAGCGAGGCCAAGTGCAAAGTCAGATTAAAGGTATTAAAGGTACAGTGAGATGGAAAGTAAAAGGTGAGGAAAGTGATTTTATGGTCTTGCAGTCAAGTTTAATCCACAATTTGTTTTTTTTTTAAATTGCAACATAATGACTTTTTAAAATCATTTCCAATATACGGAGACCCATGGGTTTCAAAATCTATCACTATAATGATTCTTAGCTGACAAACTAAATCACATTTTATCTAAAAACGACTGAAAAAAAAAATATATATATATATAAATAATAATAAAAACATTTTTAAAAAAAGTTTCCAGCTCAGCAGTTTTTTTTGTCCAGGCCGGGGTTTTTTTCGTTCACTCCCATAAAAATGCTACCAGCAGCCAATCTCAAAACAAATTACATGAAAAGAGCGCCAACATATTCTGTAGCGCTGAATTGCTACTACCCAAAATACTAAATATCAGAAGTGATGCAATGCCGAGATAAAATGACGACCTCTAAAAACTTAAATTATACAGAATTTGAACTCTTCTAGAACATCCCCATTTGTGACTTTTATATTATTTACCAAAACCCCCATAAATATATTTTACACAAGACTCTGGTGCTTCGAGAGTTCAGACATACTAGCAGGACATTGATAATTCAGAATTTGGAAGGACAATATAGCTTTGTAAGAATTAGACATGGGCTAAATTATTAATATCAAAACAGCCCATATGTCAGCCAAGTCCCCAATGACATCCCAGGTACACAAAGAGAACCCCCTCAAAACCTTACTCCATATGCGGACAAGATATGATGTACCCAAACCCAGGGGTAACCAGCTGGGCAGCTCAAAATAATCATTTAAAGACTGGGTTCAATGCAGATCGGGTTATTTGGTGCTGTAGAACATGCTAAAAATGGAAAATAATATTGCTTTATATTTACCAACAATATGTGCTAATTCTTCTGCAAAGTGCTGGCTGTTGAGCAGCCACCATGGAAACCAAAATAATGTATCAACTTTAGCTCTGTCACAGAACTGTACCTGATACACACTGCCCTGCCTGTATAAGTGTGGTTGGGCAGAGAAGGACCAAGTACGTCACCAAAACTACTACAAAGACTAGAATAAAATGGGTATTACAGGTTAGGAGAATTTTGGGTGCACGCTTTATAAGTACCTTCAGGGATATTTCTATTTATTATCCCACTGACAAGCTGTACAGTGCACTAGTATATGTTGTGAATTAATATAAAATACAATATTAATAAGAGATAGTGGCAGAATATTCTGCTAGATAATGATATAGATTACCAGGGGTGTCATATGATCATGGGGGGGGGGGGGAAGAAGCTATAGTGTACTGTATCTAGTACTTTATTTCATTTTAAACAAATGAACTCACAACTAAAATATTAAAAAGGTGCAATTCACATTTTCTATCACAAGGGTATATAAATGGTGATAGGGGAGTAGGACAAAGCTGCCTAGTTCCGAAGTCACGCACTGACTACTCTTTTATTTAAATAACAAAAAGTACAACATCCCCAGTAGAGCCATCACTTAATGCAAAGTTGCACCCCAGCAAGGAAAGAAGCCTGCCTCCCACTCCCAGCTCTGGATTCAGGAAACAACTACTACTTTTCCCCATTAGGAAATAAATCAGGTTAAAAGTAAACAAGCTATCTGAGAGTTACCGCAGCAGTTAAAGGTACACAGAAGCGTACAACGCCACACTCACTTACCTGACTCTGACTCACTGTTTGTTCACCTCCCTCTGGCTACGTCGGCGATACAAGCGCCAATTCTGAACTGAGACAAAGGCAGCATGGGCTATCACGTGACTAAGCCATCCCGGGTTACTGGGGGATGGGGAGGGGTTATTTAATACATGCTGGTCCTCCCTCCCACCAAGTTTGGGATTTAGACAAAAGCAGGTCCTTCCCCCTCCTGTGATCTTTCTGGTTTTTGTCAAGCACCCATTCAGAAAGTCTGAAACACAAATCCTCCCAAGAGCTAGCAATCTTCTTGGTTCCTTAACAATGCCCTGCTATTAAACATCACCAACACAGGCCAATGCCATGTACACAGTCAGATGGATAGGACCCAAAGAGCTCCTTTAAATTGCAATGATTTAAAAACATCAGAAGGTGTATTGAAATCACATACTGGGGCTTACTCACTAAAGAGTGAACTGGCAGAAATTAAAAAGTGATTATTTTTTTTCTAATTCTCCTATTGCCTCCTAAACTACAATAAATGCGTTTAGAACTCAGTCTTTAAATAATGTTGTTCTTGTTCTAAATTACATTTCAGTTGCATAAATTATTAGTAATTCACCTAAGGTTTCTCAGAACAGCCCCACCCCTGGCCAAACCCTCCAAAATTAAAGTGTCCCTCTTTGTCCATTTGTTGGGAGGTGTGCAAAGATATACCCAACCCCCACTAAAGGCTGGAAAAGCATGATAGGAGTTGCACTTCTATAATAACCACTGTGACTTTGTGTGTGCCTTTTTAATTCACCCTCTCCCACCACACTGAAAAATGGCAGATACATATTTTTGAGAAGTTCCAAATCTATAGTTTAAAACACATCTTTTATAAAATGGGAGTTGTAGCAGTAATTATACAGAGGATTACCAATCCCTGAATGTCTCTTACATCTGTTACTTCGATTACAAAGGAGCAATTATGGGATAGAGGAAAAGCATTATAACAAAGGAAATCTACACTATCTGAAATCAGAAACATTGCAAAAATATATAAATTAATTAAAACAACCTGCAGTTCATCTAAAATCTAACAATTTTGGATGAAAAATTTAATCTGATAAACTTGATAACAAAATGTGAAATGCACTTTTTATCCCAGTGTAATACCATACTCCTTCTGTTTATTAATTTATTCTCTGTTATTACTCTTTTTTTCTACCTGCAGCCTCCCTCCTTTTTTCCAAAAAACAAAAACACCCCTACTCCCAGCCCCCCACTTTATGCCTAAACACCCCTCCCCCTGCTTGCCCCCCTTAGCCATACCCTGCCACTTCCTGGGGCCTCTAAACCTGAAATCTTAAACCTGCAAAAAAAAAGAGAGGGAACTCAGGGTAGAAAGGCGCTATAGAGCACCCAGGGACTCGGACAATGTACGTTTTGTAAGCTGTTAACACTATAGTTGCCAGTGTGTTTTGCAATTCCCTGCACACAGTTATGAGTGGCACACTTGGTCACACACTCCTGTAAACTTAGAAAGATATTAGCTAAATGGAGAGAGCATGGATTACAACATTTAGATCAAAATAGAAGAGTTGGGAAAAAAATAAAATCTCTCGATAACGTTTTCTAAATAGACTTCAAACTATGGCATCATCGTCTGGGCAGACTGGTGCTTTTAATTTTGAAAGTGCTCCTCCTACCAACGTCAAAAACAAACGACACGTTTTCTATTATCGACAAAGTGTCAGGATGAGGCTTCTTTTTAGATATCGCCCTCTGCGTCCGTCTCGTGTTCTAGATCTCAGCACTGTACGGTTCCAGCAAGCTGAGTCATCAAAGTTCGCTAAACCTGAGTAGATTCTTGTCCTGTAATTTACTCTCTAATCCCCGAAACATGCAATTTTACATTTTAGGCCTTTAAATCGTTTGTTTGTTTTTTTGTTCTGTTTTTTTTTTTTACATATGTTCATCCAAAACAACAATTGATTGCATTGGATTGTACTACCAATAACATAGCTGAGATTTACAGTTATTTATATAGCGCCAACATATTCTGCAGCGCTGCACAATATGTAAACAAGACAAACATTTCATTTTCACAAACAAGTATGACATACAGAAACAGTAGGTGAAGAGGGACCTACCAAAACTAACTGATATTGGTCATGGAGCTAGCAATCTAACTAAGACTCGGAGATAAAGTAGGTGAAAGTTCGCCACAAAAAGCAACTCCTGACACAACATCAAAAAAAGCACCGCAAAGCAATGACTATATACCAGTTACATATTATGATCTGTATTTAATTATATAGATGTAAATATAGCACCTACGCTCACAGCTATAAAAATAAGATTGAGTGCAATTTAGAAAAGCTGTTACATAGTAAGGGAGATTTATCAAAGTGTTATGATCTGAAACTTTGGGCAGTTACCAAAAATTCCACCAGTGATTTCTCCACTCTGAACATTCCACTAGTGATTTCTAGTGATTACTCCACTCTGATCATTCTTCTAGTGATTTCTCCACTCTGAACATTCCACTAGTGATTACGCCGCTCTGTATACTCCACTATTGATTTCTAATAGCTTCTCCACTCTGAACATTCCACTAATGATTTCTACACTCCTAACATTCCACTAGTGAGTTCTAGTGATTTCTCCGCTCTGAACATTCCACTAGTGATTTATCCAATCCGAACATTCCACTAGTGATTTCTAGTGATTACTCCACTCTGAACATTCCACTAGTGATTTCTCCACTCTGAACATTTCACTAGTGAATTTCTAGTTATTTCTCCACTCTGAACACTCCACTAGTGATTTCTCCACAGTGAGCATTTCATTAGTGAATTCTCCGCTCTGAACATTCCACTAGCGATTTCGCCACTCTGAACATTTCACTAGTGATTTCTCCACTCTGAACATTCCACTAGTGATTTCTAGTGATTTCTCCGCTCTGAACATTCCACTAGTGATTACCCCCACTTTTTGGGTTACTGCAGTTCAGGGGTAAAGTAAAACTGTAAAAGCCAATGGAATGTTTCTGCTAACTGATCCTCTCTTATAAAAATACCCCAGAATTTCTCTATAGAAATAACATCTTGAGTCTTGAATGCTACAGAAATGTCTGATGATGCAATAATGTGCCTGGCAAGCATTTTAACAAAGGACCCTTTCTTAACCAAACCAGATGGATTCTCAATGCATTTCCACTCCTAGAACAATAATTACAAGTCACAAAACTGAACTTATTTTTTTACACGTGTGACTTTTTAGTGATACCCAAAATCTGTCACTTAAAATAAAAAAAATTGAGTAACAACTTCCTTGGTTACTTACGTTTCTTACCAAAAACCTCCTAACAACTCTGATTTAGCAGACGATTAATCATTGTAGCAGGGATCTCGTATTAAATTACTCCGATGTTCCACGAGTGACTCACATATACCAACTTTTTAACTTTCTGCCCTGGAGTTTAGGCTGAGAAAACAAAAAAAACAATCACTTTCTTATGACTGTGGCATGACAACTTCCCTATTTGTGAGCGTCCTACATCCTCTTTTAGATAAGGAGATGAAAGATTATGACGTAAATTCAGAATAACGATGAGATTATGAAAAAATAACTAATCTGAAAAAAAATCTCTAGTTTAGCTTCAATTTTGCCATTTAGATTCCAGTTCACTAGAATTCAGAGTTTAGTGAATCAATTTCCAAAATCTGCAACAACACATAACAAAGATCACATAACAAAGAAACAAGTTTAAAAAAGCAACAGAATTCAAACCCGACCCCCAAAGCAAGGAGGGGGAAAAAGTCACAAAAATCGCAAATCAGCAAAAAAAATTGGACAAAAAAAACCACGTAGAAGTGGTGTGTACAGAAAGCTAACATGCTGATGGAACTTTGAGTTTTTGGTCAAGAGGCAGAGTAGAGGGCAGGAAGACACATTGATCTTTAAATCACTAGTGAGTGGAGTACATTTCACTGTCTGTCTGGAGAAAAACTGTGATTATTAAACACTCAAGAATTACTTTTATCTTAATTTATCTTAGTTTATCAGAGTTTATTTAGTTCCTTCCAGATGTTTGATTTTCGTCAACACTGGGGTTTAATTGCTAAACTCGGAAAGTTGTGACTGTAGGTGAGTTAAAGAATTTTTCCAGTCAGCATATGTTGCATAAAATGTTTAATAAACCACTGAATTCACTATAATTTGGTGTTAAGGGCATATTTCACTAAACAGTGAGGTCTGACAGGTTCGCCACACAAATTAATAAAGCAGAAATGTAAAATATTTGACGTGGGATCATTTACTATTTTAAATGTTTTCAGAATTCATTCTAAATTTTGTTTTCAATTCGCCCCTATTCACTGTTTAATATATAACCCCTTTGAGTGGGATTTACTAAGAAATCTGTGAGACAATGCCCAAGAAGGGATCCCCCCCTTGTGGTATGTTTAACGTTAGGTGGTATTCCTGGAGGCACCGTCCGCAGGGCATTTCAATTCCTGTTCAATAAAAGAACTTCATTTTGGAGTTTAACAATTGCTATTTAGGGTGTTTGACGCAATAAATCCTGATATCGGAGCTTCTTTACTTGAAACAAAGACTGAGGAATTCTCTATTAAAAAGTATAATTAAAAGTACAAACAACATTATTGCTAACTCTGTCAGTCAGTTTAATTAGGAAAGTACGCCCTCCATAAACGAATACATATGGCGTTGTCTCTGCTCTCTCCCCGCCGTACAGCAAAAATTAGGAATGTCCTACCTTACTAACGTGGCAAAATAGTCTGTATCCTGTCAGCGACTCCTCGTGTTAACTCACTCACTTGGAGCAGGTTCAGTAAACTAATAAGTGGGACGTGGTTAGCAGGCACTTTCTTAAAATTTGGGTGGGAGCAGAAATATTGCACCACCTTCCATCCCTCCCTCTTTAAAACTCTCCCTAATCCCTTCCTGTTCCAACCCCCATCCTCAGTTCCCTGTCTACAAAGGTTTGCTCTCTTTGCCTTCCCACTTTATGTCTTTCGCTGTTTATGAAATCACTTTTAATCTGGTTTGACCCACCTTAGAAGTTTAGCAGCCTGAATGGGCAATGACGGGGTTGCCCAAAGAGTTGCTCTCCGGCTGTTTTCAAACTCCAAATCCCATGATACTTGATGATGAGCAATTCCATCCAATTACCAAATTTTTTATTCTTCATCTGCTTTCTTCTTCTGGTTTGCTCCTACATCTTATTATCTCTCTCTTTCTCTGTTTGGGCTTCATTCCAAAGCCCCCCAACGTTCCACCTAAACCTTTTACCCCCACCTCCTCGAGACTGTAAGCTTGTTTGTGCAGGGTCCTAATAAACCTATTGTTCCTGTAACATTTTGTAATTGTCTCATTTATTGTTAAATTTCCCCTTTTTATAACATTATAAAGCGCGTCTGAATAAGTCGGCGCTATATAATTGCCAAACATAACGATAGGTCACTAAAATGTGGGGTAGCAGTGATGCAAGTTAATCGGAAGGTGGCATTTAGACTCTATTCTATTATTTGATCACACATTCTGGGGACTCTGTCAGAGTTATTCATTGAAGTGTGAATTCAATGCAAATTTTAAACGTTTGTCAAATCAGGCAAAATGGAAAAATTCTCTAAGTTAACTATCAGCTACTCTGCGCTTAAATTTGAAATTCATTTTGAAAAGGAGACATACTTCTAATTACCTCTAAGTGACTTGTTTTATTGATTTAATAATTTGATCTATGTCTTATCAGATAGGGATACAGGACCTCAGTTTAGCACCCTACATACACAGTTTTTAGGGATAATCAGATTACTGTTTCTGCTAAAATTTCCACCCACATCCCGTAACAAAATAATCTTTATTGAAGGAAATTAGTTAACCGTCGCTAAAATAACACGTACTATAACACTGCAACATTACTTTATTATTACACAATTTTATTATTTTGTTCTGAGTCACAACTTGCAGAAAATTTCAAACGAAATGATTGATTTGTGTAATAGTTCCAAGTTTTGAAATCTGCGCCTCTGTGCTCCTCTGCTGCCCTGCCCACTTGGCGATTCTTACTGGCATTGTCTGAGAACACCAGGATATAATGTCGTATTATTTTACGTTACAGGTGGCATCATCACTTCACATCTTCTGTCACCCTGCTAGTATTATAAATGCCAAGCGTCTTCTCACTTCACCTTCTGAGGACCTCTAGGCAGACATGCAACACAGGGTAACTTTCTAAAAGGGAGGATTCAAAGTATGACAAATTAGTTACCTGCTTTGTATGGGAAACACCTCACCCTTAAAGCACTTCTGTGAGCTGAAGTGTTTTACAGGTGTGGCGTGGTCCTTTAAATGGGAAATTGACTTTAATTTTCACCTTAGTAAATATTCCTGTAATTCGGTGTATCTGTGACACTGTGCACATGAAGTATAATTTATTTATCGTTCTATGAATTGCAATGTTTTATGAGACTACTTTCTTCCTGGTGCCGGTGCAGTGTCTTGTTCCTTGACCACGGAGTGCCCCTGCTGAAGTTTTATCTCCATCTGACAAATGGTCCTGATTTCTGTAACATCCCAGGAGATATCCTTAGTTACATTCGGCCATCCATAAGATCTGGCAGTGCCCATTATTGCCCCTTTGCTAACTTACTATTATCTGCTGAGATCAGGCATTCCCCAAATTTATCTAATCTTGGCAAGAAAGCAGAGTAAAAAAGGACATCTGTTTGTCTGTTTGATCCATTTAGATCAGTGATTCACTAGCCAATCATAAGGAGGTTTGGTTCAGAGGTCCATTTTTTTATTCATATCCTCAGTGAAACAATTATTGGTAATACTATCAATAAATGGTAATAGAGAATCCTAGGCTGCCTTTAAAAAACTGCCGCTTAGGTCCCCTGCCCCCTGTCAGAAAGGTAAAAGGTGAGTTTACTTAACCTTTTTTCCAACGCTGCGCAGGTCTCCTCGTGGCTGAGCCATCCCCGCATCCTTGACTGAGATCATCACATTTGATGATCTCAGCCAATCCAATGCTTTTCCACAGGAAAGCATTGAGAAACTATTGCGCATGCACAGCAAAACACAGCGCTCTGATAATCGGTATCTCCTCATAGAGATGCATTGGATCAAAACATCTCTATTAGGAATGGCATTTTATCTTTACAATAAAAAGCCTGCATTGACAGGCTATAGACACCAGAAACACTACATTAAGCTGTAGTTGTTCTGGTGACTATAGTGTCCCTTTAAGACTGATTTGAGAAGAATGACGATGTTTTAATATTGTATTTTACTTAGAACCTTGAAGAACATAAAACACAATTGAGCCTCTCCAACTATAGATTTTAATGGGACACTATAGACCCCCTGCCCACTTCATCTCAGGGAAGTGATTTGACTGCGAGGCCTCTGTTCACTGGCGTACATACTGCGGTCGCCCTGCGACCCGGGTATGTATGCCAGTGGGGCCACATTTTGCCAGCCTCTTCTCCTTGGGGGCCCAGGAGCTGGCCACCTCAGGGCCCCCCAAGGCTGGCAGTGGCGTCACTTTGCGGTGGGCGGGCGGGCATGCGAGGGCGCGAGGGAGCATTCTTCCCTGAGCTCTCTCTGCACAGCTCCGTTGTGTGCACCGCAGTGATGCCGGAGCCGGAATATGACATCACTCCGGCTCCGACATCAGTAAGCGGAGGATCAGTACTCCCTTGCCGCCTGCAGGACCAGCCGCCCAGCAGCCCCACTGAACCCCAGGGAATGCTGGAATCCCCTCAGTACTCCCAAAGGTAGGGATGCTGGGGGATTAAATTAAAAAAAATGTGAGTGTGTATGTGTGTTAGTGTGTGTGTGTCAGTGAGTGTGTTACTGTGTGTGTGCCTGTTACTGAGTGTGTTAGTTGTGCGTTAGTTTGTGTGTGTCTGTTATTGAGTGTGTGTCTGCTAGTGAATGTCAGTGAGTGTGTTAGTTTTTGTGTATCAGTGAGTGTGTGTGTGTGTCAGTGAATGGGTTACTGTGTGTCTCTGTTACTGAGTGTGTTAGCTTGTGTGTGTCTGTTACTGAGTATGTTAGTTTGTGTGTGTCTGTTAGTGTGTGTCTGTAAGTGAGTCTGTTTGGTGTCAGTGAGAGTGTATGTTTTGTAAGTGAGTGTGTATGTGTGTCTGTCTGCCAGTGAGTGTGTGTGCATGTATGTCTGTCACTGAGTGTGTGTCTGTCAGTAAATGTGTGTGTCTGTTAGCTATTGTGTATGTGTCTGTTTGTGAGAGTATGTCCCTTCAGCACTTACCTTTCTCCAGGACAGGGATCTCTCCGCCCCGATCCGCCTCTCAGCTCCGAATGCGCATGTGCGGCAAGAGCCGCGCACGCATTCAAACCGCCCATAGGAAAGCATTACTCAGTGCTTCCCTATAAACGTCCAGCGTCTTCTCACTGTGATTTTCACAGTGAGAATTGCAGAAGTCAGTGAGACAGCCACTAGAGGCTGGATTAACCCTCAGTGAAACAAAGCAGTTTCTCTGAAACTGCTATATTTTCAGCTGCAGGGTTAAAACTAGAGGGACCTGGCACCCAGACCACGGCATTGAGCTGAAGTGATCTGAATGCCTATAGTGGTCCTTTAAGTTTATGTAAATCTGCATGCACTGGCGTACATACTGCGGTCGCAGGGGTCGCCGCCATGTGTTCCGGCCCCTGCAGACTAAGCGTCTGGTTGGGGGGCACATATCAATTTTCGCACTGGGGCCCCATGGATCGTGTGTATGCCACTGCCTCTGTTATTGTAACCCAATGCTGCTTTGCAGAAACCATAATGTGTATATTGCAGGATTTAATACCTCTAGTGACTGCCTTCCTCACAGTCACTACAGTTGCTTTTGATGCAATAGCTGCTTGAGGATCGCGTCTTCAATCAATCAATCGTAGAGAGCATTTGATTGGAAAAGTGCAGGGTTGTGCCGTGCAAGCACATCTTTTACCCAATGCTTTTCTATGATAAGCATTGGATTGGACGAGAATGTGGAAAAAGTCATCAGGCTATCTGATAAAAAAAAAAGGCAAGTCAGGTGGCTGCAGCGGCCCCTGGCGTAAGAAACAAAGTGAGTATATTAAGTCTATTTATATATATAAATGTATATTTAATGTAACTTTTTAAACATCCAGGGGGGTGGACAGAGGTCCTAGTAATCCCTCAGTAGGATTAGTATTTTCATTGCTATAGGTTCCTTGAGTGGTTTAAGCCAGGGTCCAGGAATGACTTTATCGGATTGTGAAATGGGTTCAAATAACAGCCAGGACGCTCAGAGTATCTTTCCCCATAGAAGGATTCTTTAAACGTTTACCAGAGAACACTTAAAGACTATGCTGCATTTAATTACGGATAATCTATGTTTATGACAATTTAGAATATTAAGCTGTAGTATTTTATGAAGCAATCAAGCTACTTAGTGAACCCTTACAACAGTTCGTGCTTTTAGCACAGAAACTGCATGACCAAATCTTTATGTAAATAATAGCATTTATTTTATGGCTTAGACACTCATTATCCTGCCATCGTTTGTGGAGCAAGTGTAACCCTTTGGCTCCCAGTGCTGGGAAACGCCATTGTGCACTGTACTGATACAACAGGCATTTAGAATAATTGATAATGAGGGGTTAATAGCTGCCTGCTACATTGTGATTACTTGTGAGAACCAATAAAGGAGTGAGCCAATGGCATGCCTGGAAATATGACCAGCTACTGCTTCCATCCAATCATCTCCAGGTCCCACTTATACCCCACACTCACCTGCTATAACAATGTATTTCAGGAACCATTTTTGAGGTGAAGGTGGTTACCTG